ACCAACACAGCAGGTGATTAATGTCAACATGTATTTAAAAGGTGTTTGGGTGCACTTTAAATCCCACTGCTATAAAACACTTTGTGCAAACGAATGGTTGTAATAATGATGATATGTGATATGTTAGTCCTAAAATTACCTAGTTTCTCTTAACTTTATAAAAAAATTGACTTTACAGGTAGCTTCTGATGTTGTAACAGTTACTGTATAGTACATTAGTTAATGTAGTAATAACCTAAAGAAGGGTTTATGTCAACTGGGAGCAACTGATTTCAACTAGTTGTAAGTGTGCTTATGTTGAGAGCAGCTGAATTTGGAGCGCTTAGGTCGATTTAGAACTGATAGCGATTACACTTAACATGCAACTGTTTATTTATTTATTATGTGATCAACAAAATGAAGATTAAGCCCAAACGCATGGTATGTCTTGCACAATTCTATTATTACATTATTGTCAACATCATTGACACATGAAAAGTTGATTTCTTCGTTATCTTCCAGTTTGCCTATTTACACAGTCACATATTTCTCTTATGTGATTTTGTTTCTATGGAAAAAAGTTGAAGTCAGTTGTAAGAGTGCTCTTGTCGATGACAACTAGTTGCCGCTAGTTGCAGAATGTTGAACACATGTAACTGACTTCAGTTAGTTCTTTTGAGTTGTAAGAGGCCCCCAAGTCGACCTCCATTGAAGCTAGTTGCTCCCAGTTGTCGAAATGCCAATTGCTCCCCGTTGCTGAAATGCAATTTGCTCCTATTCACTGAAATGCCAGTTGCTCCAAGTTGCCAAAATGCCAGTTGCTCTCAGTTGTAAGATTGACATAAGCTACTGACATAGTGTGAAGAAATACATCCTGGTAGGAAATAGAGGTAGGAAATAAAGGTACTTCTTACAAGAAGGTTGTTTATCTTAATTTTTCATCTGCCTCTTCTATTAATAGTACATATACCGGTATACTGTATACTAATGATAACGTGATAAGTTTAATATATAGATTTGAAGATATTTTTTAATTATAAAGTGGGTTCTTGTAGGTAAACACTGTTTAGTCACACTCTTAGGTATGTAAGTGTTCAGTTATTTTAATAATTATTGGATTGTTCCATAGGTTTGTACTTCTAAGTATAAGTATTAAGTTAAAAGTTATTGACAATCCATAAACAAGCCAATCCTAAAATAGGCCATGATTATCTGTGTAGGCTGGTATTGTGAAAATCTCTGTGTATAGGGTTACTAGTGTATGAGGGCTATATTTAATAGGGAGGCAACAGTGCAGAAAATGTATTTTTTAAAAATCTGTTAAAATTTGTTTTTGAGAGAGAGAGAGTTTATCTCCACTCGACACAAACTAGGTCATTTTGAGATAAACACATGGTTCAATTTTATTTCAATAATTCACCTGCGTGTAGGGGTCTTTAACAGTGTGAGGAAACTGGAGGGCCCCGAGAAAACCCATGAGGTTGGTCTAGTGCCCCTACTCCTTGTCACGTACAACTGGGGATTCAAAACCACACCAGTTGACTCACTGACAGGCCTTATGATAGAGCGTGAACGTGCTAACCATTCGGCCATCCAACCCTCCAAATTTGTTCGAGGATTTATTATGTTACATAAAGATAGATTGTTGATCCATAAAGTACTGCATGTTAAAGAAGCATTATGTAATATTTAGATAAAGGGCTGGATGTTCTTGCTATAATGGTTTAAAAATACACAATGAAAAATGAAATAATATTACAAAATTACACTCAGACTGCTTCATTCTGAGCGAAGTTATCACTGTTTGAAGATAGGGCATAGATCGTTCATTTTCTTAGCAACAGTACTTGACAGCCTTGATTGTTTATTTTATTTTTTAAAATCTTGCGGATGTTTAAATCCAGAATTGATTATAGGCTTGTCGTGTTAATAAATGTCTAAATAATAGTTTGAAGCCAAAAGAAAGATCTGCAATAGACAGATTTAGCTCTTACATAATGCATCTTTAAAGGATAGTTGTATACAAAATGAGAAGTGTCCCCAAAATATGTTTTGCACATGAGCCATCTATTCATAATTTAAAATATATATAATTGGGATTAAATGGTTGTGATACATTTTCATACACATAGAGGGACATCAGGTTGGCTAGTTAAATAATAATTAAAATACACCAAGGAAATTTCTGGAAATAGTATTTAATACATCTATATATAATGTTAAAAAATCCAGATTATGGTTTTTTTACAAACATTTATTGTATAGAAGTAACATACGGTTTGATGCTTAATTTTATATATTAAAAAATCCAGATTATGTTTTTTACAAACATTTATTATTATATAGGAGTAACAGATGGTTTCATGCTTAATTTTATGAATGATTAAATACGGACCTATACACTGTATATTATTGATTTGATCTGAACTACCTACAGGTCTATTATCCATAGATTTTTTCATGTGGACGTTTGTCGTTGACCCTGTCCGTCCATCCACAATTTGTTTGTGCACACTCTGCAGCTCACAATTTTTATCCGATTTTGATGAAACTTGAAATATAGGTTAATCTCCCAAAGATCTCGATTCCTTTTGATATTGGCATTGATCAGACCGCAACTTCATGGATTATAATCTTTGAGAGGCATTTAGTAACTGGTTAGAGCAATAAACTATAACACATACTTATTACTGTATTAACTTGATAACGTTGAGAGAATACTCTTCGAAACGTTGCCCAAATAAATAAGCAGCTGTTTTTCCATAAGTATGCGTTATAGTTTATTGTTCATGGATTATGGCCCTGATTGTCCGAAAAATCATGTTTTTAGCGTGTGGTCACTCTAGAGGTTACAATTTTTATCTAATTTTGATGAAACTTGAAATATATTGTTATATCCGAAAGATCTCGGTTCCTTTTGATTTCCGTACATATCAGACTGTAACTTCCTGGATTATGACCCCTTATTGTACCCCTTATTTTAAAAATATATCACTGTTACAACCCTAATGATGGTTCAGTTCAAATTTCGTGAAAATCAGACCAAAACTGCCTGAATAAATGGCTGCTCCTTGTATGCTAATAGTGTAAAAGTATGTAATACCAAGGTTGTAGACCCTCTAGAGGTCACAATTTGTATCCGGTTTTGATGAAACTTAAACATGCATTATGCAAGAGCTAAATCTGCCTATTTCAGGTCTTTCTTTAGGCCTGAAATGTTATCTAAATTATGAATTAGATATTAATTAACCTATCCAGGCAATAATCAACCCTAGATGGCTGGGCTAGCCTGCGATCTTTAGTGGATTGTAAGCTGATTTACTGCATAACTTTCCTTCTCGATTAAACGATTAAATGGATAATCGAGACTATGCTGTTTATCGTACTGACTTTAGTAATGATGACCAAGGCTTATGGGAATTTCAGTCGCTTAGTTCTCGGTTAATAGTGGATCAATTTGAATGAAATTTTCACCAAATTGCCTTCTACCTTATCTAGTTTTTAACTATTATAGTGAGAACTGCCAATTCATTACCGGATCTCCCATAATGTATCTTTAAAATATATGTTTATATCCGAACGATCTTGGTTCATTTCTATATTCCTTGATTATTGCCCTTGTTCTCTGTCCATCTCTTGCAAATGTGGGCGTATCTTGCATGGCAACTGTTTGTTTACAATTAAAATTCTATTTCTGTCACAGTTAGCACTGTTAATATGTTATTATCCATTTAAACATACATTATGCAAGAGCTAAATCTGTCTATTGCACGCCTTTCTTTAGGCCTAAAATGTTTTCTAAATTATTAATTATTAACTTATACAGGCCATAATCAACTCTCGATGGCATCGGATTTCTCCGATATTAAATAGATTAGAACAGTTCAGCCATATTTTGATTTAAGCTAAAAATGGAGGAGTGAGACTTAGCTTCGAACAACCAGTACGGTGGTTGAAATTATTGCACACATGTTGTCAAACCTTCCAAGGCTAATATCTTCGTTCGCAATAGAGTAATTTGAATGAAATTTTCAAATTATTCATTTTACATTATCTATTTTCGAACTATTATAGCAAGAATGGCTAGCTCTTTATCTAAATCTTACATAATGTATCTTTAAGAATTATCCGTACAGAAAAAGTGATGATGCTGTCATATTTTCTCAAATAGTTTTGAAAAATGGACATTCAATTTTCATTCCTATAAACCAAACCCATGATTGCAATTTCCTTTTGTCTTAGAAATCACTTCTGTATGTGGAATACATGTACCTTGTGATCTTAAATATTGGTGGCAATTTCGAACTCCAACAAGCAGATTTTTAAGGTGGAAAACTGACTTTAGTACTGAAGGTGCGAATACACATGGAGAGTGTGCAAATCTTCAAGAAATTAATTCTGTACATTTCCAACTCCATTTTATACGCCCAGATTGAAATGCAGTCGTATGTTGTTGTCACCCCCGTCCATCTGTCCGTCCGGCTTCTATGATTGCTTGTGGATGCTCTAGAGGCTACAGTTAATATCCGATTGACTTTATACTTATACCTGCCAGAGTTGATGCCCTTGATCACTTTGAAAAATGTAGCAGCTAAAGTTAATATAAATTGTTTAAGGTCATGAGACAAACAGTCAAAACAATTTCTAATGATTTCTGATAATTACTTCATGGATTATTACTCGTAATCAGATTTTCATGTGTTGTAAATGTTCTCATTACTGACAAAAGAAAAACTATGCGAAAACGCTTGTTGACTGCCCTGGGTGTATGTTTCGTTGCCTTGCAACCCATCTTTGAAATGACTTATTTGTCTAAGACTCGTCAAACAAGTGATGGAAAATCAATAGCAACCAATGTAAGCTTTAAATGGCTGTAACTAAACTTAGAATTCATTGATTTGAATTTGAATAATTTTTTGACCCAAATGTATTTATTATAAAATTACTTTTGTACATGTTCTTAAACCTTTAGTCTGGCATTTTGGTGCTTTAATTCATTAATTATTGTTTTATTTCTGCAGACTATCAGCAGATGGATGAAGGGGCCGAATCAGAAACAACCAAAGATGTGAGCCCACGATCTCATAGATTAATACATTTTAACGCTGTACAACCTGTTAGATATTGCTCAAATGAGATCAGGTAAGTCTGATATGATCACATTTTCTATCTCAACCATTTAGGGTTTGGGAATAAAAATTCATAAACACAGAGACATACTACTAGACTTATATATTTGAATTAAGTCATGTCTAATTTTGATTTTCATACATTTTGAGTCAGAAGAATTCCTTTTAAATATTCATCATTTGACATTTTATTGTATTTTCTTTCTGTTTGTCAAAATGTCAGGATATTTAAAAAAAAAAACAACTGACGATGTGTAACTAATCATTTCAATCTGTTCAATTTTTATTTAAACAGATCAAAGTAGTTTGTTGATTGTAAAGCTTTATAAGATTCCTATATTAAAAAGGTCAAATAAATTTTATAAGATTGTTCAGGAATGAAATGGTGTAGTTTTCTTAAAGTACCTTATAAAATTAAATGAAATGGGGTTAACGTCCTACTGTTCTGTTCCTTTTTGGCTAATGCAGATGGGCATACCGTGTGCTATGAGGGACATTTGGCCAGGAAAGCTGCGCTAGGCCCTACTCTTATACCTAATTCCAACTGCCAGGGGATCTTTAATGTGCATGCCAATGTGTGCACGAGACCTCTGTTTTTAGTTCCTTTCGAACAACCATATGTTGTCCCTTACCAGGTCCTCTGTCCTGCACCACTGTGGAAAATCTTGCTGAACTTGGCCAACCCGGAACCTTGTGGTTAGCAAGCCAATGTCTTACTCACTGAGCCACCGTGTCTCCTAAGTACCGTACCTTGTAAGATATATGGACGAATCTTGACCAGTAGTGTACAGTATCTTTAACATGATAAATTTGTTTTTCATTACAGTACAGCCAAGTATAATTTCTTCACATTCTTCCCCAAGTTCCTGTTTGAACAATTTCGAAAATATGCCAATATATTCTTTCTTTTTATTGCTTTGATACAGGTAAGATAATATTACTTACTTTATCAAATCATTCCTGATTTCAATTCTTACGTTTAAGATGGGTGTTGGAGTATAGGGAGCAAAGGATGTTTCTGCTGATAGCAAAGGATAGAATTGCAAACACAATGTTATTAATATTAACAGAAAAATGAGTTAAAAGGCGCAAAGATTTGAGGCTAGGGAGCTTTCAAACCACCCAGCTGGTTTACTTTGCAACCTACGAGCATGACACTGAACTTCTATCGATTCTGAACTGCCTCTGGCAGCTAATTGTCCCCGCTGAATGAGGCGCCATTACAATATCTTGCCACCTTGCTGCAACTGTCCCACCACGCCATTAATGGGAAGGAATACATTAGGTTACAAGGAAGCCATCTTATATTATATAATACCTTGGTTCAGAAACTTTGTAATTTCATATCATTTGCAACTTTTTATCCCGAAAGATTTATAGCAAGTATCTCATAATTCATTCACTTTTGCAGTAGTTACTTTAATCTCTTTTTTGTTTCATTTATTTATTTATACTTCAGCTCTCATGAATCATAATATTTTCATTTTTCTTCAGCAAATTCCAAATGTATCGCCTACAGGAAGATATACAACAGCGGTACCATTATTACTTATATTAATGGTATCAGCTATTAAAGAAATAATAGAAGATTTTGTAAGTGAACAAGCTTATACATGATTGTTAGATTTTTAATATCTTATTGTGTTGTTTTGGGTTGGGTTTTTTTAAATTGAAAAACTAAGCGTTTTCTATACAAATGATGTTAGAAAAAAGGATACAAATATAATTTCTATTTTTTTATTTCAACCTATTTTATTTGTTTGAAAAGGATTAGGTAATGGTTTCAAAAGCTTAAAGCAATATATTGCTTTAAAGTTTGAACAAATTTAATTGTACCAGCCCAATAGTAGCGACCGGTTGTTGTCGATAACAGACATTAGTTGATTTTGCTGCCAAATGAATGTCAAAAGCGCTAACTGACGTCTCAGGCCAAGAAAACAGTTTTTAGATGTTGCTGCAGCGACCAGCCAAATAAACAAAATAAAAATAATATCTAGTTTAATCTGTGGTATTTTAAAACATCTGAGATCCATTTCATTAAAGGGATGTTTTTGTCTCTTATCGTTCTCTGTTTTTTATCAAATATTTTAATTGTAGAAACGACATAGAGCAGATGATGCTGTCAATAATAGAAAAGCTCAAGGTAAAATATACTTATTTATTGTGTATGTAAAACTCACTCCCAATATACTTCTTTAATGAATATAAGACTCCCTCTTCTAAATGATAAATGTATTTATCCTGGTAAGGACTGTACCTTTTCCGTAGTGGTGTGATTTACTGTCCTGGTTGAAATCGGTAGATCATATCAATAAGTAAGTAGTCTTGAGATGTCAGTCATTATGGAAAATTCCTCCTACAATTTAATTTCTGCTCCCTCAGTCTAGTCTTATGAAAAAAGAAGACAAAAACCTTCAAAGAACTAGCAGATCAGATGAGTTCAAAACTACTGTTGTCTTTAGTAATAGATTGTTTTTGAGTTAGTAGAGGATACATGTAGTTGTTTACCTGACTAAATTCACCTGAATGTAAAAAATATAGATTGTGTGTTTTGTCAAGTCTGTCTAATGAAATTTTTAAAGAAAAACATTAGACCTCATTTTATTTTTAAATGACTTATGCCTTTTAAAAATATTCTATCATATTTATAACATTTATTTTATCATGTAATAAATTAGTGTGTATCTATTGTCTATTGGTTTCTTTGCTGTATATTTAATGTATATTAAAGTTTTTAACTGTTTAATATTTATGTTGTAGTATTACGAGGTGGAACTTGGCAGACAATAAAATGGACACAAGTAAATGTAGGAGACATAGTCAAAGTTCTTAATGGTGGATTTTTTCCTGCTGATCTCATTTTACTAGCGTCCAGGTCAGTCCACAGTTTCTTCTTCTTCTTTTTCTTTTTCTTCTTCTTTTTTCATCTTCATCTTTTTTTCTTCTTCTTTCCGCTCCTATTGAAAATGGGTATCTTGACAGTATCAATGACAATACAATCCCAACTGTCTTTAATTCATATAAACCAAATTTGCTTCAATTTCTCATTAAACCCAAACTGAGGCTTTTCATTGAATGTAAATCGGTGATGGGAGCATGTGCTTATAATATTTATAGCTGTTATTCTTTATTCCTATTCTTTGCTTACCTTTGGGACTAACAGGTGTGTACAAACAAGGTGAATATGTTGACATATTTTTCCAATCTAATTAACAACTGAAGAAGACAAGATGTTGTATTATGAAAACAGAAGGGTTGGACTGCCAGCAATTGTCTCATCTCTCAGAATATGTGTTTTGCTTAGGTATATTAAAATAATAGGGATTCAGTAACTAAAACATGCTTTAAGCCACTTTTAGATATTTCTTAAATCAAATTAAGGTATGCATTAGATTTTTATTTTGTTTTCAGTGAACCCCAAGCCATGTGTTATATAGAAACATCTAATCTAGATGGGGAAACAAATCTCAAACTTAGACAGGTTTGTCTTTACTTTCTGAGTTTTATGTTGCTTACAGCATTGAATATCTGACTCTTTAAGCAGAGTTTCTGTTTCAGAATTTCACCCGCACTACATTTGTAGTTGGGGTTAACAAAGTCCCAATCTGAGTAAAACACAGTTCCTATTTCGTTTCGTTTTTTATAGTTCAACATTTCATTTTACTTGTCTATTCTACACTAGAATCTGGAAGAGTTGTTATATTACTGGCGTTTTGGTTGAAGTGGGGGATAAGCCAATGAAACAGTCTGTTACTAGAAACGCCAACGCTGATTGATTAATCAATGTCTGACATCATAGGGTCAAAAGCCTCGCGTATGACCCCTGACACGACCTTCAAGTACAACTTGTCAGATCTTCATGTAGTGTAGGCCATCGAAAGTATAAAAAAATGAAACGAAATATAGATCTGTATTTTAATCATATTGACAAAGTCCAGAATTGGTTCACTAGAAGGCAGTATGCTTCCATTCCCTTTACAGACTGCAATCAAAAATATAACTGAAGCTATGGTTATAACAGAACACTGGTTCTTTATAATAGAAGATGTATTTTTAAACTCAAATTTCTTTATAGGGTACTACACATACAAGTGATGTATTAACAAGTGAAGATTTGTTTAATATGAAGGGTGTAATAGAATGTGAATTACCTAATAGACATCTGTATGAGTTTGTTGGTAATATTAGACCATCTGGAAAGAGGTAATAATTAGTAAAAACTTCAATCTAATCTTTTTGTATTCAATGACTAAAGAATTGATGATTTAAATGAACAGATTGATTTATTTGTGCTTTGTACAAATCAATTTATGTTTGGTTTTATCTAGTGTATGAACTCAAATGATTTTATGTTAAATATTACAATATGCTTTGTGTTAAGAAGAAATTTATTTGTAACCAAGTTTTATCTAGTGTATGAACTCAAATGATTATATGTTAAATATTATAATCTGCTTTGTGGGAAGAAGAAATTTATTTGTAACCATTTCGTTGAAAACTCAAGTTTTATCTTGTTACATGACTTTGTTACTATTAAATATTAAAATGTGGTATGTAGTAAGAAGAACTTCTATGTAGAATAATCATTTGTCCTCTTGTATTTTACAACAAGTATTTTTGGTAGTTATAAAGAAGGACGAACAATCTAATTATATATATCTTGACATTGATTGGGATGAAACCTCATCATTATCAACATTTACTTGTATGACGTCTGTTGCTATAATTCTATAGATAATCTTTGATCCTTCTCAAGGATGATTTATCCAGGACTTCCATGAAAAAGATGATTTAAACACCTATTTCGGCAAATTTCTAAAGGTTCTCTCAAGGATAGTAGGGTTAAGATTTAATTATTTTGATTAATATTTTTCAGTGCCTATCCTGTAGGGACAGATCAGCTCTTATTACGAGGAGCTCTCTTAAAGAACACTAACTGGATATTTGGTAAGAATACTATGAATTTATAATTTGAGTAATACTTTAAAAGAAAAAAAGACTAATAAAAATCATTTAGATCACCCTAAAATATTATTTGTTAGGCTATTTGTCTTTGGGGTGCTGGGGATTTGTGGTTGGGGAGAGAGATTTACTGCAATGTACATTTTGATGTGGAGAAGATTTTATATAAGATTGTTTTTAGATTCACTGTATTAATTTTGTTAATATCCATATTGCTCTCACAATTATATATTACTTAAATCAAAGTTAAAAAATTTTGGAAATTAAATTATCATTAAAGAGAAATTTAAGCAAAAATACGAATTTTAAGAATAAAAGGGTCAATTTTCAAAAATATTGTGCTTAGCTGGGAATAGGCCACAATTTTGCATATCATTTACTCTTTAACATCATTTGATATATTAGTTATATGTAATGTGTATACTTTACTATAGGTGTGGTTGTATATACTGGTCATCAAACTAAACTTATGTTAAATTCTACTTCTGCTCCATTAAAAAGATCAAATGTAGAAAAACTAACTAATACACAGGTAGAGTAAATTTATCTAAGATAATCTTAATTCAAATTAGATGTTATTTTTGTTCTGCTCATTCGATTGGTGATGACAACATTAAAACAGATTACTTTTGGCAGACAAAGGAATGAATGTCTCATTGACTACCAATGATGGTTTAGTCTTCCATTCAAAATAGATATCACTTGAGGTGTGCGGAACCCCCCTGCTAGCTGTTGAAAAATTTGATTAACAAGGTAGCTAATTAGTTGACTTGCCAGTAGTCTGATGTTTTATTAATAAATTATTAGTGTATATTATTATTTATTACAGATATTGATATTATTTGTGTTATTGGTCATACTATCATTAATCAGTGCTGTAGCTAATTCTGTATGGGAGAATAAACATGTGAATAAAGATTGGTATCTATATAATAAAGGTTTGTAACAAACTTTTAACTTCATTTATATCTCAGAACAAATTAAAATCTTTCAATTACAAATTGTATATTTAATTAATTTTCCTAAATAATGCTAGGTTACTAGTGGGAGGTAACTCTTGGAAGTGGTCAATCTTATCATATTATCAACCTTGATACCACATTCTAAAATAATGTTTATTTAAAGAAGAATTAGCACTTTGGATATCTTTGCCAATTGGTAATGAAAAATAATTTGCATTGCATATCAACTTTGGCTTGTAGATATTATAGTCTGTGGGGTTTTCAAATATTTCAGCAGAGATCCTTGTGAAAATTACTTTGATCTAAATTAGAATGAATCTAAGGTTATTTTGAATATGATAAATAAAATTAATTTTCTTGTTGAAAGTAATGATGCTTTTTTGAAATTGAATAAGAGAATATATTCTTCCTATCTAATAGAAAAAGGGTTTAATCGAGCGTGTAGATTAGAAAGATCCCAGACGCTTTAAGTTTCTGTCTCATTTAGCAGTAGACATGCAGAATGTTCTGCACTAAGAAGACAACAAAGTGAAACCAATAAGTCTGTCTTCTACATCCAAGAAGTCTTATCACACAAACTGATCCATATAAAGCTTTATTGGAAAATATTTTTCCATTTGCAAAAGTATGTAATTCTCTTGCAACTAGACATTTTATGAACATTTTTTTTTTTTCTTCAGATTCTGAGCCTTCCAATTTTGGCTATAATTTACTTACATTTATTATCCTATATAATAATCTTATACCTATCAGTTTACAAGTAACATTGGAAGTTGTGAAATTTATTCAGGCAATCTTTATTAATTGGGTAAGTCAATTAATATATTAAACTTTGCTTCAGGCAGTTTTAATTGATTGTTTTAATAGATTTTAGAATAATACTTTAAAATTATCTTACAGATATATGTTTTTGTATTTATTTCTATTTGAAAAAAAGTGAATTTTAATTTGATACCATTACCTTAGAAATTATTGCATATTTAATTATAGAGAAATACATTAATTTATACCGGTACATATTATATATTTGAATTGTCATGCAATTCATTATTCATTAGGTTGAATAAATATACAGGAATGAATGGACTGGATTATCAAGACTACATAAAAGTAGAATATTGTAGAAGGATATGTTGTTTCAAGTATCCTCCACACTTAGCTCATATTAAAGTTAATATTATTCCCCCCCCCCCCCCCCCCGAGTATCTTGTTGTAGTACTATGATTTTCTATAAGTTTCTATAAAATTACAGTAATTATGTTGTATTTATAGGATAGTGATATGTATTATGATGTAACAGATACACAAGCTATGGCCAGAACTTCTAATTTAAATGAAGAATTGGGACAGGTAATATGGTTTACTAAATAATATCTAATTGACTTGTATATTGTATCAAATAGGCTGTATACGCATGGGTAATAGTAATGATTAAAACTGCCAAGTAAAGACAATCATTTTAATATGACTTTGAAAGTTACTATATAGTTGTATATTATATTTTATATGAGCATATTTTATTCAATTTAATTTTTTTTTATTATTATTCAGGTAAAGTTTATATTTTCTGATAAAACTGGAACTTTAACTCAGAATATAATGGAGTTTAGGAAGTGTAGTGTAGCAGGAGTAACATATGGGTAAGAATCAGTTTGTTAAAAGATTTTTTTTTTTTTTTAAGAAATGTTGTGGGAGATATATTTTCATTCCTGGATAGTCACAATTCTCAATACATAATCATTTAATAATCATTTAAATATATCCAAACCTCCACTAACTGGGGAAAATATATTTGTCTGTGAAAAAAAAAGATCTTTTGAAATACTTCAATGGAAGCTGTTTTAACAATCTACACATTTTAATGTAGCCGTCATTTTTTAGAATAACTTGCAGAAGATGGATGAAAGACCACAGTCGTTACCTGGCAACATATTAAATAGGGGTTGATCCTCTATAATAATCAAAATCATATACATGTATAAAGAATAAATAGATTTTCATGGAAAAGTTTTCAAAATTCTTTTTTTTTTTGATCACTAAATGTTTTATATGTTTTTTAGAAATATTGAGGAAACCTGTCATTCTTTTGATGATGAGACCATGACTAACAATTTAAAAGAAAATCATGTAAGTTTTTATTATACCTATCTCTTCAAAGTGGTTAAGTTCATTCATCTAAGACGAGGGCCTGACAAGGACAGCTGTCTAGTCATTCGGATTGTACGAAAAAGTGAGGTCCTGTGTACACAGTGGCATGCACGTAAAAGATCCCTTGGCTGTTGGAATTCGATATAAGAGTAGGCCTTAGTGTTGCTGTCTGGTCAAAGTTTCTCTCATAGCACAATGTATGGCATATGCCCATCTTTATTAGCCAAATCAGAGCAGAACAATAGGACATTAAACCTCATTTCATTTCATTTCATTTCATTTCATTTTATTTCAAATGCTACTCTAAATAAAAGATGGCACCAGGACTAAAAATTGTCCATTGATACCAGTAGAAACATGACTAACTGTCAATTTCTGCTCATAAAATAAACAAATTTGACAGATGGACTAAACTCAATGCCATTTTTCGACTTGGGGTACATCATATTGAAAGATCTGGTAGTGTTGAGGATGTCACTAACGCTTTCTAGAATTAAGTGTAGCAGTTGAACATAGAATTTTTCTAATAGTTGATCCAAGTCACTGTCATCCTTACTTTTGTTAAGATATAGAAAACAACAGACAATTACTTTTTAGTTCTCATTCTATTTTAAATTATTCACTTTTCTATGTATTTTTTCTATATATTTTTGACTGTAATTATTTCAGGCCACAGCGGGTGATATTCGTGATTTTTTAACGTTATTAGCTATATGTCATACAGTTGTACCAGAACGTCATCCAGAAACAAATACTATCACATATCAGGCTGCTTCACCAGGTATGTAGTAAACTAATTCATCAGATTGCCACCTTGGCTCACTGAGTAAGGCACTGGCTCACTAACCATGGCCAAGAAAGTTCCTCTGGATTTTCCAGGGTGGTTGTTACTCCATGTCAGTGGTACAGGATGGAGGGCCTGGCAAGGAACTTGTACATCTTTGGCGTGCATGTAAAATCTACCTTGGCAGTTGGAATTCAATGAAGACAAGAGAGAAATGTCCTGCATGGCTTATACCTGGCTTTAAAACCCCATTTCATATTTCTTTATCAATCAGTTTAATTAGGATGTAAGGGAGATAACTCTTGTATGGCCAGAAGTTTTTGCGACATTTGGAAATTGGACATTGAGTATATATATTCACCAGTCATGAAATATTTGTGGACTATATATCTTCACCAATCATGAAATAATTGTGGGGTGGAGTTTAGGGGATTTGACATTGACTTCCTTAGATAGTATTATTTAGTTGTTTTCTTTATACTTTAATTAGATGAGGCAGCTCTTGTGGATGCTGCCAAAAAGTTAGGTTTTGTTTTTACTACAAGAACACCAGAAACAGTCTCTATCGAAGTGGTGAGTTTATATTTAAAATATTATTTTTAAATTTCGACAATTCCATATGCACTGAAGGAAAAGTAATATTGAGTTCAATTATATTTGCTATTTCAAGGCATGTGTTTTTCTACTTCATACTAAAGTTCAGTCAGATATAACACTTACCTGGTACATGGGGTTTTCTACTTCATACTATAGTTTAGTCAGGTGTAACAGTTTTGGTACATGTGTTTATTCAGATATAACAGTTACCGGGATATATGTTTTTTTAAACTTCATAGTTTATTCTGATATAACACTTATATGTGTTTTTAAACTTATAGTTTATTCATATATAACAGGTACATGTGTTTTTTCAACTTCATAGTTTATTCAGATATAACACTTATATGTGTCCAATGTTTTTTTTATTTTAGTCTGGTAAAAAGGAAACATATGAAGTATTGAATGTGTTAGAATTTACAAGGTATGTAAAATAATAAACAAGTAAAACACTAATCTGATTAAAATCTGACATATTGTCTTTGTAAACAGTGTTCAGAACATGTGACCAATCACATTATCTGTATAGGTATACAGGGCTTTGTTTTGTGATGAAATATGGGGAATTTTAAAACCCAAGTGTAAATAGTATAACTTGTTGATATAAGTAGACCTGTCAGTGGTAGAACATGATTGTTATAGAAAGTAGGTTAGATTACAATATACTGTAAAAGGCTGAAACAAAATTAGATTGTGTTAGGCATGTTCTATACCAGATCTGTTATACAGTATGGAGTAGGATTGTTGTACTATTTTATTAGAAATATTTAATATTTCCTTATAATATTATTTTCAGTGATCGTAAAAGAATGTCAGTTGTAGTTAAATGTCCGGATGGTAGAATACGACTTTATACTAAAGGGGCTGTAAGTTATTCTACATCATATTGTCTTGTAATCAAGACTGGTAATGAATAACTGATAATGTTTTTAGGCTAACATTCAGGTTTTGTTCGACATAATTGCTCTCTATTAAGTACATTTTTTTTACTGTGTTTTTATTAATATTGCTATTAGGAAGCTTATGAAGATGATACAGCAAAAAGTCTGGAATGTTTTATTAATAGAGACATATATAAGGAGGAACCCTATTGAAATTCAGTATAATTCTATATCTCTGTGTATCGATTATCTTCAGATCATTAATTTACATACGTGTATAGGGAAAGTAATATTAAGTTTAATTATTAGTATTTATTTGATTTCTAGGATACTGTTATTTATGAAAGATTAGATGAAGAACAGAAATTTAGAGATATAACTTTACAACATTTAGAGGAATTTGCTACATTAGGTTTGTATATTAACATCTACCAGTATATTTACCGTGACAAATTACATAACTGGTTGGCATAGACTAGCTCACCAAGACTTCTGATACTGAGTAATATTCAAAGGACTAGCCTTGTTACCAAGACATGGTTGTAAAATGGACAATACAAAGAGTAAGGTATACAGTAGAGTGCTTGACTTTTTTTTATGGTGTCTACATGAAGTTGACCTGAATTTTAAAGATTGTCAGGTATTATTCTATTGACATTGTTTATACTTGGTCCACTGTTCTACACCAACTGAGCTATTGAAGATAGGCATACTCATGGAACCACCATGGCTCCCAGGTCCAAAGATAGACTCAATGTTGAGATATCACTGATTTTATGTTCAACACCCGACAGATTGTCAAAAATAAAATTAAACAAACTAAATTTCAACTTAATATTTTGGAACGAATAATTATTATTGTAGGTTTGCGTACATTATGTTGTGCTGTAGCTGAAATATCCGATGAGTTTTATGATGAATGGAAACATACATTTTATAAAGCTAGTACATCCATTCAAAATAGAGAAAGAAAATTAGAAGAAGCAGCTGAATTAATAGAGAGGGTAAATGATAACTTAGATAACAAATATTCATAGTGTAGTTTAAAATTGCAGAATAAGTCAATAGTTTTAAGTTACTATTTTTACAAATCATGGACATAATATCAAACATTAACTGTTACATACGTCAGAATTTACAAACATCAGTCCAAAATATCTATGGCTAGAGGAAAAATTAATCAAATTTTATTTCTTTTCTTCTGTTGGAAAACAAAATATATGCCAGCTACATGTAGACTGTAGAATCATTTATGCAAATATCTTGTTCTTCCCATTTAATGAATTACAGCTATGTGTTTTTGGAGTCTCAGAAAAGATTTGGAAGTTAAATTTTCTTTTCTCAGAAATAGATTGTTTTTGAATTGTATATTTATATAAAATTCAAATATGTATTTTTTGATTTTTAGAATTTTAGATTATTAGGAGCTACAGCTATTGAAGATAAATTACAAGAAGTAAGTTGTTTAACCCGTTAAGTGTGTAGGTCGTTATATAACGTCCTGGACAACTGCCACTCACTGTGTGTAGGGCGTAATATAATGCCTTGGAGGTATTTTCCCCAACCTATTCTTAGAACATAGTTCATCACTTGGGGGAATCCCTTGGGAATTCCCCCACGATCGCAGCATGTGTAGGACATTATATTACGTCCTGGACAACTGCCACTCACTGTGTGTAGGGCGTAATATAACGCCTTGGAGGTATTTTCCCCAACCTATTCTTAGAACATAGTACATAGTTCTTCGTCACTTCGTCCAATTAATTACACAATAGGGGGTTAGTTAACGTTTTAAAAACGTCACGCTTAACAGGTTAAAGATATTTCTTAACTATTTAACAATATATTATAAAGATATATCAGGAAAATATTTTGTTGCTGAAAACATATCTTACAAGATATTTAAAAGCCTTTATAAATGACAAGTCCCTCATTAAAACATATTTAATTTTAAATTTTAGGGTGTGCCAGAAACAATAGATTCATTAAGTAAAGCTGATATTAAAATCTGGGTATTAACTGGAGATAAACAAGAAACAGCCATTAATATAGGTTATGCTTGTAAATTATTAACACAAGGAATGGATTTGGTTGTTATAAATGAACATTGTCTTGATGTAAGTATTAAAGTCTTCATACATCAAAGTCTCAATTTCTGAAGGATTTCCAAAATAATTTTTTTGTTTAAATCGATGGCCTTTGTTTTTGTATTGGGTAAGCTGATAAGCTTGACTATTTTGTATATTGTTCCGAGGTGATCAGTGGTAATTAAAACAGAGCAATACATCCCCCTGTCCACAAACAAATATCAAAAAGTATTGCCAGTTAATTGGGATGCGCACAGTCATAAGTTATGATAATTATTGAGGAACAATGTGACTACTTGTGAAGAAGCTTGTCTCCAACTCGATCTGTTACAACTGAACGTTGGTGTGTCTTTGCAAAAGTTTAACAGAGTTTTGCATAGTTGATTGAGTCCAGAAGAAAGGGTTCTGAAATATATCTGGGATTTTTCCTTTAAGGACTGAATTATTATAAGATGCATTGCATACTCTGATTTTGGATATTTTACCTGAAGAAGTACATTTGTTATAATAGTAGTATTACTCGTATAAATCAACATAGTTTCATACTAATCTGATTTATTTACTATGTAAAATATACTACTGATAGTTCTACCATTTATTTAAATTGTAGTCAACAAGAGAGACATTATTAAGTAGAAAAGCTCAGTTTGGTGATGCGTTAGGTAAAGAAAATGATGCTGCCTTAATTATAGATGGACAGGTAAATACTTTACAATATGAATTTTATTTTGTATCTCCGACTAAAGCATACTTGGAAATATAAATAAATTACCAGATTGACTCATTAACTGGCTGTCCTGTCGGTTAAATTCTTCTCCCATGCTTTACACATATAACTATAGTGATTTAGAAATAAATTATTTGTCTGTGATATCACCCACTGTGGAAGTGGACAATAAGCCCCACGATTGAACAAATGAAATTAAAGATCAATTTTAAAATGACCCGTGTAAAGTGAAAACTAGGTAGAACAGTGGTTAAAGTCACAACAAGCCAGATCATTCACATTTATCTCAAAAGTAAAATATTTGTTCAATTTTTTGATAATAAGTACAGCTGATTATTAAAAATTATGGCCCGACTCATATAAAGCAGATAGAATTATTATTACTTTATTTGTCTAAGACACAATCGATAGTAATCAATGTAACATTTAGATGATCATAGTTAAAATCGATATATTTGAATAATTTTTTGCGAGAATTGATTTTAAACTCTATATTTAACTTTTATTCTGGTATGTTGGGGCTTTAAAATAATCAGATGTCATAAATATTAAATATTTATTTCAGACATTAAAATATGGTTTATTATGTGATTGTCGTAAAGATTTTCTAGATATAGCTTTATCTTGTAAGGCTGTTATTTGTTGTAGGTATGTATCATTCTTATAATAAAAGAAAGTAGTTTTATTGGGGGAACATTAATTAAACAACATTCATCTATATGTCTTCATTAGCCCAGTCAGAGTAGAACAGTAGGACGTTAAACCTCATTTCATTTCATTTCTAAATTCTATTTAAATTCAATTTTAAAGCATCTTTTAAAATTTTATATAAAAACTCTAAGGTATATAGGGAACATCTATGGTGTTTTTTTCATAGACCAGTTTATTTTTGCTTATTTATGAAATTTGGTTAATACAGTTTTGGGTGGTATTTTTATTTGCAGGGTCTCGCCACTACAGAAAGCAGAGTTAGTAGAATTAGTTAAAACCACACAGAAAACTATAACATTAGCTATAGGTGATGGAGCTAATGATGTTGGTATGATACAGGTAAATTATAGATTGTATATTTCACTTTTACCAGGAAAGTATAACATTAGCTATAGCTAATGATGTTGGTATGATACAGGTAAACTATAGATTGTATATTTCACTTTTACCTGTAAACTATATGCTAATGATGTTGGTATGATACAGGTAAACTGTAGATTGTATATTTTACTTTTACCTGTAAACTATATGCTAATGATGTTGGTATGATACAGGTAAACTGTAGATTGTATATTTCACTTTTACCTGTAAACTATATTATTAGCTATAGCTGATGCTAATGATGTCGGTATGAAACAGGTAAACAATACCTTGTATATTTCACTTAGTTATTAACACTATATGCATGTGTATGTTTTTCATTTAAACATAACTGTGAATTTTTCAAATGACTCTGCCGATTAGTAATGTTTGTATATGTACTAGTGAAATTTCTAAGATTTTACGTTGATTTCAATGTCCACATGTATGTCTTATTTGTATTTTAGTTTATTTGTATACTTCATTTTGTAAAGTACACATGAACACATAGTATTGGAATTTGTGCACTATAAAAATATATGCTGATAATATATCTTTTACTATATTTACCTAATACTGTATATTTCATTGCATGTACCTAATATTATATATTATAGGCTGCTCATGTAGGTGTTGGTATTAGTGGTTTAGAAGGTTTACAAGCTGCTTGTGCTTCAGATTACGCCATTGCACAGGTAAGTTCTTATTACCAACTATTGTTATCCAATAAAATATCTATTTTGGTATTGAGTTTTCAGTTTTAGTTGTATACCTATCATGATTCATTATTATTTCTAATTTCAGTTCCGATTTCTAAAGAAGTTATTATTAGTACACGGAGCCTGGAGTTATAGTCGACTGTGTAAACTTATTCTTTATTCCTTCTATAAAAATATCTGTCTCTATGTTATTGAGGTAAGATATGTGTATCTATGTTATTAAATTAAGTTCTATAAAAATATCTGACTGTTATTGAGGTAAGATGTCTGCATCTATGTATTTGAAGTAAGTTCTATTGAAGTAAGTTCTATAAAAGTATCTATATTGAAGTACGATATCTGTATCAATGTTGTTGAAGAAAGTTCTATAAATATATCTGTATCAATGTTATTGAAATATTTTCTACAATTGCTTTTAGCAAGCTTATTAAGAAGACATAAAAGTTTATTCCTGTCTATAATTTTCAATTTTTGGGAACATTTAAATCTAAATATCCTCTCAGCTACATATTTGGCAATACAATGTATTCACCATATACAAAAACATTCTATAGGTTATTTAATTGCTTGATTTTTACTGAAAATTGTATATTTTACAGTTTTGGTTTCAAATAGTAAATGGTTTCTCTGGTCAGATTTTATTTGAGAGATGGAGTATTGGTTTATATAATGTGGTATGTATATTATATATTATAAAATAAGAGTTTAACATCTTCACTTTTCTGCCCAAGCCGTACTAAGACAGGCATACTCCATGGAGTGTAATTTTGTCCGGACAGTGCTACGGCATGCTCTTATTTTGATTTCTATCTGCACCACTGTCTTTTATAACCACAGTTAGTATATATAGACATGATCATCCAGGCACTTACACAGTGTGGAATTTGGGGACTTACGGCCAACTCAACAAGAAAACTAAAATTCTATATTTCTTCCAATTTCCAAATAGTAATATCACATAGCTTTAGATAATTGCACAGGATTAGAATAAATGTTTGCAAGAATCTTGCACCTACTGAATAACCCACCTACCTTTAATAAAGTAAGCTGATATTTTGTCTGTTATAGATATTTACAGCTGCCCCACCATTAGCTATGGGATTATTTGATAGATACTGTAGTGCTGATACTATGATGAAAAATCCTATACTCTATAAAGATAGCCAAAAAGGAAGATTCTTTAATGTTAAGGTAAGGTATTTTTTTTATAAAAAAAACTCCATAACTCTATATCCTAAAAACACAAATGAGATCATTTAAATACTTTATCGACTGATGTTATTGAATAAACACAAAGTACATATCGAGTAAACTCAAGAATATCGGGCGTATACTAACTGAATAAAACAATATCTCCACCAATCACCACAGCTGTATTTAATCTTAACAATTCTACTTTCATTTCTGTTAACTATGACAGAATTTGATTGCATTCTGCCAGTTCTGATCGTTCACTCAAGTACACTCCTTACAATGGTAATATTTTAAGATTGAATTTTATGATTTTTTATAGGTATTTTGGATGTGGATTATGAATTCTATATTTCATTCCATACTTTTATTCTGGATGACTTTAGCAGCACTCAAACAAGGTAAACATTATGGGTTAATAAGAGTTTATTGTAATTTGACATAAAACACAGACATCTGGTGTAATTAGGCTTTGACCATGTACAATTAGTCCATCTGTAATGAACCAGGAAAACAACAGACTCATATATGCCATATGATTAATGTTGATTATTACAAAATCTCAACCGTTTGATAAAAAGTATTTCAACCTGAAATGTTATAAAGATAAGTGAACCACCTCTCATCTAACTTCAAATCTGTTTTTACTGCTGTTGTGTGGTGATTTTTAAATATCCATTGCTTACTGCTCTCTGCCAGCATCATCGTTTGATCCAACAGCAGAACTATCAACCAGTCCAGCCACTGTTACTCTTTCAAGGGAGTGTTGCCATCACTCCTCTGTTCCTAAAATATCAACCACTGAGTCTGATGCTGCTATCTTAGTGCATGCATTACTTACATGCTATTAGGTAACACAGGCACTGGTCTGCAAGTTTAACACATTATGGCTATTACCGGTACATTAAAATTTGAAGATTGTCATGACAATGGTTGTATATTTATAAACTTTAATCACTAATATTTAATAAATACCTTCTCAACTGTATTTTATTACATATTGTATTTTGTTTTTTATTTAACAGATATTTCTTTCTCTGATGGTAAAGTGGGAGATTATTTATTTATGGGGAACTTTGTTTATACTGTAAGTAAAACAAAAATAAAATTACATTAGGCTGTAGTAGAATGCAAAGGACATAATGAAGATTTTTGAGAAAAGTTACGCATTTTGATGTACACCAGAATGGATCAAATTCATGGATTGGTTGAGTGAAAAGAGTATATACCCTGTTTCTTATGCCTTATCCACACATAACTTTTCAATAAGATGATTTTTGTATTAACTTTTGTTGTCAACTAAATTGTTTTTGGGAATACAGCTAATATAGCTCTCAGAGATTGCATATTGCGTTATGACATCGCCATTTTCATCACTGTCACTGAAATCTGAGTCAAAACTTGTCATCAAAGTTCACCGTCTTCATCCTTGAATATTGCACCCAACACCTTCCTGGCAGTTAGCCGTGGCATAATGTCACTTTTTTGGGGACATGTATCAACACAAAAATCCCGCAAATTTCAGAAAATTAGTAAAAAAAACAAAAGCACAAGATTGACAGTAGAGGGTACTTCTTTTGTTTAGTGAAACGCCACCTATCTGATATAGGAGTTAACTCTATTAAAGCGCTGGGAAATAAATACAATCGATAAACCTGGAATATCCTGGGTAATGCGGGACCAAGGGTTAAGAAATGAGAAAATGAATGATATAAATATTGTGTATTTCAGTATGTTGTGGTAACAGTGTGTTTGAAAGCAGCTCTAGAAACAGGAGCATGGACTTGGGTAATATTTTATTGTAGTAATAAATTAAAATAGTCCATAAATACATAATACAAGCACATTCTACATGCCATAGAACATCAGCTGAGACTCAGTCTATGTTATGAATTGTAATTGTATGTGTAAACTAGCATAATATAAAACAAAATCATGTATGTATTAACAATTCTAAGTAACTTGGTTTTAGTTGTTTGGGACCCACAGTGGCTAAGTGAGTATGCTTAGTCTGGCCTTTACGGATTTGCTAACAGTTTCGGCCTAGAATGTTCATCAGGTTTTTCTGGTGTGGTTTCCCCTTGTCAGTGGTGCAAGATGGAGGGCCTGGGACAACTTTCTAGTTGTTTATATGTGGTGAAAAAACTGAGGTCCCGTGTACAACTTGGCGTGCACATAAAAGATCCCTTCACAGTTAGAATTTGTATAAGTGTGACTGTTGCGACGTTGTACGGGCAAAATTTCCTTGATAGCACAATGTATGGCATATCCCATCATCATTAGTCCAGTCAGAGCAGAGCAGTGAGACGTTAAACACCTATAATGTTAGAACTGTATTGCTACAGAAATCATTATTGCAATACAGTCAAAGTATTGCATTATATTGCGTGTAAGATACTTATTTTAATCTACTAGGCTTGTTGTATATAACAGCTTGTATATATTCAAGTATAAGCAGTACGGTGTATATATTTCTAGAGTAGATATAGAATTGAGATGATATCATCTGTCATGCATCTAGGTATGGATATTTTAATGATTTGTACTAATGTTCAATCCTAATGAGTTTGTTGAACTTATGTATTTATGATTTATTTATTGTAGTTAACCCATCTGGCTATCTGGGGCAGTATTGCCTGCTGGTTTTTATTCCTGATAGTCTATAGTCATGTATTTCCTATAGTAGACTTAGCACCAGAAATGGTGGGGATGGTAAGTATATATATTTATTTCTTCCTTTAATACATTGTATACAATGAAAATCATAAATTAATTTTGTGAAAACTAATTTATTGTGTCGTAAAAAGAGAGCGATCACTCACCCTTACACTTAAACTCATCTGAATTATAATCCTTCGAGACTTACGTGTTGTTCTCCTGGAGAGGGGAGCCACAGTGGCTAAGTGAGTAAGTTGCTGGCTCGATAACAATGAGTTCCCTGGTTTTCTCCTGATGTTGGCAGGAGCATCTCTAGTCAATTGGATAGGACAAAAACAGGTCCCTTGCACATATTGGTGTGCACATTAAATAGCCCATGACAGTTGACATTCGTAAAAAAATAAGAGTAGTGTCACTATCTGGTCAAAATGTCCCACATAGCACACTGCATGGGATATGCCCGTCTTCATTAGCACCCTGTTGATGCAGAAAAATAAGACATTAAACCCTATTTTATTTCTTATGGTAAGGTCTGCTCTAGAGACATTACTCGATCTGAAGTTCTCATAGATGTAAATACTGACAGGGTAAACCTGATTGCTAAATAATTAATGACATATTTCCATACAAATTTCATGTGCTTTATGATATATTCTAGGATCGTTATGTATTTGGTTGTTCTTTATTCTGGTTGGGTTTAATTATCATTCCAACATCATCATTACTCAGAGATTTCTCTTGGAAAGTGTAAGTAGCCTTTATTTATCTGTATTTCATTGTGTACAAATGCATCCAAATTGTAGATATGTTTTTTGTTAGATATGAATTAATATAAAAGTTTTTTTTAAAAATATATTTTAGATTAAGGAGATGGTTCTATAAATCACAGAGGCAATATGTACAAGAAATGGAATTATCTAATAAAGAAGCTGTTATTCATTCATCTTCTCCTAAAAAGAAAAGGTAAGTTTACATATTCTCACCTTGATTCTGTCAGAAACGGGAGCAAAGATTTTGGCTACTGGTTATATTGTTGACTAAATCCCAAAGCAAGCTGAATTTGGGATGTCAAAACTTTTTGAAAGCAAGCTAATAATGGAGAAAAGGCAATTTTCAAACCCATTTCATGCTTTTCAAAGGTGACAAACGGATGGGATGAAAAATTGACAACCCATGTATATATTGGTTATTGACCAAAAATATCCCTTTAAACTTTGAAGAAGAGTGGATGTCTGGGCAAATTGCTCCCCTTGCATTGGACACATAATCGTAGAAATAAACTGGGCATTTCCACATACTCTTCATCAATTTCAAAAGTGTCAAAAGTTCCTTTATGTGTACACAGGGCCTCAGTTTTTCACCCAGAACCTCCCCTTAGTGTCATAATGAGCTAAGTAAAACCCAATTCCATTCTTTTATTTTTAGTCTTAAGACCTGAATGATCCATTTAGTGAGCAGTTTTATAATCCATATTGTATTTTTTCTTGATTTTAATTTGTTTAGACCAATATCAGAGAGAGCTCGTCTGTTAGGATGTAGTTTATTTTCACGACCTGGTAGAATGTCACAGACCACAGATCAACCACGTAAGTCTTACATGTCCACTGCTAATATATCAGTATAAATATAGTTTAGATACTTATAGTTTACTATTATGTCTTCCATCAAGGCTAAATCTAACAGTGTAGGACTGTTAGGAGGATGCCCTGTATGTTGTTAAGTTATGTTCAGATATATTTTTAATTTGTCTTAGTTAATTATGAATTCAAATTAAATCTGCTGTCTTCCTTATTTTGTTTTTAACATTTAAGCACATTGATTTGTTTTGTATCAATTGCTACCGACAGTTGTCTGTTGAAAACTGTTGTAGTGGCAGTCTTATGAACATCTGTCATTCTGATGAAAGTCATTTGAATGACCATCGTCCTAGAATCAGTTGTCTAAACAACTATCATCCTAGCAGCAGTAGTCAAAACAACTATCATCCTAGCAGCAGTAGTCAAAACAACTATGTCCTAGCTTCAGTTGTCTAAACAACTATCATCCTAGAATCCGTTGTCTGAACAACTATCGTCCTAACATCAGTCATCTTAACAGTTATTTCCTAATGGCAGTTATATCTAGACAGCTGCAGTCATTCCAACAACTATTGTCCTGTGTACCATATTTACAAGCGGAGTTGGATGGCTGAATGGTTAGCACTTATGCAGTGTATCATACGGTCTGTCATTGATTCAACTGGCATGGTTTCGATTCCCTGGTTGTACGTGACAAGGAGTAGGGTCGCCTGTCCAACCTCGTGGGTTTTCTCCGGGTCCTCCAGTTTCCTCCCACTGCTAAAGACCCCTACGTGCAAGCGATTATTGAAATAAAATTGTTAGTCCCGAAATGACCTAGTTTGTGTCGAGTGGACGTTAAACCCCATTTCTCTCTCTCTCTCTCTCCATATTTACAATGAACTGGATCACAGAAAACTACAATTTTGTACCTAAAATAAGGTTGATAGTAGATTTGATTTTCAGTCTAATAGTATTGTATTGTTGTATTATGTTGATTATTTTGAGATATGTAATGTCATTGATATAACAGTTTGTCTTACTAACATCATCTTAACATGACTGTGAGCTTGTGCACATTTATTAGAAAATATAAACAGTTGCTAATTGTCTAACTCAACTAAACATTTATATATGTTACAAAAAATACTCAATGTCAGGTGAGTGTATAAATATTACAGAGTCTACTTATTTGATTAGTTCATATCATGTTCTTTGGAACAAGAACATAGAATTATCAGAGAGATCCTGTAATCTGTCTTGATTAATGTCTGCTATTTCTATGATTTCACCTTAAAAATGATATGTGTTGGACAGTATTTTAATCAAGAACATAGATAAATCCAGGAAATTATATAAGCTGTCTTGAATAAGGTCTGTTATTCCTAAAATAAAATGTTGGACAGTATTTTTTATCAAGAACATAGATAAATCCAGGAAATTCTATAATTTGTCTTGAGTATTGTCTGTTATTCCTATGATGCCATCTTAAAAATGGAATGTTGAATAGTATTTGTCAAAAACATAATTAAATCCAAGAAAATCTATAAGCTGTCTTGAATAAGATCTGCTGTTCCTGTAGATTTCACCTTAAAAATGGAATGTGTTGGACAGTATTTTAATGAAGAGGGCCTATACCCACACAATCTAATTCTACTAACAGCTGTAGATCATTAACAAAGTCACGATCACTTTTAGTTCCTATATTATACCAGCATTACTACAGCTCGTCTCACATCATCTTCAATAATTATTGTCTTGAATCTGGAAGTAGTATGCTGATTGGCTTCATACCGAGGAAGTAAGCTAATAATAATAGTAATTTTGGTTATATCACATCTTGCCATGCCAAGGTTATTATTAATATGTATTATGACTAAAAAGAACTCTATAGTCATTTCTTTAATTGTAACAATGATTATTTTAACCTAAATAATAACTATATATCTATTAGGCTGTGAGAATATAGAAACTATTCATATATAATAACTACTGCTAGTTTGGTGAGTTAATGCAATAATTGTATCATTATAATAGTTGAGTGGCTTTTAGTGTGGGACAAGTACGCTATACTAATACTAAAACATCATCATCACACACCAGTAGCATACTAGAGAATAATTTCATGAACAGTCAGTTGTAAATTTACAGTTGCTTGTCTTTAATTTCTAACTGTAAAGCAAGAAATTAATGCATCAAGTTATTTAAAGATGCTTTCACACGTACAAAATGTGATTTGATGATATATTTAGGCTGAAAACATATTCAAATTAATTTATCATTTTCAAACGGTTGCTTCTGATCCCTCTGAAAACATTTCAATCGGAAGAAAACTAATCTATTTTTCATAACAAAACACAAGGTATATATGGATGTAACTACTTCTCTATTATTTAATAACAACGTTTCGTAACACATACAGGTCACGTTTTCAAGTTAATGATAAATATCCATCTACTCAACCTATTTATACATATTTTATCATTCTACTAAGGGTCAATTATCTATTATTGTTTGTCTTATTTATTGACATTGTGGTTGCTTTTAATTTATTTTAATGGTTTCTTCTGGTTATTAATTAGTTCGGTGTAAGCCAAATATGTATAAATAGGCTGACTAGATGGATATTTATCATTATGTAACTTGAAGAAGTGACCTGTATGTGTTACGAAGCGTTGTTATTAAATAAGAGAGAAGTAGTTAATCCATATATACCTTGTGTTTTGTTATGAATAGTTAACCGTGCTTCTAGATGTCATTTAAAGAATTAATCTATTTTTATCATCCCTGTTTATCATGTGAAATCTTATATACACTACTAGAATTTTGTTGTTTATTCCCAATAACACAGAGATTGTCTATTCCTATACCTTCCAAAACATGTCCATGGGTGCAGGATGTTGATGACTTAAACTTCCCATTTTGATACGATTATAATTAGTGCTCCTACGGTTAGGACTTTTTGTTATTCGAATAGCCGTTGCTATTAACCGGTTAGTAACCGTTAACCGTATGGTATCAATTTTAAACATAAAACAGAGCTTGTCTGGAGCTACGAGTCATTACTCGTGCGCACACTATACTCGCCTTATAAAAGGCATTACACGCGCAAAAATTTCAGGAATTTTTTCAGACATGAACAATTCTTTAATGAAAATTTAAACTATCTAAGGCCTTAGCTATTTATTTACCTGGTTAACTTGAAACATTTTTTTAATTCAATATAACGATAATATACAAAACAATACTCAATTTCCCTTCGTACGTGACAGACGGCGATAATATTACGATTACACAATGTTACTAAGAATAGAATAAAGTAAATTTAACTGAAAACCAAAGTAGAATTCATTCGAGAAATTACGAGATATGAAACGTGTTCAATGCCGTAACGAATCTAGTATAATGTCATTTTCTAGCCTTTATGATTATATTTTGAATGGTGGTTACGTTTTGAAGTAAATAATAAACAAGGTAGAATATAGTTAGAAATGCCGAGAAGTATTTATATTGGATTAACAATAGCAAAAGACGAACAAGGTCCGTTGACTTTGCCGTATGACTACGACGAGTGCTATTAATAGTATCATTGTTTAGCAGTCGACATCGTTGGACGACTGTTACATTCTAAAATTTTCAAACATCAAATACAAAATTACAACGGGCAAGTTTTGTTATAAAGAGGAATATAATCAGACACAACTCTATGTAATGGGGGACATCTCCGAATAACCGTACCGTTGAATTCAAACCGTTTAACCGTCCAGTTCTAACCGTTTACGGCTATCCGACTAGTCGTAGGAGCACTAATTATAATTCTTGTTTCATGTCTGAGGATTTATTAGCATTAGTAAATTGTAGTCTAATTTTATTAAACTTGGTAAAACTTACAACTATAAACCCCTGGAAAAAAATCTTGCTTTACAGTATTTCATGAACTAGTACTGTACAGACCTCCATTAGGCGTAGATTAGTTCATCTTGGGTCGTATTAGTCTTCTGGAGTTATCCCCCTCCCCCTTCTCCTTCCTTGAACATGGCACACTTGTATCATGGTACAGCATGTAAAAACATCAAATATTTAAGATATTTGTATTACTGGTAGTTTGTCACAGTATCATAGTTGAAGATTAGTTTTAGACATCCAACTTATGTTTTGTGTTCACACTAATTTAGATTAATGCCATCACATACGTTATAGATTCCAACTGTGTAACACAATTCAATTGGTGTGTCATTGTAGGAAACACAATCCTCTAAAACAATTAGCATCACTGACTAATTCTGATGTTTTATTAACATAAACTTGTCATCACCTTAATATTTTATAAAATGTTCCCCTTGTGTCTCCATATAAAATTATACTCACCCCCGAGATATATTAACTGGAATTGATAATTTCATTCTTTTGTTTAGTTTTAAGCTGTGTTTCCATTATTGCTGTTCTTTTTTGTTTTTAATGTGTTGGGTGTGACTCATTTTGATTTTTGAAAGGAGTTGAGATTCTTAAGTGTATAATTTTTGGGTATTGTTGACAGAATGTTTATAAAGACGACAGAACTTTGTCCACTGGTTAGTAGCCCACAAAAAGTTATATAATAAGTACACAATAATTTTTCTATACACAGAATACAATAAAATTGTACAACACAACCTGTAATATATATTGAATACACACTGAAATATCACAATATTGTAATACACACCGAATACAACAGTGTTATAATGCACGATGAATACCACAGTGTTATAATGCACACTGAGATCACCAATGTTGTAATACAACAGTTTTACAATGCTCAATGAATACAACAGTGTTATAAAATTCACTGAACTCACCAATGTTGCAATACACACTGAATACAACACACTAAATTCCAATAAGCACAAAGCTATTCACTAAAGTGGTGTCATATTTTTAATTCAGTTATTTCTGCTTATATCACAAAGGTACATAAGTTATATCAAAATAATGTATTAAAAGGAGAGATGCAAAATAAAAAATTTCAGTCTTATGGGGATATGTGCACTTATTTGCTTCAATGTGGTAGTCAATTAGTCAATATTTGTACATATAAAAGTTAATTATAAAAGTCAGTAATAGTATTACTTTTAAAAATAGATTTGTTTGTTAGTTGTATCCGTATGTAGGTAAAAAGATAGCTATTTTGATGGTACAGTAACACATTCTTTTCATTTACCCCCCCCCCCATTTTCTTGTTGATCCTGCTAAGTACAAAGCTGTATTGTCCTAATCAATTAGAAATTTTCATAATCTTATTAAACTGCCTTGGATTTAGTTACAGAAATGCAGATTTTGTTCCATTCATTTATAGAAGTGAACTACACAAAACAGTGTATACTTAGTTTTTCTATTATAACAGACAAATAGTAATCTGTACTATAACATCTAAAGCAGTTTAGTAATTTCATAAAAATGTTCTATGAAGAAAGAATTAATAGTGAATTAAGCAGTTTTTATTATTAATATAGTTTCTTTTAGATTCTGTAATATGTTAGAATTAGATACGTTTACAGGTAGAACAATATTCAGTATTTTAATCTAAGCTTCATATTAACTTTGAACTCAATAAAAAGAAATTTGAAAGAGTCAATCTGAATTATTTCATAATTTTGTAAAAGAATTTTTCATTATATTTGTATTAAAACTTAATTCTGAATCATAAATAGATTATGTCTTTTTATTAGGTTCAGATCTGATAGCATCTATATTTCAGCTATATACTATTCTCTCACTAATAGCATCATGTATACATTCTCTTTGATATCTTGGAATCTTGCTTCATACCACTATACATTATAATTCAATTCACTCAGGCCTACTCTAGATGACACACACAACTGTTTTAGTTTCAGAGTGATTTGGTTTGGAAATCCAATTTAAGATAGATTACGTTATTTTAACCAATACCCGACCCGATCATACTTCTTTTCGATTTCATTTCTTTTTTATTTCATGTGTAGTAACCATGATCACATGAACTGTGCATTTTATAGAGATGTAGAATTTACTGTACAGATTTGGTCAAAATTATGCCATTGGTTGATCTTGTATTAATGACACATGATCAGTGTTGGTTTGCTATTGCAAGCCATTCCTAAGGAAAATAATCTCTTTTCATGGTGACTTGTAAAGTGCTGGCTCACTAGTTCATGAAAAAAAGAGAGACAAAAAAACGATGAAATACTTGAATTTTCATGAGATAACTAGTACAGGTATTTACCGCACACTGGAGTCTAATCAAACTATAATATGTAGTAGGTAATTTGGCACTCCTTAGTAGACAATCCCAATACAGATCACTCTGAAGCAACAAACCATCAACCAATTATCTTCTTGATTTCAAACCAGTATATAATTGAGTTATTGCACCTTTCTCTTTGCTTGTCCCTTTACATAATATCATGTTCGCTGTTTGCACCCATAACACAACCATACACAGAATGTCATGAATTTTTGATGAGACACATTGACAGATGAAATATATGGAACTATCACTCACACTTTGTATGTTGTAAAAAAAAAGAATTCTTTTAATTATATTCTGATGTCATTTTCCATTATTTAAATCATTGATCAAATTTCATACTTTTGATAGTGGTCACATCAAATGCTTATTTTACTATTCAAATATTCGAAATCATTATCCGATTCCTATTCAAATGTTCATTCAATTGAATTGATCAATTTTGTACCCTTTTTGGTGCATTTAATGATTTATAGAAAATATGAATCTATCAAATCAATATATTTTTTTTTTATCTCCAGATTTGTTTATTTTTTAATATTAGTTGATTTCATTGAACAGATTTTATTAAATATTTCATAGGAGGCAAAAACATATCAGATTCCAATAGTTTTAATTGACATTAAATATTGAATACAAATTCCAATTTGAAAATTCAAGTATTTGTGTGAGCACTATGTCTTACATTCAGTCGATGTTATGAGATAATCTCAATAGCTAAAATAACTTCTTTTCTTTGCATCACAAAAATTAAGGAAAACCTTTTCAAATATATTACATAAGTAAGAAACATATTTTGAATGGCTAACAAGAGACACGTTTTATGAAATTAAACATTCACCCAGTGGTAGTATAAATGTTTTGTTTTTGTTTTCAACTTGGTGTTCTTTTGTCTACTTATGCTTAACTTGATTTGGATTGGAAGCTGATTTAAATAATTTTATTTTATTTTACATGCTAATGTATTCAACTAACTAATATTTGAATGTAAATAATTAGATGAATTTTTTTGTATGAATGATTATTAATAATTGTTAGTTAAATGTTTATGTTATGGATAGATGTATTATTTATTTTCTAACCTGAGCCTATTTGTTACGTTAGCATGATTTGATTTATTTGTTTTTTATTGTCTTTATAAAATTAGCTCCGTCACCTACTCCTTCACGTAAGTTTATGTTTTCTAGCTTTTCATTATTTATAGATGTTTTGTGAATTAATTATAGTTAGTTCAAATATTACTAATATTCTTATCTGCAAACTAACCTTATTTATTTCTTTATTTTAAAACCTACAAAATAGACAACTGAAGGTAATTGTTCACCTATTGTGATATCCACATGGCCAATATCATCATTCAGAAACTTTCAAATACTGTTTCTGGCTAAATAAACCACATGGGTCAAAAAATCAAAACACAAGTATGCATAGACTTACATTCTATATTGAAAAACCTTTAAATTGATATGTGACTTATGGATTTACATAATTTACATGTATCTTACAAAAGGGCACAGATATTTAGGTATGGAGTACACACCATAATATTTATTTTAAGAAAAAAGCAATTAAAATTAGTATAACAAACAGATTTTATGCATTTCTGGTAAGTTTTTGGCTTTAGGGAATTAAAAATGAGGTCATTTTGGAAAACAAAATAGGTTGAATGAAATGTTTTGACAAGTAAATATATAATGCAGTTTCACAATCCCAAAATTGTTAGTTTAAAAGTTGCAAGTTCAAAATCATTACTGCTACTAACAAGTTATAGAAATGTTTTTATAAAAATGATATATTCAATCCAAATTTATACAGAATTATAGTGCCAGTACTTAAAGTTATTGAGTCAATGTTAGCTTATTTCTCCACTAAGCTGTGTTCATGTCTTTTAATTTAAAAGCAAAACATTAATCACTGGGTGATCAAGTACCTTCAGTGTTTCAGTTTGAATGCACTTTTGCAGCCTTATGATATCTTACATATTTGATATATTCCTATGTTTTCTTTCTTTCTATTTATTATATTACACTCCAGTTAACTCTTACAAAATAACCAAGATTATAATAGAGGGGAGGTAACTTTTGTGACTTGGTCCTTAATCTCATATTATCTCCCCTTAGACCACGAATGCCATATACTGTGTAGTGTAAATTATCTGCAGGAAGGAATTAAAAAAACAAATGTTGCAGTTCTCAGATACTCCTCCATTACACGGGTTGGGTGAATAATAGAGGTGTTACTAAACCATTGATGTATTTACAGGAGAAAGGTCATCAAGTCTAACTAACTATGGTATGATACTAACTGGGAATGAAGGATTCAATCTTGCTTACTTAATGTAGACTATTCTGATGGTGTATATTTTATCTTTTTCACTATTCTATCTTCGTAAATCCAACATCACATAATACTGTGCAGTAATAACTGTATATTTTAATTAGTTTCCAAATAGATATTTATACACATACAAATACTAATCAATATATTTTATACTTAATTAAGAATTAACTTTTAACTAAATCTACTTGTTTAAAACAACAAAGAATATATATATTTATATATATACGATTTTTAATGGTGAGAGTATAAGCAGAAATTTGTGCTTTAGTTGTAGGATGAGGGATTAGGAGAAACATTCACTTTTCTCACGATGGCATTTATATCCTGCCTTACATTAAAGAAGCTAAGTCTCTAACTCAATATTTTCCATAATATTCAGAATCAAAACACTAGTGAATTAAATATTGATCAATATTGATGTTATTATTTGCCATGAAATTATAGGATTCAAAAAAACAATATTTAAGTTTAAGACTATTAACATTTTATAATCAGTACACAAGTCATGTACCCTATAGTTTCAGGTGCTATTTTGTAATGAAAAAATATCCTACAATGCAGTGTGGAAGTAATTAGTAAAGGCTGATCCGCAAACAACAAAATAATAATTTAAAAAATGTGTAGAATGCAATAAGCAGTCATAGACAACTGCCGTTCAATTTGAAGTGTTCACTATTTCACCGATTATAATTGAGAAATAACAACATTTTCATCAAAAATTGAATATAAATCACTTCATATACATTAATAATAATACTACATTAATATGTGCTTTCAGAACATTTTTTGTCTATTTCAAAGTTCCAAACAATAGAGCCATTCGCCCTTTATAAAGAATAGAACAAATAAGAGTCTGTTATCAAATTTATTTAATTCATTTATATACACAGTACATTATTTTCCTACTTTCTTTATAACTTCATCTATATAACTATTCTGCACACAGAGAACTATCTACTCTACTTCGAGAATAAATCTCTGCCCTAAATGGCCACCATATCCAACAATTAGTATATTGTTTTGTAATGCGGTGCTACTCCGGTTCACATCTGTTATACACAAAAAGACTAATTAAACCTTTTCAATTTTATTAAATGAAAGCAGAATATATACTTCTCAAAATTCTCGAAATAAGTGTTTTTGACTAAAATCATTGATTTAGGACTTAAAATGTCGGTCAACTAGCTTAGTGTCTATTCTCACACAGAGCTAATTGTAAACAGGCAGCATAAGTTTAGTATGCTGTACAACACGTTGGTTGTCTTCCATCTATTTTGGGCAGTTGCTAACATGGACAAAGACCATATTTTCACTTTCATTTTTGATCAGAAATTGGGAATAAGTAATGGGTACACATTGTTGGTGTTAATAAGCCTGAGAATTACAATATGTAAAATAATGGTATTTATTTATTTATTTATTTATTTATTTATTTATGCAAATAGAATGTAAAGAATGATAAATATCACCATTATTTTACTACTCAGTTTTCTTGGATTAATGTGTCTTTTTGGTGCTGTATGTGGTTTGTTATGGGTTTTTTTTAATGCCTTTGCAGTACAATTAAGATGTTAGATGATAAGGTCATAACCAAACAGTGAGAATTCATAGCATAAATTGTTCTAGAAAAAATATTGTTGTTCACACTGATTCAGGAAATTTAATGACACTTGGTACAAATTGTATTTAGGGACATGATGCATCAATTTGGTTAAAACACAGATCATATTTCATTTCGTTTTTTTTATAGTTCAAAATTTTGTTTTACTTGTATTTACTACACTAGGATCTGGAAGAGTTGTTATATTACCCACATTCTGGATGATGTGAGGGATTAGCTAATGAAATGGTCTGTTGGCATGAGTTGCATGGAACTGTGGGTAACCCACTAGAAACATCAAGGCTGATTGGGTAATGAAATGTCTGACGTCATAGTGTCAAAAGCCACTCGTATGACCTCCGACACGACCTCCCACTACAACTGGTCAGATCTGTAGTAGAGGCCATGAAAGTATAAAAAAACGAAACAAAATATAGATCTGTTTTTTAATCAGATTGATGATGGATGGAAAAGTTATTTTTTACTTTATATATAAAACATGATTTACAAAATTTTATATTCAAATTGATTATTCCAAGATTGTGTAAATAGTCTAAAAATTTAGTAATAAACCACCCCCACTCTTAGCACACCAAGGCTGTCGGACTCTGACCTATGAAAGTTAAGTCAGCTAACATCGCACCAATGAATACATCCTGAATTATTAGCACAAGTTATAATTCTATGGATGTTCTGTGGTTTTGAAGTGTTTTGTTTTATCTACGTTGCTCTAACTCTGTAAAGAGGGGTTGGTTGTTGGGTTTACTGTTATGTTTTTTTTTTCAGCTTACAACATTAAAATTAAAGTTGTAACATTTTAGAATTCATATTTGATATTGTGAAAGAAAATAATGACTTCATATATACGAAATTAAAATATAAACAGGAATAGATTCCACTTTGTGTAAATCCACTCAAACTTATTGCAGTTCATATTGTCTGTTATGTCATTCACATCTTGTACTTTCATTTACAGAAAATTCTTGATTTAAAGGCACAGTATTCCTGGCTTAATAATGTAAAAGGCAAATATGGATAGGCTTACATTTATAAAAAAATAAATATTTTGGTCCAAACATTATGCAAATCCATCAATTCTGACTTCAGTTATAGCCATTATAACGATTTCTGCTGATGTCACACCTCCCATCTTATCTCTCTTATACAATACAAATATAATAATTGTGGGTTAGGTCTAAAAGCTAAGGTCCATTGCAAATTTCGTTATAGGTCACAAAATGTAATTGGGGCTAGGGCTAACCCTAATCCTCAATCTTGTCAACAATCATGTGAGCTAACCCTATTTACATCTTGTGACCTATATGTATGAAGACATCTACAATGGGCATTAGCTTTTAGCCTTTACCATAATGATGCTGTGTTTTTAGTACTAGCCAATACATAGTTCATGGAGGTCTTTTTATACTCTGGTCTGCTAAATTACATAACAGCAACAGTCATTTCATTAAAATAGTGCATATTTTAACTTTATGAATTATGGTTTCTGCCAAATTGATTCTTTAATAAGTCAGTTTTGATTTTTTTTATGTTTTATAAAATTATATTCTTATACTTTATTGTAGATGGTTATGCATTTTCTCAGGAAGAACATGGTGTTGTTGGTCAGGTAAGATAATCTTGTATACATACCTATACTTTCTCGGCCAACACCGGGATCAAACCTGCGACCTCAAGACTAGAGAGCCAGTGTCTTACTCACTTAGCCACCATGGCTCCTGTCGCTGTGTTGTTCGTATACATGGATATCCACACTGCCAGTTACCTTTGATGCTATTTTGTGCTGTCGCAGCAGAGAACATTTGGAATGCAGTATTTGAACTAATAATCAAGATCTGGAACTATTAAAATTAGTCCCACTGTGCTTAAAGATAGATTATGGGGGATTAGATAAAGACCTGGCAGTTCTCACTATAATAGTTAAAACCTAGATACTGTAAAGGGAATTTGCTGAAAATTTCAGTCACATTGATCCACTCTGAAACGAGAATTTAGCGATTAAATTTTCGGGCTACCCTTGATCATCATTACTAAAGTCGGTACGATAAAAAACATAGTCTTGATTATCCATTTCATGATTTTATCTTGAATGAAAGTTGAGCAGCAAATCGGATCCTAATCCAGTAAATACATCGAGAGTTAATTATGGTCTGGATAAGTTGATTAATAGGCAGATTTAGCTCTTGCATAATGCATGGTTAATAGCCTTAGTAAAGGGTAAAGAAAAAAAAATATACAAAAAGAAAACAAAATAAAGAACTAATTTTCATTACCTAGACTACAAGGTAGTAATGATTTTGACATGAATTTTATTTTATTTTATTTTATTTTAGGCAAGATTTGTTCGTGCTTATGACACAACAAGAGGAAAACCAGAAGGCTTGTGAAACTTTGTTCACACCAAGCAGTCAGATTAGATTTAAACAATCTATTACATAAGTAATATTATGTACATCTGTATTTTTTAATGTGTAATTTATAATTGTTTTATTATCTTACACACAAGCTTGTAATATTCTTTGTCTTAATCAAAACTAAACAAACCCTTCATGTTATTTATCTTTTGCGTGTACATTTTAAGTGTTAAGATAGTTTTAGTGATTTACACCTAATTTCCTTTCAAATTATTGAAAGTTGATAAATTGTAACTTAAATTTCGTCAAATTCTTGTAAAGAATGACCAACCCCATCATGTCATGTATGATAGGCAGATTCTTTTTTGATCATCAGTCAAGCCATCAACAGAGAATCATTCATCTTCTGGTGAAAATGGTTATTTCTGATTTGGCAATGATCAACTGATGTTTCAAAGATAATCCACTGATCATGCTATTTATTGGGGTTAACAAAATCAAACTTGGTCTACCTCAGAATTTCTCATCCAAATCTAAGAAAAGGGTAGACTTCTTTGAGTCGGCATAATATTGAAATCATTGATTTACCTAATCATTTGAAAGAAGTTATTTAACCGAATATTTATAAAACTGCAATTGAGAAGTGTATTTAACACTGGATACTAAGTCATGTCCTAGTAAATATGTAGGCTTTATCCAATAGTATGACATATAATTATAGATGTGCTTTCTATGCTCCCACATTTTATTTGCTGTTGTGGGCATATGTCTTGTTGCCTAGCAACCTATCTTTGTTTGTTTTTTCTAAGGGATAAACTAAATAGAACTTTTCATATGGAATGTATGGTCACCTGTTTTGCAAAATGGCTATTAACTTTGGGACTTTGCAATTTGCATGTATGATATGCCACTAATTTGAAGTTGATTTATGAAATACTTAACTGAAATTCACAAATAATCTTAGAATTAATTACAATAGGTTGAATTTTATCCAGATAATAATTGTAGTCGAAGCAGGGGTATTATAGGCTGGAATTTATTTACATGTATTGTTGTAGTATATCAGAATATTTATATTTCTGTATAATCATCTGTTTGTTAAATTGTATTTATTTTGTTTTGCATTGTGGTGTCTCAACTGTAAATTATATCAATATGTGATTTAGTTTGATAAGTATTATATTGATTAGATGTGTTCAGTAAATATTAGTGTATATATAAAACATGCAATCTACGCAACAGCTTATGCTTAACTTTTAAAAGAATTTTCTGAGCATGCTGTATATTAGGCTTGATAAATGAATGACTATTCACTATTGATAGTATTTTTTAAGAATAGAGTTATGGATCATATGATTGTAGAATCTATTTTATGGCTGATAATTTATCACAAAAATTGTATTCAGAATTACTGTGATTTAAAATATAGCCATCACTAACAGTTTATAATTTCACTCAATAAGTCAATTTTCTTCATGTTTAAGATGAATATTATTGTTTTAAGGTGTTATTATCAGAAAGGAGTTTAGTAAAACACTTGGTTGCCAATAGACGGTTTACCAAATTTTATTTTTGTCGGTCACCAAATCTGGTGTGGTTTAGATAAATAAGTTCTTGTCTGCTGATAAATTATCATTTGCACTGAATCATGATTTAAATAGTAACAGGGAGCAACTCACACTGATCACCAGTAAATATTCGCTAGGCCGCTACAATCACTGATAGGGATGAAATCGTTGTGGATTAATGAGCTCATGATATTAACTTTTTTCTTTCTGCAAATTAAATTCTAAAACATTTCTTTGAAGTATTAGAAAAATAACAGTGTTTGAAGTATATCTAGATAGTGTAACCAGTTTACGCTACAACGTCTTATGTAAACAATGCATGCACCATGGAGCCAATGATTGATGCCTCATGATCTTACGTCACATGTTAAACTTATAAAGTTCAGTCATCTTATACAGATTATTAGAAGGCTTTCGTAATAGGTCTGTGAAACGAATTAAGAGTAACTAGGCTGTGAAAGAATAAAAACTTGAGTTATTACTTTTACATTTTTCTTCTTGAATTTCACTAATCCATTTCTCTGATTTGAGGTCTTCTAGAATAGATTTTGCGATTTTGTCAGCCTTTAAAATCAAAGCGCTTTGGATTTAGATAGATCATCTTTAGATCTGAATTTTTTCAGACAATAATTACTTTAGACACTCTTAATACTGCTTTTAATTCATGTAACAATGTATAATCCTTGAGTGACATTTAGCTATCTGGCAACACTTTAACAAAACACAGTTTTTTATGGGATACAATCATTAGGTTTATTCTAAAAGCACAATGTTTCAACAAGTATCCTCTTATTGTTAGTGACTGTTTCCCATAAAAACTGTGATCTGTTAACAATGTATAAGCTTACTATATAGTATATTACATACATCTTTCTTTCAGAAATTAGATTATTTATTTTTATTTCAATGTTATGTTATATAGGGACTTGTTCAATTGTATTAATACCTGATTATTAGAGATTTTTTTAAATTATATATTTTACTTAATTTAGTGTGATAGATCTAACATTCCATTTAGTTCTCCATTTAGTATTCTACTTTAATTAAAGTAACTGATCATCATTTGATCCACATTAATATGTACTCACATTGATTATTTAACTTTTAATTAAAAAAACAAAATCCAATTGTCAATGGTTTAATCTCACCATGCCTCACATTGTTGTTGTTAGTTGTATTTTACGTCCGCTTCCACCAAGGTGATATCGCAGACAAGCCATGCCTCACATTATTATTACTGTTCATCTAATTAACAGTTAACTATGTTAATGATTCAAATATAAGTTCATGGGTCATCAGTTAACAAGTATCTTAAATGTTATTCACTTATCTTGCATTCAAAATTTACACATGAATCAGTCAAATATATGATTAGAAACTCACCATCACTGTATAAGGATATTTATCACTCCAATTACAAACATATCTTTAAAAATTGCAAATGCTCAAGTTCGTGTACGATTTATTTACAGAAGAGTTGAACACCGAATAAGTGATCTAAGAATCGAACTGTTGACGGGAGTAAAACATGCTATTGAATATGCTTGTGGGTTTATGATTTGTGTTTATATATAAATTATATATAAGCGGACTATAGTTTTAATCCTTTTGTATTTGATAATCCCCGTGCTTGACTGCTCCTACATGAGAATTATAGCGGAGGGCATAACATGACCTCTTATCAACAGTAGATAATCTATCATCTTGCATTCAATGAGATTTAAAAAAAGACCCGCCAAAAGATTTCACCGATCATCATAGGTAACGATGGATTGTATTGACTATATAACGCCATAATTTTTAATTCATCTTTGTAAATACTGAATGGAATTGGATAGTGTATGGACTGACATTCCTTTCAGAGATTTAATCTTCACAATATTGTAGTTTGGAGGGGTTCAACAATGCATCATATGACGATCAGAGACTTTAATACATATTTATAAATTTTGTTTTTTCTTGGCTTTTTTTTTTTTTTTTTTAAAATTCCCCACATATTTTGCTCAATTTACCGGTAGTAGTTATTCCATCATTATTTCATTCATTGTTTATAACATAAGAGTTTTGTTTTCCTGAACACTAAAGATGAGAAATGCTAGTTTAATGCAGACACTTGACTTAGTAAAGCATTTTGTACTATTATTAAAGAAGTGTTGTGCATGAGGTAGGGTAAGCTTTCCTGAATACAAAGTGATTTTGTCATGTTTAAGATTGAATTGTTGCTCTTGCAGGGTATGCTTACTGTGTAGAACACCTGGTACCACTTCTGATTCAAAATTAGTATTTCACATAGCTGATAACTTTTGTTTCTTAAACTATACCAGCAGTACATGTGTTAATATACAGTAAGGACAATGAACTGTGGTAGTGCTAATGGTGAAACTGATACCATGCATCTAAGATTTTTGTTATAAATTGTAGTTTGTTGTAAGTTTACATGGCTGAATCTCATAAATAAAATCATCAGTGGTTCATGTCAACTTATTTTTTTAAGATAAATATGTTCACCAGAGTTTGAATGTATTACTACGCAGAGAAGCAGTGCTTTTAACTTATTTTAAGTCTAGTCATATCTATGTAAAAAATAAGTTGTTGTAATTTAGGTTTGACTGTATAATACATGTGCATGAATCTGTAGAACTTTTAGTCTAAATGATGCTTCAGAAGTTCATAATTTTGTTCTATTGTACTGACTACTGTTTCATTTCATCACTGAACTGTATCAAGGCTGTAAGATTATTCCTTAAACGTCTATGAATGCTTTCTTTTTTCTGCACTAGTTAGCTTCTGAGTTAACTATATAAAAAAAATTCATCAAGCTAAGACGACCAGAAAGCACTGGTGTCAGGCATGAGCAGAGCATGCTTATTCTTTCCTAGATATATGAATATGATACCATTTATCACACCCTATAAGGAGGAGGATGTCTTGTGTTTGCTTACACTTTTATTCACCTTTGACATTCACTTGGTGTATGTATTTTTTCTTTAAATTTGTATTACCTGTACTGTATGTGTGTACTTTCTATTTGACTAATCACCGCCTTCTATTATTTGTAATGTAAATATTTTTCTGTAATGGTCAAAAATACTCTTTGTTTTTGGTCCATAATCCATTTTTTTCTCATCTGCATGTACACGTAAATTGTCTTTTTTTTTTAATTTGATTTTTTCCCCATTTTTGAAATGTTTTTATCTGTTATATCAATTATGAAAATAAAATCAATCAAGTCAATCATTTGTAACTTTTAATTCACATTAGACAGTGTGTAGAAGAGAGAGAAAGAGGTCTGTCCAATCTCAAATTAATTAGTAAATGCATGAATCCTTATGGTCATTATCTTGAATGGTTGCCCCACTACCCATCCATTAAAACATTTTGGTGAAGTACCAGCCAGTCCGCTATTTTTAGTATATTACCAGCCAATGTTACTGTCCAGTTTTGTGCACATCAGTCCCAAGTGAATTGAATATAGTGTCACCGGACAACCAAAAATATTTCGCAGCTACACAAAAGTTTTTACTGGCAGTAGCAATAACTATTATTGATGTGTGAAGGAAATGTCATAGGGCTCTTCTTAAATTCTTTATTTTGTGCAATTCACTTTGTTGAATCTTATGAATGCTCCAACTACAAAAGTTATCATCTGGTCTGTATGAAATGGATATCAGTGTCATGCAAAAGTTCCCATTACCTACAAAAGAATAAATGTGACAACCCTTGTCGACTGCTCGGATGAATTAGCCGCATGTTTTGTTGTCTGGCAACCCATCTTTGGTCAAAGCAAGAACCCTGAACACTCAAAGATTTAACAACCCAATTATATCTGTTTGACTACTGGATCACGAAATGGAAGCAGGATTGTAAGTGTACATCAGTCAGGTCTTGCTACCTTTATCAACTGATTACTTCTGTTGAGCTGAGATTATCCTCTTAATAGAACAGTAAATGGACAATGATATTTCCGCACATTTTTCAGTCATTTTAAGTGGGGTAGAGGTATTTTGTTCCAATTGGACCAATGTCATGCCGTCGCCTACTCTTTATTTCAAATTGTCAATAGTTCTTTTATGCGCACACTAGACAGATTTTTGGCATGTCCGAATGATTAGACACTGTACCTCGATAGATCCACCTTCCTGCACAACGGACATGTGAAAACCACTCTTGAAAATAGGGGGGACTTTGTTGGCCAACACTGATCTCCTGGATAGTAAGCCAGGGTCTTACTGGGCTACCTCTTGTCTCTACGAATTCCAGTATTCCGACTACATGTACCAATTTGAATACAAGAACAGACCCCCCCCCCCTTTCATTTAAAAGACAGGACACACTTTCCTTGCCAACCCATTTAACGGGGAAAAAGGCTTTCAAAATACAAAATGTTCAACCCGTGTCCGGATTCTAACCTGAAACATCCTAATTGTAAACGAAATAAAAAGAAATTAACAGATCTTTCAGACCTTTTATTCTTCTAAGACATACAAAAAAATACATTTACTACAGTTATAATAGACATTCTAAAAAAAACAATTGTTAACATAAAACACGAGATAATATGTAGCACTTTCAATAATTTCTTTTAGTTTTATTTTTCTTTAAAAAACGTGGCAAGTAACACTGTAGCAATCCATTTTTAGGATGTCTTTGTTCAAAGGTCAAAGTTGAATCAAAATCAATTTGAAAACTTAAAATATACAGTAAGAAATAGTATACATGTTCCCAAGGAGTAAAGGTGGAAATTGAACCACTTTTAACTTTATACAATTTATCATTCAAAATAAAAACAAACATCTAACAAATGAAGAGCTGTAGAAATATAATTAACTTTTAAAATTTACTTGCATTTAAAATTAACCAAACAATGGCCAAGGTTATGATTCCATGATGGCTAAAAATTTGAATAACTTAAAAAATGATCAATGGAACATTGCAAATTACTGATAAAATTGGTTATTTTTAACAAACTTAAACAAATGAAATAAAAATCCAAGATGTAAAAAAAATAACCAACATTTTCACGAATTTCTAATGAATCAACAAAGTTTGTATAATATTTAAAATCTATATACAAAGCGACTTGAAATATTAGTCCTTTTTAAAAGACATCAGAATCTCATGTAAATAACTACATCAACAAAAACATGAATGAACGTCAGTTTTTTTTTTATGTGATTTGAGTGAAATAACATAACAGGGCATGATTGATGATAAGAATGGAGTTGGATTCAAGACCAGACATCAGCTATGAATTTTTTTCTATTTACATATATACAGTAGCATAACTTAAAACTAGTGAAGTTTTTCAAATTAATAAATCCACAAAGTACAAGTTTCTTCTTTTAAACATGTGGTATAAGTAGGTACCATAAATATGGAGATTTAATGGTCAATCATTTACTATTACAATCAGATCAAAATACTTCCATTTTGTTTTGGACTAAGAATAAAGGAAAACCAAGCTCAGTTACAATGCCTTTGATAGGCCATAACATTTCTGTCTAACCAGTGAAAAAGTACATTACAGAATGCTTGGTCTCTACTAACAGTAAAGGAAACCTTGTACTTTGTGTATGGGCGTCTCATGATAATAATTACAGTTATTCTTAACACTCATTGACAGTTCTGTATTTTCAAACCTCTTTTTCTTTTGCATATCTTGAAATCTGGTCATGAATTATTTACACAAAATGTCAACAAAACAAGAAAAGGAAACAAATACAGCATGAATGATGGTTAAGCTGATGTCTAGAATTTTGATCACATGAATTAAATGAGGTGGTCAAATTACAACATGACTAATTTACTCGTCATCTTCATCTTCTTCGTCATCATCATCTTCCTCTTCATCATCGTCGTCCTCCTCAACAACAACCTTCTCTTCTTTAGGAGGAGCGGGTCGGCTCTTCTTGGCAGGGGTAGCACCTCCTTTATAAATTTCCATCTCCTGTTAATAGAAAATGTTCATAAAAAAGGCTTAGCTATGAATAATATTTTTATCGGATATCAGAAGATATATTAAAGTAGCCAAGTCTAACTCAGTATCATCCACAGTCTTTGAAATTGCTAACACGACTTATTGGTCAATTTAAATCAACATTGATGTTATTATCTTAACCTGAAAAGATGGGCTTCTGGAATCCAAACAATGAAAATTTGAAACTTTTCACACAAATCCTGTGACGGCATGCTTTCAAGTGCCATTTGTAATATAGTGACTGGATGAACGAGGCTAAACATACCCCACAAGGGAAGACTACCCGAGTAGACTGGGATAACCAGACGCCAAAGGCCACTATTCAATTTGCACTCTGGTGCCGAACAGAACCGATTAGAAATTACAGTTAAAACAGAAACGATTGAATGTTAATCAGTTTATATACACTTATATGTTGCAACCCATTGTGTACATTTCTAGGTGCCAAATAATAGCAATTTAGCTCGTGGTTGCCTTCTTAAAGTCCATCATTGAACTTACCTTTTGATATCGGATCTTGTCTTTTTCTGTCATTTCTTCGTACTTTCGCTTTTCTTTAACGTGTTCCCATCTTTTACCTAATTCTTTTGCGACCTCACCAATAGTATAGTTAGGGTAGACAGCTTTAACCTTAGGTCTTTCTTCATTACAGAAGAAAAAGAAAGCAGACCTGAAAATAACCAAAAACATAACCATAAAAGAAATTGTTTTGATAGAACCAAACTGCTTCAACTTTATGCTAATAATTCTAGAAAGTTATCGGATTCTAGAAAGTTATCTCCCTTTAAGGCTTATTCTTGCAGATTACTTTGTAGTTGAATCATCTTGACTCATTTCGGATATTCAAATCAAGACAAGTTTACTCATTAACTGGAAATGGTGGAGTATAAACTTACAAGGCTCGCTTTGGTGCATTGGGATCTTTCTTTCCTCGTCGTTTTTTACCAGCTTCAGTTCCAGTTGGGGCATAGGTCTGCATTTCCTTTTCATATCTGACCTTATCTTTGGCCGCCATATCTTCAAACCTCAATTTTTCTTTGGGGGTCATTTCCTAAAATTACAGATAAGCTTAATTTACTATCAGAACTTTAATGTAAAATTATTGAATTTGATATTTACCAAGATTTTCATTTGAAGACTAAAACAAAAAATAAATTCACAAGTCAACATGATCAGACCGGAGTCGTAAATCATATCTTTAAAATTTGCTATCTGCAATTAAATTGGAAATAATAAAACTAAATACTTTGGTAAATAAACTATACTACATCATACCTTCCATTTTGAGGCACATTTCTTGGTGAATTCAACAAAGACAACTCCTTCTCCAGGATGTTTTTTCTTGTGCTCTTCACGGCAAGTCTGGACAAAAAAGGCATAAGATGACATACGCCCACGTGGCTTTCCAGAATCTCCTCGACGACCCATTATTAATTTTTTTTTCTATTACAAACTAAATGGAATTCTGAAAACAAAAGAAAAATAAATTACAAAATTGTGCATAGAAATCTAAATATGTATCATGAAAATATTTTTTAAAATTATTCCAAGGTCAATCAGAAGCAGTATTAAATTTATTTAAAACTGATATCAACTTTCCTAAATTTTGAAACTTCCATTTTTTTTTTGTCTACTTTGAACTTTTAAGTATTCTGAGCAAAGAAATCTAAATAAGTATTATGAATTATTTTTTTAATAATCCCACAGTCAATCAGAAGCGATATTCTTTTAAAATTGATATTAAATAATTTCCTAAATTTTGAAAATCTCATTTTTTGTCTAGTTTTATTTTGAAGTATTTTGATTGGACCCATTTGATAAACTATGATTTTGACATCTCTTGTTCACTGCAGTATAAATAGCCAGACCAGGTGTGGTAAAATATCAACCAATCAGAGCTTCAATATGAATTACTCAAGTAAAAGTAGTACAAAAACAGCCAGCAAAACATAATAACTGGACTTCCTCGAGATAAGAAAAGATTAAACACCAATAAATTCAAGTCTGTTTTAATTGCGAGGAAAAGAACAGTGGAACTAAATCTGACTATTTCATAGAAATGGACACAAAGAAGTATTTTAAAATAAAAAATTTCTTCAGAAAGATATTGCTTTTTAAATAGATTTGTTAGCACTAGGATCCATCCTAATCAAGACAAATTGAAAAAAAAAAAAAAAAAATCCTTAAAAATGTTCCTTATTATAAAGTCAAGACCTGGGTTTGATTTCTAATTTACAAAAAAAAAAAAAAAAATCCTTTGTTTTTAATTTGATGAAATTAAAACTGAGACCAAACGACAGAAAGAGAAGATGAATGGTCTATTTAAGAAAAAAAAAGTATAATAAATAAATTAACATATTTAAGAAGGCCATTATGCATACTCTAGGTAACAAAAAATATTAAATGCAAAGAAATTAGGTTAATCTGTCCATTGCATTGCATTAAGAATATCTATCTCTTTAAAATGCACTATACTAAGATACCCCCATTGCTATGCTTCATATGATCGCAACAGTCTGCGCAACAATTTACTAAAATTCTCAACGCCTGTCTAGCTACCGCCATTTGCCTTGAAATTAGAGCAGACACAAAAATCAAACAAAGGAAATAGACCCGATAATCTCAAAAGAACTTAATTTCACCGATGGAACCTAACAAAATCTGTTGACCATTGCTACTAATGTATTATCACTTCACTCCACTGTATTAGGTATACCCTTGTATTGGGAATATTCGCCATAAAGATATCGTTGAATCCACTATATATGAGCGCGCAATAGACATGGCTGCCGCAAGTCGACAAACAACTACCCCAAAAATCACCTTCTCAATGTCAAATTCCAATCCCATGAATGAAAGACCACTTAAAAATCACCTACCAAAAATTTGACTACGTAAAATTATCTTGACAAAAGTGTAGCTAAATGTTTGAACTTCGTTTTCGAGACACCTATACTTCACTATATGTTATAGTGTGACTGTGAAGCAAATGGTTTTCGCTATGTACTTTCAGACAGGGCAGCCTGTATGGCCGCACAGCTATGTACGACGTTATGACAAAGAGAGACGCCCGTCAAATCGACAAAACAATTTTCACGTAAAACGGACCTGGATAAAAATTGACCACGGGAAAATACATTATAAAACGTAAAATATTGTTGGATATCAAAAGTGTCCGTCATTTATTCTCTATGAAAAACAAATCAAATCGCAATCGTATGTTTGCTATGCCTCCATCATGGCTACACAGACATGGCGCTCATAGCATTTATATAGGGCAAGCTCTGAGATGCGAAAATGTAAAAAATACCGTTATCTGAACATTAACAAGTTGTGAAAACACTTGCAATGGCTGGATATTGTGGATATCTACTGCAGAAAAATATTTTTCTATCAAAAAGTAAATTGTAAAAGTTACTTACGACACGTTACTTACCCCTATTAGTCTGTATTGGAGCTGTAATAACGCTGTACACTATACCCACGCTACTTATTTTGCTGTACAGACACTGCTGTACTTAAGATTCTGAGCTGCTGATTGGCTGGATTTCAGATTAACCGCACATTTTGTCCAATGGCTGCGGACCAATGACTCATGACGTCATTTCATATTTAATGAGGTATACGGACAAATAAACATGGCTTTGTGCGATCACATGACGTCTTCCAACACAACGGTCTGGCTCTTCCATGATTGATACAGGCTCGTTTACAACACGTGACAATCGATTTATGGCTTCCTTTTAAACTATTAACGCAGAAAACCAATACAATATGAATTTTTATTTCTAAATAAAATTGAAACCATGACGTATTTTTAACGTTTTGGTTGATAACAGCAAGCACTATTTCTGTCATCGTGTATATGTTTATGGGCGGGGCTTAAACAAAATATTTAATTTGACCTAACCTTTGACCTCTGAACTCGACATGCTAAAAATAATCCGCCATTCTGGTCAGCGTAGCTTTCTGCATGGTAAAGTGAAACCTAAACAGTTCAGTATTTTCAACAAAATACGTCGCAGCTGGCGTGTTTACTCTTATTTCATTGTTAAGTTCAAACGAGTATTTATACACACAGTCCGAAAGAAATTACTGATGAATTTGAGGTAAATATATTTGAATTATTGAAGTACTAGATCTAGGCCTAATGCATTGGATTTTTACGGAAAGAGTCAGTCAGAGAACATATTTTCACTGCTTTATGTTGTGGAGGTCGAACGAGAAATCTGGTTTCGTTCTTCTCAATGTTTATGGTTTCTCGATTTTATCAACACTGACTTATTAGCTTGATAACGGTGAGATAATACTCTTCGAAACATCGCCCAAATAATTTAGTAGCTGTTTTTACCATAAGTATGTGTTTTTGTGTATTGCTCTATCCAGTTACTAAATGCCTCTAAAAGTAAAAGATTACCGACTTATTTGACGTGATATATTCGTCGTAAAGGTTATCTTTTTTTATTGACTATTTTCTGAATGACACCACAGATTATACATGTGATGATGTCGTCACTATATTGAGAATATCATCATAAATGTAATGTTATATTACTTATCTGCCATGATCATGTCATCATGGGGCGTAAGTCGTAAGTTCTACTGTAAGAATTCAACCTGGTTATTTCTGGAGCAAGCCTATATAGCCAGCTCCTTCAGGAGTTGGAAGACACCACTAAAAATCCAGAACAAGGTTAGACAGGTGACCCAAACCATCAATCCTGACTTAAAATAAGTACAGGAAGACTGCAATCATACAAACAAAATCCACAAGACACATAATATACGCCCGGTGGACATTGCAAATATTAAACAACAGGTCCCAAAATCAATCCCAGTGTTGGTAGAGAAAGTTCCATGGAATCTTCCAGTGTGGCTTCCCCTTTTTATGGTGCTTGATGGGGGGCCTGGAAAGTAAACGCTCTAATTGTTCTGATGGGACAAAAATCCATATACACAGTGGAAGTTTGAATTCGGAAAAGTAGGAGGGAACACCACAGTCATAACATGGAGCGTCGCTTTTGGACAATATTAATCCCATTGCAGTTATCAACAAATCAGCTGGAAATATCAGTTATATGTTCATCGTCCCAGGTGTTCAAGCATCTTTGTGACATTTTGCAGAGTGCGTGATTTATCCATTGCAGAATCACTGTCCAATTAGAATGGCAGAAAAAGTTGTATGGTTTGGTTAAGCTCCTCATGTACTGTTTTAATCATGTGAGATTGGTTTAACTACAATCAAGATGTTGACCTTGTTTTTCGTCAGATTTGGGCAATGAAATCATTAGATCACCTTTGTATCAACAGGATAGGGCTCTATATCTCATCTTCGAGACAGATGTAATTTATAAAATTTTCTAGATCAGTGGGCCCTTCGACCGGTCCGCCTCCTGCGGTCTGTCCCTTAATCCTCCCCTGGGCCAGCTGTGTAAGCATCCACTGCACTATATAGTTCAGGGCCTAAAAATTTTAAATTTTGACAGATACCATCAAAACAAATCAACTCTTCAAAATTGCTTCAAGATGTATTATGTATGAATTAGATAAAGAGATGACAATTCTGGCTATAATAGTTCAAAAATAGATAATGAATATATTGAAATTTTCAGACAAATTTCATCATTCTGTATGAAGTTATGAGTGTTTAAAGTTTTGACAAAATATATCGTGATTAACTATTTTACCATTCAACTCTTAATGGCTGCAGTGTTTTAATCTACTTTAAACTCAGAGTCATCCGATGGCCCAGAGAGTTGATTATGGGCTTGTCATGTTAGTAAATGTTTAAATAATAATTTATAACATTTGAAGCTAAAAAAAAAGATTTAGCTCTTACATAATGTATCTTTAAATCAATAATTTTATTCTTCATCCAAATGCAAAAAGCATACAATATTTCTATTTTGTTATTTTATATATTTCAGTACTAACGGTTTTAGTACAGAAGATGATAGTCGAGGTGGACATGATCAGATCTGTTGTTTGATAGATAATAATGAGAGATGTACGAGACAAGCGGGTAACGCTAGTTACAGTAAACGAATACAGAAAACAGTTCAACAAAGAAAACTAAAACTTATTAGAGATGATAGTGTGAGTACATGTATTACTGTTTCTACCAATCCAAAGGGCATTGTGTATGCTCAATTGTATTTCCTTGTAGTGCTGGCACGATATATCGCTGAATCGATATATCTCGATTCACCTTCTCGTATTGAATCGCAAGATGCTGAATCAATGTATCACGATTCTTTTTTTGTTTTTTTGTTGCTTCAGTACTGCTGGCATGATATATCACTGAATCGATGTATCACGATTCACCTTCTTCAGATTCTTGTATTGAATCGCAAGACGCTGAATCGATGTATCAAGATTCTTTTTTTTATGTTTTTTTTTTGTTGCTTCAGTAAGTAACCTGGCACTCCTAATTATCCACATCACACCCTGATGCCAGCGTTACTGGTAAGAATCAGGAGACCAGCGCAACCGGCATATAATGGGGCCCTCCGAGGGCAGTGTTTAATCTACCGAAATACTGAAACACTGAAATCTACTGAAATTTACTGAAAACTAAAATTAAAATACAAAATAAAATATGGTCAATGATGGAGGTAGACTGATTGCGTCTTTTAAAACATTCAAAACATAATAGGCATCAACAAAATTTTGGAGAAAAAAAAAATCAGAATTTTTTTTTGGGGGGGGGGGGGGGAGCTATTTGTAAAATGAACATCGGAATGACCTTGACCATCCTTCATCGGCGCTCACTTGGTCCAGGCTCTGGGTTACCTATTTAGGGTGTTTTCCGGTATTTAGTGTTTTTCTGGTGTTTTCCGGTATTCAGTATAAAATGGTGTTTTCCGGTTGTTTTCCGGTGTTTTCCGGTATATAGTATGGCCCCAATGTCAATACCCAGCAGTAATTCCGTATGGGATTGACAGAATTGCAATCAAGTGAAACACTTATGCCAGTCCCAATCGGATAACAGATGTGGTGAGAGTGGAACCATGACATAAACAAACATCCCATGGGGGACTTGTTTTAGCTCTGGTGATTAGTTTGTGCATGCTTCTCCAGTCAAAATTCTATTTTTATTGGATTGACTTATTTCATATGTTTGATAGAATTCGTTTCCAGAACATGCAATCAGAAGCATTAGCTAAATAATTGCAAGCTGACCCCAGAGTTATTTGACTGAAATTAACAGTTCTGTTAATACAGAAATTGAATTGTACCAGTGTTAAGATATTAGCAGTTATCTTATATTACATCTTTTGACAGATAAAGACTGATAGATTTATAAGTAAAGATTGACAGATTTATAGGTAAAGACTGTCATGTTTATAGGTAAAGACTGTCAGATTTATAAGTAAAGACTGTCAGATTTATAACTAAAGACTGTCAGAAGTAAAGACTGTCAGAAGTAAAGACTGACAGACTGTCAGAAGTAAAGACTGTCAGATTTATAGGTAAAGACTGTCAGATTTATAAGTAAAGACTGACAGGTTTATAGGTAAAGGCTGTCAGATTTATAAGTAAAGACTGTCAGATTTATAAGTAAAGATGTCAGAAGTAAAGACTGTCAGATTTATAAGTAAAGACTGGCAGCTGATTTATAAGTAAAGATGTCAGAAGTAAAGACTGTCAGATTTATAAGTAAAGACTGGCAGCTGATTTATAAGTAAAGACTGGCAGCTGATTTTTAAGTAAAGACTAGCAGATTTATAAGTTTGTTTTTTTCCCTAGGTTTCTCATATCTATATTTGTGATACACATAAAAACATGATACAGAGTGTACGAAGTAAAAGAAAGAGAAAGGATAGTGAAGATGACAGAGGTTCACCTGAAGCAGAAGAAGATGTACCAGATGTAAGTCGATTTTTTTCTAATTTAGGCTAGCAATAGAACAGACTGAGTCCATTTTAACCTTATTTCATACATTTCTCCAACATTTTGCAGTTTATCCACATTGAAATATGCTTGCTTATTAATTATCGTTAGCCCTGTCCCTCCTTTATCAACAATTCTGTTTGGATGCTGTGGAGATCACAGTGTCAGTTTTATCTAGTCTTTATAAATTTTACATGTACCAGGGACTGCCAAAAAACCATGAAGAATGTTAATTTGCATTTATTTTCAAAAACAAATTTAGGCACTTGTGCCAATGATTCAAGATTGAAGGTGTAAGTAGGGTTATTTAAATTTCTACTGTAGTTTGACTAATCAGGTTCTACAGAAAGTTTAATTAGTGTGTGATGTCTCGGTGACAGTTGGCCACATGACGGTTTGCTTTTGGTTGTTGTAGTCTCCTGTTTACTATCTGGTTGATTGTCAGATTGTTAAAATCAGCAAATGTCTATATGAATGAAATTGTAAGTGATTCTTTTAATCTTTAAGAGTTTCAGTGAATCGTTTGAAAAATAAAAATGCACATGTATAACAATTTGTATTGTAGATTGATTTCTTCCAAATGCCAGTGAACACATTAAGGAGATATAAAAGACATTATAAAATTCCTACAAGGCAAGGTTTAAACAAGGCACAGTTAGCTGATGTAAGTATTTAAGCTTTCAGACTTTAGTCTTAAAGACTATTGTTATTATTAAGATTATTATTATTCTTTACCCCTACCTCCCGCCTATATCTCGAAGACTATCTGAGATATCGATCAGGGGTTTTATTTTCTAATGGAAAACCTTGTGACTGCTTCTGGATAAAACCATTTCAGAATTTCTACTTTGAACGATAGTAGCCGAATTTGTGAAACAGTAAGTCGGCCGTAGTTTCGGAAGTTCTTTAACTATCCCCCAAAATATTACATTATTGATAGCTTTTCTTGGGGTCTAAAAGATAGCATTTTTGGATACCTAAAGTCAATCCGATTCCAGCAATATATGTTTCATTAGAGTTATCACCCTTTATTTTTACAAATTTTCTGCCCATTTTCTAACCATTATTTTGTTAAAAATGCCCAATGGATGTTTCTGAAACTTCTAAAACATGGAGTCATAAGCCCAAAGCATTGGATAAATCTATCGAGACAATGATCCAGAAACCGGAACTACTCAAAATTATATTTTGTAAAAAAGTCCAACTAATGGATACGTTTGTGAAAAATGGGATTTTTCCATTCGATATTACCGGATCAAAATAACTAAAGTATTGTTGGGTTGCCAGATAGCATTTGGGGTCTAAAAGATAGCATTTTTGGATACCTAAAGTCAATCCGATTCCAGCAATATATGTTACATTAGAGTTATCACCCTTTATTTTTACAAATTTTCTGCCCATTTTCTAACCATTATTTTGTTAAAAATGCCCAATGGATGTTTCTGAAACTTCTAAAACATGGAGTCATAAGCCCAAAGCATTGGATAAATCTATCGAGACAATGATCCAGAAACCGGAACTACTCAAAATTATATTTTGTAAAAAAGCCCAACTAATGGATACGTTTGGGAAAAATGGGATTTCTCCATTGGATATTACTGGATCAAAATAACTAAAGTATTGTTGGGTTTCACTTTGAAAAATCTTGTGGACGCTCTAGAGTCTAAAGTTAATATCCGATTGACTTTCAATTTATACACAGTGTTTAAGGTTGTGAGACGAAGAAGCCTAGTGATTTTCAATGATTTCCAATCATTACTACTAGAGTTATGGCCTTGATCACTTTGAAAAATCTTGTGGATGCTCTAGAGGCAAACATTTTCATCCGATTGACTGTAGATTGATACACAGAGTTTAAGGTCTTGAGACAAACAAGTATATTGCTTTTCAATGAATTTTGATAACTTGAACAACTAAATCCATGATATTAAATGTTTCGTATACTAAACATTGGGGCAGAACTAAAAGCCAAACAAATTCTAATGATTTTCTGATAATTACTTAATGAATTGTTACTCTCAATCAGATTTTAGTGTATTATAAATCTTTCATTACTGACAATAGAAAAAATATGCAACAACTCTTGTTGACTGCTCGGACGACTTAGCTGCAGTGGGCGTATGTTTCATTACCTTGCAACCTATCTTTGATAAATTGAACAGCCAAATCCATGATATTAAATGTTTTGTATACTCAATGTTAGCATGGACCAAACAAATTCTAATGATTTTCTGATAATTACTTTAATCAGATTTTAGTGTATTATAAATGTTTCATTACCGACAAAAGTAAAAATATGCAACAGCTCTTGTTGATGGGTGTATGTTTCATTGCCTGGCAACCTATCTTTCTCGAATATATCGGTGGTCTAGGGTGTGAATCCAAATGAAGAGTTCAGGGGAAGAACGATCTAAGTCACATTTTTGTCTTTTCGGACAGACTAAGTTTAGCATGGTGATAAACAAGCCTGATACATTACAAATATATTCTTGCGACATGGGCTATTTTTCTTTGAATTAAAATGTTTTGAGAGGGATTTGAAGCAAACGTTTGATAAATTATTTAGTCCAGATGTATCATCAAATGACACAGTTTGTATGCGGGAAGGCATAATTAAATGAAAGAATTGGGCAAATCTATGGAAACAATAAATCATATGATTACCCTAGACATCGCCCATTTTTAGATGTCAATTAATTTTGTCTGTACAATTTGGATTACAAATTGCGATTTTGTATGCTAACCTGTGTTGCTGATTCTATTGCTTGAGTTGTTAACTACATGGTCACGTAACAGAACCATTGACAGTTAAAATTCGAAATAAAAGCAGGCCTCTAGTGCCACTCTCCTGACAAAATTTCCCTCATATTACACTGTATGGTGTATACCCTTCTTCATTAGCCAAGTCGGTGCAGGAAAGAAGGCCATTAACATTAAACCCCCATTTCATTTCTTTTTTTTTAAAAAACTACATGTATCCCTTTTTTTATACGCTCACTGGGAAATGTGGTCATATATTGTCGTTGCTTCAGTCTGTCGTCTCCAATTTCTTGTGAACACTCTACAGACTACATTTATTATCTGATTGTTTTAAAATTGATATATGATGTTTACATTAGTGAGATGAAGATTCTTATTTAATTTCAAATATTTCCGTTAATTTTTTCTGGAGTCATGGCCCTTGTTTCACTTTATTGCACCTTGTGAACACTCTAATGACAAAAATTATCATCTGATCTGTTTGAAATGAAGAAGCCTATTGGTTTTCAGCAATTTCTGTTTATTATGTCTAGAATTATGGCCCTTGTTTCACTTTGTCAACAGATTTGTATGACATCTATATGCATTATTTAAATTAGTAAAACGAAGAAGCCTTTTGAATTTCATCAATTTCTGTTTATTACGTCTAGAGTTATTTATATGCATTATTTAAATTAATATTACGAAGAATCCTATTGAATTTCAGCAATTTCTGTTTATTACGTCTAGAGTTATTACCCTTGTTTCACTTTGTTGAAACCTGTGAATGCCTGATTGGCGAAAGTTATCATCTGATCTCTGTATGAAATTTTTATGCATAATTTGAATTAATAAAACAAAGAATCCTATTGAATATCAGCACTTTCCAATAATTACTTCTAGAGTTATCACCCTTGTTTAACTTTGTTGAACCTTGGGAACGTTTGAGTGCTTGTTTCAAGTTGTAGCACCTTAACTACAAAAGATCAAATATGCGAGAACCCTTGTTGACCGCTCGGATGATTTAACTGCTGTGGGCGAATGTTTAGTTGCCTGGCAACCTATCTTTGTTGTTGGAATGCTTCTGCAGAAGGTGATGTTCACACCCCAAATGGAATAGCATAACAAGGCAAACCAGTCAACAATATCCCGCTTCCTTTTATATTAAAAACTGTCAAATTTGTTTCCATGGAAACACAGATATATAAATCTGACAAGTTTCTAATTAGCAAAAGCCCAAACAACAATAATAGGTTGATATGTGTATAAAATTTCATAAAGATGTCTTGAGCAGTTGAGCTGTTTGTGAACTGGGATGAATAGTCGGGCATTATCCTTCCCTTTTCTTTGATGTAAAATCACGGATGACTTAACCAAAAATTGAATGGGGTGTTAACATCTTATTGACCCTTTACGTAGCTAATTCTGATACTAAAATAACAGTTGAGTTTATTTCTAAAGTTATGTTTACAATGTCAAAATTTTGCCTTTACTTTTACTCTAAATGACAATAGGTGACTCTACTTGTTGGCTTTGCACTGATTATTTTGTGCCTTCTTAACTTTGCGCTGTTACTCGTAGCGAGAAGAAGGAGCGAGATTAGGTCCATTTGTCGCAGCTTCTTGGTTTCATGAAGGCAAGAAGGAGCGAAAGGGTATTTACTTATCAGCTGCCATAGGTCTATTTTATAGGAAATATCACTTATAGTTAATTTTTTTTATCTTTCAGGCTGTAGCCAAGCATTTTAAGAATATTCCTGTAGTGGAGAAAGAAGCTCTGACATTCTTTATTTATATGGCAAAAAATTATAAAAGTCGTTTGGATCAAAAATATATTGACACAGTACCTTGTTAGCAGTTTTGTATATTTGTGTGTACATATATAAAAAACATATTCTTATCTATCCTACTTTATTATATATATATAGAATATATTCTTGTTATGTAGATATATTATTTAAAATGTAAATATATAATAAGTATAAACATTTATGTTTGATTCATTTGTATCATTTGTCAAATCCACATCAAAGAGTTTTATACAACTCTTTAAGAATCCCATTTTACCCTTGTTTCATTTATAATTTTATTGTAATTCATTTGGTTCATGATCTTCACAATGTTAAGAAGTTAATACATACCTCTGATAACTTGACAATTTTATCCAACAGAAGCTATCTATTACCGTGTAGCCAACTAAAGCCATCTAACAGATTTAGCCTACTGAAGCCATCAAACAGTTTTAGCCAACAGAAGCTACCAAACAGTTTTAGCCAACAGAAGCTGGTTATAGCCAACTGAAGCTATCTAACTGAAGCCAACTGAAGCTAACTAACTGTTTTAGCCAACTGAAGCTAACTAACTGTTTTAGCCAACTGAAGCTAACTAACCGTTTTTGCCAACTGAAGCTATCTAAATACAGTTTGTTAGTACCACTCCAATTGGTTCGTTTGTAAGATACTTGCCCGAATGGGCAGAATTGAAAGAGTGGCACAGAGTTCAATTTTATCATTCCTTAAAACAGATGTATGAGTAGATTCAAACACAGGAAAGTTATTTCGGCTATGGTGGTTTAGATTTTTCTTTCCAGATGTTGTATTTATTTCGTAATACAGTAGTTACACTATGAAGAAAGTTATTGATATAATATTTGTTTGACACTATGAAGATCAGTTATTGATATATTTTTTTGACACTATGGAGATAAGTTATTGATATAATATCTGTTTGACACTATGAATATCAGTTACTGATATAATATTTGTTTGACACTATGAAGATCAGTTATTGATATAATATCTGTTTGACACTATGGAGATAAGTTATTGATTTATGAAGAAAATCAACTGTTCATTTTTGTCAGCCCATAAATTCAGCTCAGTATTATGAAATAATTGTAGAAAGATCAAACCACAATCTATTTTTTAGTCCCAGATGTTCGAATGAGAACTGAACTTCAATAGATTTGTATTATAAAATTCCAATTTATTTATCAGTTATGTGGTAAGTGCAAAAAGACCTGTAACTACAGAGCTGTCATAAAATGTAGCATATTAAATTGATAACTATATATATATATATATATTTATATATATTAAAGTTGCTGATCGTCGACTCATTCATATTATTTTGAATCCCTTGTAAACTACAATCTTGTAAAAGATGAATCTCTAAAAATGAATATCTGACCAAACATAGTTCAATTTCATTCAGTATTTACAAAGATAACCATACCAGCTTCACCAGTAAGGTGGATTGGATATTTTCCAAAAAATGCAAATGGGGATCAGTGGCTTTAATATCATGAATGATGCTGTATCTCTGTCACTTTAATAACAAGACTCTATTGTATTGTCAAGCTTTACTATTGAAACTAGTGACATCAGTCGTACTTGATTGATTCCTGACTCAGAATTCTATCATCACTAGTGAACGTATTGGCTCTAGGATACTTTAACTTAACTGAATCTCGATACCAGTATCAGAAATATTGTTATGATACTTGCATATTATTATATACCTATAAATGGAAATAAAATGATAAATCAGTATATTCCTTTCTTGTATTTTTATACGCCCACATTTTCATGTGGACGTATACTGTTGTCTCCCCCTTCGTCAGGACATCTGTTTATATTTTGATTGTGAAACTATACAGGTATTCATATACATGTATAGATAAAGCAATGTCCATTAAGTCAAATAGTGTTGCCTGTCTATCCAATTATTCTGAAATATTAGTATTAAAATTTGTATGTGTATGATTGAAATAGAATCAATACATGAACAAGAGATAATTATTTCCAAGAAATCACTAGCAAGTAGTTTGTGTCATGCTCTTTTGTACATTCTGAATGTCTGGCACAGTAAGGTGCCAGACCACTAAACAATAGGTCCCGATTACGATCTTGGTGTTGGTACAGAAAGTTCCTCAAGATTTTCCTGGACGACATCTCTCCTTGTCAGAGGCGAAGGTTAGAGGGCCTGTCTAGTCAATCAAGGTCCTGGACGTGCCAAATAAAATAAAGTTAAGTGTTATGTTCTAGCGAACCAAAGTGAAATTTTTAAGTCGAATTAACACATCTCTCAGAGGGGTAAAGGGGTTGTTCTTAAGGGAAGGAAGGGTTGTGAGTCTTCTTAAGCAGTGTTTTTGAATGACATCTGAGATTGGTCGATGTATGTACGAAAGTTAATCATTGTAAGCAAAAGTCGAATTAAATATCATTTGGGCCACTCGTTTTGTCGCTCTTATCCGGGATAGTAGGAGATTTTGCATTCTTAATTTAAGTGTTATGTTTTAGCGGACCAATAGTGAAACTTTTAATGAAAAGATTAATGTTGTACGTGGAGTTCGAATTAACTCATCCCTCAGGGGGTAAAGGGGGTGTTCTTAATGGAGGGAGGAAGGGTCGGGGGTCTTCTTGAGCAGTGTTTTTGGCGACATCTGAAGTTGGTTGACTTATGTACGAAAGTTGATTGTTGTATGCAAAAGTCGAATTAAACTCAAAATTTTGACGTTTTATAAAAAAAAAACACCCCCATGGGAAGAATCAAGGTTCAGAGTATCGGGCACCGCTGTCCACTCATCTAGCATAGTAGAAATTTTGTACGCGATTTTTGAAACAACCTGAACCTAGCTCCCTTACTTTATATTCCTGTGTTCAATAGCCAAGTTTGTGCAGAAAGGTAGGGTGTTAAAACCCATTTCACTTCTATTCTAGATGAGACATGCTGTCTGCAAGAATAAATGAAAGCATAATTTGTGTATGTTTCCTGGCTCTGTGTTTCCTTATATTTAATAAACTTCCAATAAAATGTTATCATAACTCTTGTCAGGGATACTCCCCCACTACAAATTTCTAGCAGTTACATAGCTCTGTCAGGGTTACCCCACCACTAGAAATGTCTGTAGTGTTTTTGTAATACTAGAAGATGTACGGCACACTGCTGTATGATTTTCATGTGGTACACTTTTGAGCTAATCTAGCCAAGTTGGGGGGGGGGGGGCATGGAATACCACACCCACCACCAGATACCCAACAGACTTACATTCTGATGATACCAGATATACATGCATTGATGCCATATAGAAGAAAATTGGTACACTTTTCAGGTAGGTCGGCCCCCTGGGATCCCACTCTATTAGTCTAAAGGATATAAAAACTAAATTAAAGAAAGACACCAACATACTAATTTAACAGCTGACACTTTCTGTTCGCACTGAATGAACATCTTCAGGCCATTTTAAATTACATAGAACAATAGACACAACGTAATTACTATAAATTTATCAAATATATTTCCACATTTAGTAAAAAATCAATAAAATGAGAATTATTTCATCTCTTACTGTAATATCCGTTTATGTAATTCTGATTTGTACATTTTGATGAAATAACTTTCTTTACATTCATGTAAATCATATATATCTATTCTTTTTAAGTCATGCACAATGAAGGGATTATATCTTGAAGCATGAAAAGTTGATATATGGTTATATTGTTTTTGAAAAAAAAAGAATTAATTTTTGTTTTTTCTAAATTAATGTCACTGTCATTATTATTATACAAATGAAGCTGAAGTAAACCATGATATGATGTTTAATCTATAGCTGTTCTTAAAGATGCATTATGAAAGAAATGAAATGAAATGGGGTTTAATGTCCTACTGTTCTGCTCGAAACTGGGCTAATGAAGACAGGCATATGCCATACAGTGTTCCTACTCTTATATCGAATTCCATCTGTAAAGGGATCTTTTACGTGCACGTCAATGTGTACACGAGACCTCGGTTTTTCGTCCCATCCGAACGACTAGACAGCTGTCCTTGTCAGTCCTCCGTCCTGCATCACTGACAAGGGGGAACCACACCGGAAAATCTGGATGAACTTTCTCGGCCAATACAGGGATCGAACACCCGACCTCCAGGCTAGCGAGCCAGCGTCTTACCCACTTAGCCACGTGATCCCAGCATTATGAAAGAGCTAAATCTGCCTAATATTACAGGGTTTTATTTTGGCTTCAAATGGCATATGAATTATTATTTAGCAATTTATTCACATGACAAGCCTATAATCAACTCTCTAGAATATCTGATGGCACAGATTTAAACAGATTAAAATACGGCCGCCATTTAATGATTTTATTTAAAATAGAGAAGTGAATTTGAGTCTTGATTAACAAGTAACATTGCTGCGATAATGAACAATCCAAAGTCAAAACTTCAAACAGTAATAATAAGCTTAGAAAAAGTAATTTGAATGAAATTTTCAATGTATTCTATATTCTGAATTGGCTATTTTGGAACTATTATAGCAAGAACGACCAGCTCTTTATTTAAATCTTACAAATTGTATCTTTAATCACCTTATAAAGAAAGTCATTAATAGCTAATTAGTAATATGTCTATCCACAGGTTTATATATCATCTGAGTACGATTAACATAGTAAAAAATTTAACACGGTATTAAATCCGGGAAAATAATATTTGTGACTCACCGATTAGTCCCCATCGTCATCCAGATCAACTGCTTACACATTTCGTGCAGTAATCTCCGCGGCAACCGCCACATACATCAACACATTTGAGACCATTTTTACGGCACTTCCACGCACTAAGAGTACATTTGCAAGTAGTCGTATGGGCAAAATTGGACGAATCTGCATTGGATCCAACCGAATGGGGATGGGCGAATGACAGTGGATCTTATGAGCCAGTCCGAACGGACTTAATTGCCACCAGCTCCCGACCCGGTACTCAACTTTTTGAGGTGTAAATGCAAGTCGATCCGGAACCAATGTGGCACAAATATGTGCACGTGCCGTAAAAATGGTCTCAAATGTGTTGATGTATGTGGCGGTTGCCGCAGAGAGAACTGCACGAATGTGGAAGCAGTTGATCTGGATGACGATGGGGACTAATCGGCGAGTCACAATGATGACGTCATATGATTTCTGATTTTATTATCACCAAATATTTTTCTCTGATCGTTTTGTGAATTGTGTGCGAGATTTTACCATGATAATTCGTCAGAAAATGTCGAAAATCTATTCATACCGAAATTATCCCTCTTTTTATGTGATCACCGGAGGCCAAAATTTCAACCGGCCACAAATTTTTTTCCCCAAAACCGATTGACGGGTGGAATTTTTCTGGAATACTACACCCCATACTGGTTAAGAATATGTAACAAACATTCATTCCGCATTTAATTCCCAAGAACTAGGAATCCACTCGTTCCACTATTAGGCTAAACTGATTATCAACTATACACTAAGTTTCATCACTCTCTATCAGATAGAATCAAAGTATATTGCCCCAAAGCATCGACCAATGAAATTGCTTAGCTCTGCTTAGCTTTAGCTCAAAATGTTACTCATTGAACGCAGTCAAGACATTCACCTATCTACACCAAGTTTAAACATTCTACCTCAATTAAAAGCAGAGTTGTTATGTTCCAAAGTCTTGACCAATCAAATTGCTTATTGCTCCTCAGGCTAAGCAGAAAATTCTCACCATCAAACTTAGTCAAGGTAATGATATAATGAATCTATACTCAGAGTTGTTGTTGTTATTTCTACAGATTTAACGTCCAATACAATGAATATGATATTATGGACAGGTTGATTTAATTAAATTATTTACACTTAAAAATTGTTAAAAACACAAAATGAAAGGTCGTCGGATTCCAAAAGTTTCTTAAAGCACACTTATAAATTCGCTGTCGTGAGAAGAGAGCTAGAGCGGGTCATCTTCTCCCTTTGTCATAATAAAGTTAAAACAGGAGGTCCAACTGACTGATGTTTGGCGTCATCAGGGCAGATAGATTAAAAACCCGTGGTGAAAAAGAATCCGTAGATTATTTACATATTAAAAGTGTTCGTCCAATAAGTTCCGTGTTGTTAAAAATTAACTAAAAGTTCAAGACTTCAAAGTTTAAAAGTTGTAAGCATTCCATTAGAGTTTCCCTTGCGTATGGCTCTCCGCAGATAAAAAGTTACCTGAAAAGAAAAAGAAGAGCCAGCAGCAACACACACACACACACACAAATAAACAATAAGACAAATTGAACCATTTTGCGTTCGTCACTTCCTATTGTTGAAACATTGATTACTCATCTATCGTAGCAAATAATATTTGGAACGTGTTTAACCAGTTCTATCACATAATGTGATAATGACTGGCACCAATATTGTCCTTTAAAGCATCCAGGTGGCTTAGGGGCTAACCTGGTCTACACAACCAGTTATCTTTCTTTGACTAGTGCTATTTTAACGCAACTAATTTAACAGTTAATTCCCGTTTCTGCAATGAATTTTGAGATAGCTTCATAAATTTTATATGACATATTCCGATGGGAGAAGAGTACATTTTGGAGGGTATATTGAAGTTTGGCATTTTTCATTAAACTTCGTACGGGGAGTCTTTCTTTTTCCAATTTATTGCACGTAATGATTAACGGTCAAATTGTGGCCACATTCGCACTTCACTGGGTTCAATCTTAATCTTGTGATTAACCCACAAATTTTGCGCGATGGGTGATTAATCTTCGTCTTTACAACCAGATCGTTGTTTAAATTGAATCTAAAAGTATTTGCTATGGCCAACTCAATTTTCCATTGTGATTTAATTTTAGTTTTGACGATGCTATTAAATTCCTGAATGCTATATTTTAAGTATTCGGTCTCGCAGAGGCTGAGTCCTTTGCGAGCCAGATTGTCTGCGGACTCATTGCCTGCTATGCCAACATGGGATGGTATCCACGTAAAATTTACGGTTTTATTTTTATTTTGGATGGAATAAACACTTGCTCGAATATTCTGAACAATTTCTGGTCTAGGTGTTTTTTTGTTATGTATTATTGACTTTATGCTACTAAGGGAGTCCGACACAATGACTGATCTTTGAACGGTGGATGACACGAGCCATTCAAGGACTGTGGATATTGCCTTTAGTTCTGCTGTATATATAGAGCATCCATCTGGTAGCCTTTTCGATATATTAATATTAAATTCGGGAATGACCACACCTAATGCAGTTTTGGTAGTGTTTGGATCGTGAGACCCGTCCGTGTATATTTTCACATGCGATGACCATTTTTCGTTCAAGAATTCCCTCGATGGCAATAGAGCTTGTGGATTTTCTTTTTTCTTGACAACGTTACCTAGGCTTATGTCATAGTTTGGATTTAAAAAAGTCCACGGGGCTTGATACGAAAATACCCTGTCAGTAATCTGATAGTGATCTAATCTTAGGTCTTTTAATAGATCATTTGCTCTGTGACCGAAAGGCTGAGTCTCTGATTTAACATTTCTTTTGAATTTTCTCCTTGATGTTTTTGTACACTTAAATGTTGAACAGCTGTCCCAAAGATACTGTAACTTGGTCCAGTATCTCAATGCCAGTTCGTTTCGCCTCAATTCGAATGACATTTCACCTACTTCCTGCAAAAGACTTTCCCTTTTTGTGCCAAATGATGCTATCGTTGCCTGATATTGTAAACTGTCTAGTTTAGCAAGAGCTGTTTTATTTGCACTTGCAAAATCGACACAACCATAGTCACATATTGATCTTATCACAGACCTATATATCATTAGCAGGGTCGTTTTATTTGCTCCCTATGATATGCCCGTCAGATATCTCATTACGTTCAGAACTTTCTGTCGTCGTTTAACAATATTTTCAATATGTGGTATAAAAGTCATTTTGCGATCAAAGGTCACCCCAAGAAGCTTTGCCTGATCTTTAAATTTAATTTGGCTATTGTTCAATTCCAGTTTCATAGATGACACTTCCCTATGATCCCTACAGAAGAGCATGCCTGCTGTTTTACTTTCAGATATACGAAATCCCCAGTCATTAGACCATTTCGACAATTTGTCTAAGGCTTCTTGCATTCTCGTTCTAACCGTACCATAGTTATTCGCTGCATGCCAAATTGAACTGTCGTCTGTATAAACCGCTAGTTATTAGACTGAAGGTCATTAATCATGATATTAAAGAGTGTGGGGCTTATAACAGAACCCTGGGGTGTGCCATTTTCGAGTTCGTATTTGTTGCTTATTGAGAGACCTACATTAACTTGTATTTGCCTATCGCTTAGAAAATCCTCGATCCAGTCGAACATTCGTCCTGTTACCCCTAGTCCATGTACTTTTTTGAGTAGGCCATCCACCCAACTGGGGATCACGGTGGCTAAGTGGGTAAGACGCTGGCTCGCTAGCCTAGAGGTCGGGTGTTTGATCCCTGCATTGGCAGAGAAAGTTCATCCAGATTTTCCGGCGTGGTTCCCATTTGTCCTTGATGCAGAATGGAGGGCCTGACAAGGACAGCTGTCTAGTCATTCGGATGATACGAAAAAAACGAGGTCCCGTGTACACATTGGCGTGCACATAAAAGATCCCTTGACAGTTGGAATTCGATATAAGAGTAGGCCGTAGTGCCGCTGTCTGGGCAAAATTTCCCTCATAGCACACTGTATGGCGTATGCTCGTCTTCATTAGCCCAGTTCGAAGCAAAACAGTAGGACGTTAAACCCCATTTCATTTCCATCCACCCAAACTAAGTCATACTCAGTATCATCACTCTCATTTAATTAAAACCAAAGTTATCATGCTCCAAAGCATCAACTAATCAGACTGCTTATCTCTGCTTAACCATAAGCAGAAAACGTTTATCAGCAAACTCATGAATGCCTATACCAAGTTTGAACATTCTACCTCAATTAGAAGGCGAGTTATTTTGTTCCAAAATCTTGACTAATCAAATTGCTTATCACTCTGCTTACCCATAGCAGAAAATGCTCCTTATCCTTAGTCAAGGTACAGATGTGATAAAACTATACACCAAGTGTCCTCACTCTCACTTAATTAGAACTAAAATTATCGTGTTCAAAAGCCTCCTCATTTGTGATTTGTAAAAAAAGAGCCCCCAACCCCTCAACAGTTGATTGGATTTGGCTTTCAATATAGTAACAGTTTCTGTCTCGGAGAAAATGTCCTCATTATGCAGTTCAGTTGTAGAAAAATATTTGTCTACGGAAAATTCCCTCTTTTTTTTTTATTAACGGTAACCCAAAGTTCAAATATAAAGAATATGCACAAAATTTGCTCTTGTTGATTGGTATTGGCTTGTTAGTGTTTTTCTATGTTGTTGTTCAGTACTTATCAACTTCAAAGATAAATTTTATTTATTCTTTAGGATAATTATCTGTCAGACAGGTAAGAAACCCCACACTTGCATTAAACCCCTTTTTATTGGTGTGGATGAATAGATGCAAAAGAAAATTCTGATACTGAGGAAAAGAGAGAGGGAAATGGGGTTTAACGTCCACTAGAAACAAACTAGCTCATTTTTGGACTAACATATGGTTCAATTTTATTTCAATAATTTGCTTGTGTGTAGGGGTCTTTAGCAGTGGGAGCAAACTGGAGGACCCGGAGAAAACCCACAAGCTCAGACGGACAACCCCACTCCTTGTCACGTACAACAGGGGAATCGAAACTACGCCAGTTGAATCAATGACAGACCTTATGATACTATGCGCACGCGCTAATCATTCAGCCATCCAACCCCCCTGATCCTGAAGAAACAAAAATGTGAATTTCGTCAAATATGCAAGATATGATTTTTTGCTTCCCACCGACAACATTGTACAGTTTATTTTAATGTTGGTGTCGGCAAATATTAAATGTTATCCTTATATACAACTGACTGAAGTAGAGAGCGATAACAGATACACAGTCGATTTTCAGCTCGCTGATAATTTCTTTGAAGACAAAAGTTTTTATATTAGACTGTGAGAGGATATCTGTTCGAAACCAACAACCAAGAATTGACTGTCATAAGATCAGAAAAAAAGAAAAAGTCTGTGCATTCCCTTGTTTTTATTCATTGTTTCTTCCTTCATAAAATATTCAAGAAAGAGAGAAATTATTTTATTTACAAGACCCAATACAGATATCCAAATAACAATTTACTATTTACACTTTTCCGTAATTTTGATTTAAAAAAAAAAAAAGTCCTAAATTTTTAATATATTGATTTTTTCATGAATAGCAAGCTGTGTCCGCACAAAGTTGGCCAAATAAACTACCATCAAGAGGTCCTGAAATAAAACAAAACATTAAATTAACTCATCAAAACAAACTTTAATATCGTTCAAAACAATTTGCATGTACGCTACTTGCCTTTTGGTAGGGCCAGATTAAGCTTGTCTAAGGCCCCTAGCTGAAAATATCATTGGGGTCCTTTCACCCACAGTATAAAGGAGGCATATTCTGGTCATTGCCCGTCCATTCATACAAATGTTATTGGTGTTTAAGTATGGTAGATAGATTTATTTGGCACAAATGTATATACAACATAATAAGTGACCTTTATGTTACAAAGCTCTTTTTTAGAACTAATTTGTAGGTGTCCTGTCGATTGGGCAGGTTAATCAATTATCTTACTTGCATAAACTTTGCTTAGTGTGCTAATAAATAATGGGGGGGGGGGGTCTGTGTGTGTGATTTGATCCAGTTTTAAACTAGTAAATTTGTTACAGTGTCTTATTTAAAATGCTTGACATTTAGCAACATAGCAACAATAGAAATCAGATACTGATTAACTAGACAAAACACTGACTTCCTTCAGTTTAGAAGTGAGTGATCTTTTCTTATTAGTCATGCAATTTTCCAACACTTTTCACTAGATTTGTCACTTTCACTCTTCCTCGGACAAAATAACTAACTTTAATTGTTAAATAGACCGTGTGCAATTGGCTAGGTAAAAAGTAAAAACACTTGACCGAAAAAGAGTTTTTGTTGAAAATGTAAAACAAATTACCTTCATATTCGAGTTTAACATAGATTCAAATTCTTCTTGATCAATCTGTGGTACTTGATTAATTAAATTCATCAAAAATCTACCAATTGTGTTGTCAGTTTTCACTTTACCAGACTTTTAGAACAAAAAAAAATTGAACAAATTACTTCATATGTAACTCTTATTGATAGTTAATAGGATGATAAAACAATTATTTATTTCTGACAGGGGAGTCGCAGTAACTCAATGGGTAAGGTGCTGGCTTTGTTCCTGTTGCTGGTAGAGAAAATTTCTCTGGATTTTTCAGAGTGGTTTCTTGTCAGAGGTGTAGGATGGAGGACCTGGCAAGGAACAGTGTCTAGGCAAAATGTTCCTCACAACACACTGCATGTCGTATGCTAGGCTTCATTAGCCCAGTCGGTGCAGAAAAATAGACGTTAAACATCATTTCATTTATTTCTTTCGATTATACCATCATGGAATTGTCAAGCTTGCCACGTCTAATGGCTTCTGTATGGCTTGCTATTTGTGTAGTTAACATTTTAAGTCTTATTCTCTTTTAGAGGATAATTATCCTGCAAACTAGTGATTGGTGAAGAAGCATTCACCATAGAACTACAAAATACCTGTTTCGTTCAACGAGACAACTATTCAGTTTGCGTAGTCACAGTAAAGTTAAGATATATCACATAGGAATTAATAATTATGTATGTAATTCCTGTGAACAGCATGACAATATCATTTGACAAAATCGAAATACAAAAATAATAAACCACTCTCTTGCATCAGATTATTTAGAAGGCCTATCTGAGGACCACAATATTTTCCAGTGATCGTTAAAAAATAATTCTTACCAAGACATCATCAATGTAACCAATTACGGTTGTTAACATTTCTTGTAGTCTATGACAAGCTGTCTCTACATGAGCTAAATCTGTCACCATCTGAACTGTTCGTTTAGGATTATATTTTCCTTCTTGTAAATGGTTCACTGAAATTACAATTACCATTAAATTACACTGAACACAAATAATAAATGTTCCTTTGCATTTTTTTTTTTTGACAATGTCTGATTTTTTTCAAGGCTTAATCCATGTTAAAGTGTACTCAAATTGATTATTTAACACTTAGAAAGAAAACTAAACCAAAATAAGAATATCAGTCCAAAACTGGTCCAATTCCATTCAGTATTTACAAAGATATGTGGAATTGAAACTTCATTAATCTAAGTTGCTTCCCTGTGTAATAAGCTGGCCACCTTTTTGTAGCGCGAAAATTTATTGGTAGGCCTTTTTAAATCCCATTGAATCCAAGCCGGGACATTATTTAGAGTAATTTTATTTGTTTTCTTAAAGATACATTATGGGAGATAAGATAAAGAGATGGCAGTTCTCGCTATAATAGTTAAAAACTAGATAGTGTAAAGGTAATTTGCTGAAAATTTCAGTCAAATTGATCCACTATGAGCCGAGAAAGAAGCCGGTGAAATTTTTGCATAGTCTTTGTTATCATTACTAAAATCATTAATATAAACAGCATAGTCTCGATTATCCGCTTTTTCTGATTTAATTATCTTTGGCCGTTAGCAACATATAGGAATCTAATCCAGCCTACATCGAAGGCTAGCCTTGACATCGAGAGTTTATTATGGTCTGGATAAGTTAATCAATGTCTAATTGATAATTTAGATAACATTTCAGGCCTAAAGAAAGACTTGTAATAAGCAGATTTTGCTCTTGCATAATGCATGATTAATCAAATATCAAATAATCAATCCGAGTACATATAAAAGTGGATGAAGATGCGAGAAATTTGATATTTTAGCAAAAAATGTAAATGAGGCATTGTTACTTTAAATGATGGTGCCTTGTGAAATCTGTGACTACCCTTGTAGTATTATTTACATGCAATCATGAAATCTTAAAATTGAGAAATTCACAATCACTATAAAGAACGTTTTGAGATAAAGCAAGAGCTGAAATCAAATTAGCTTCTATTATCATTCAGACTTCTTGGAAAGCCAAAATTCAATCAAAATATAATCTTACCTCCAACTTTTTCTGGTTCATAATAAACATATTCTACGGGTACTGGAGTAAACATGGTACCAGTTGTTTTACCTGGTACACCAATTGGTGTGCTATAATTTAAAATAACATAATTAGTCAATCAGTTAACCTGATCTGTGGCTCAGTAAGTAAGATGCCGGCTCGCTAACCAGGGGGACTCAGGTTGGCAGAGAACAATCATAAGGACTTTAGAGCATGGTTTACCCTTTTCAGTGGTGGGTTTGACCAGGAATGGTGTATAGTCATTTGGATGGTACGATAAACTGAGGTCACATGTACAAAGAACCCTTGACATTTGGAATTCGAAATATGAGTAGGTTGTAGTGCCAATGTCCAGTCAAAATTTCCCACATACCACACTGTATCGATATGTCCCCCTAATTAGCCAAGTCAGTGCATAAAAGTAGCATGTTAACCTCCATTTCATTTCACCTGATCTCAACTCTTACTTCAAAGAAAATATATCAATGGAGTATAGTTAATAGTATGGTAGCATAGTATATAGTGTAAACTAATATACTGTTAGCTATAAATAGGCCGACGTGATTCATATTTATCATTAACTTAAAAACTAGGTGTGTTTTTTTTTTGTAAATATATCTAACCGTACTTCTGGATGTTATTTAAGGAATTGTTTTAAATTGTAAAGTATATTCCTTACCTGATGTAACCTTTAATACCCATTTTACCATTCTTTAATGATGTGTCTATCGTTAAATGTATGGGTATTTTACATTCTCGTGAATAATATTCATGAATTAAAACAGAATGACCTGAAACTTCAGAACCAGTTGAATACCTGGAAAAGGAAGTAAATCTTTAGATATATAACTGAAATTAGTCCTTTCAAACCATATTACTTAATATTTTGTTTTAAATCTAATTCACTGAAATCATAAACTACAATGGATGTAATTTGATCATACCGGTAATAAAATTATGTGGCAATTCAAAATACTTACCATCCTACAATAATTTCTGTGGAATTCACTTTTTTGTAAAGTTCAAACATTTCTCGTGCATATTCAATGTCCAGAGCAACCTGTGGAAAAAAAGATGAGGTTAAATGTAACTCTTTCCTTGTATACAAACAGGTATGGAACAATAACCTTTACTGTGTACATGTATTCCTCCCAGATCAGAGCGAGGAATTTTACATATGTACTCAATTTAAAAATAACAGAGCAGCAGTATATACAGTTCTGATTATTCATTTTGTGCTGTCCATCAACATGTATCATCAATGTTAACCAACATTCACTGTTACAATGAACTAAATGTATATGACAGTGGAACTGTAACTTTGTCTGCACAGACATACATATTATGGAAACCCTTATTAAATAATAAGTTAAATGTACCTCTTGTTCTGACTCATTATGAGGGACTGCAAAACAGTTGGTGATTTCCACTGCACCTTTGTCATAATATCCTGAAAATATCAATCAAATACTGATATCATCTAGTAAGAATCAAATATTGTATCATCTAGTAAAAAATCAAGTACTAATTTCTTTTACATAATGGTACAAAATTGCACAGCCTAATTCAATAAGGTTATTGAAAAGATTCAGTTGAAATATCTATAATTGAATATGATTATTGACCATTCACTGAGATTACCAAAGCAGAAATCCAAGAAGGATGAGCAATTTGTAGTTACAATTAGCAATCTACAAAAAACTGTTTTGTATAGCTTAAGTGCTTCACAAAATTTAAAAAAACCAAAACCAATATCAGTCGACAGTGTAGGGTTACAAAAGGACAGGTAGAGATTTAGACTTTTATAACAGAATTGACATACTTTGGGACTTTTTTTCTATGATCAAGACTGCCTGACACCAGTCAAGACAATGCCAGTCCTTTTTTGGGTAGGCCTATACTATAATCCAACCAATCTGTTAGGTTTTTTTTACAATAATGAGGTAGTATGCGCCTATGTAGTGCATCAACTGTGTCACCTTATCATCAATGATTGATGTGCTTGATCAGTTTTGATAACTTGCAATTAGCCTACCGAATCGGTCTGATTTCTTTCTCTTAACAGTAAGCTACCCGGCAACACTAATACCGGTGCTACACAGGGTCAGATGATCACTGCCCCTGAAATGATGACTGATCTGAATGGTAGACAGATTCTAAAGACGTACCCACCCGCGATTTTTAGAAATGAAATGGAGTTTAACGTCCTACCGTTCTGCTCCGTCTGGGCCAGTGATTCTCAACCAATGTGCCTGCCGCGAGATCTTCCTAAGTGTGCCGCGAAATTTTGAAAGGCATACATAACTAGGTAAATTTTTCACTAAAGAAGCCAGCTATTTGACTGATAAAATTCAAAACACTGCAATAAAGTAAGTTCATAGCTGTGTTTTTCTTTATTTTTCTTTATTTAGTTTGAGTCAGTAGGTGTCAATGACTAATCTGTGTCTACGGTTGTATGCTGTCTATGACTTGCCATGTTTTTATTTTGCAAAATTCAAATATTTTGTCATATATATTTAGCCAGGTGCGTCACTATGTTTTTACGTATTCCAAGGTGTGTCGTTAGCAAAAAAAGGTTGAGAACCACTGGACTGGGCTAATGACATGAAGACGGGGAAGTCACAAACAAAAGTGCATTCATACATGTAAGGTATTACATATGTTGGGTTGTGTAGAAGACGTACACGTGTTGTATTGACTTAATTCATTAAACATATTATCAATTACCTAATAAAGAACCAACAACACGTCTCGCATCTTCATTACGTCTTTCATAGGAGTCAATAACTGTAAAAAGAACAACCGGGTGAATTCGGCACACGAGGTTCGTCGACATTTTGGAAAATTAGTACCGCAGCAAATGAAATATGTAGGTCAGAGAGGTTTCGCAACATAGAAATAATGTTGTAAAACATATAAAAAACACAAAATGCATAAAAGAAGAGCAATGTTGCACATTCCTAGTGAATTCAAAATTCTGTAATACACAATAATATAACGCCAATGAATTTTGATGTGGTTTAATTATGACCTCATTTTGGACAACTAATATTATTTTGTAATATGTAAATTAGATGTTATAAAGCATTATTATTTGTTGTTAATTTCCTATTTATGGTTGAACAATATGTAGTTACAAAATATAAGGTATTATTTATTACTATTATTATTCAGCGCGGAGCTTAAATGTGTTTATCAATAAAACTTCCGGTCTCCCAATTTTAGCACTTTCCGAAAAATAAAATTTCGTTTTTTCCTTACTTTAGCCCGCCTCAATGGAACCAGTCTTTTTGTTGACCTAATTTAAGTGTTAGACAGTAAGTAAAATAAGACTGTTATTTTGCTTCGTTTACATTTTTTATTATAATTCTGGGTTTCTACCGTCACCGTGCGGGACATGATATTGATTATGATAGGCCTACAGTGCTACACAGTACATGAGTGTTCAGTGTAGGCCTACACTGTTGCATAGACCACTCGGACTTGTAAACAAGACTATATGATAACTAGGACGAAATTATTTTATAGCCTAATGTAAGACCACTTGGACCAACAGGCCTATTACTATTTATATATTATTAAATAATAATACTCATGATAACTTTAATAACCATTAGGCTACTAATAATATTAGCCCTAACTTAGCTATGCCTATGGTAGGCCTACTTCAGGAAGGTAGTTGGTGCTGATGGTGTCCGGCGCTACTGCACTTTCCCACCTCTACCAGGTGCAATAGCGCTGAATAGTTTACATTGGATTGATATTTTATGGAAGTAGTTAAGATATGTAGTGCTGTAGATATATGTTAATTTGTATAATTTGTAATGTAATGTTTATATGGCATAACAGCTAGGGCGTAGACATTTCTGAACAACTTACACTGTATTAGCTGTACAACAAGTGCTTGATACTACTCAAATCACGCTTTTTAAATTCTTATTGTATTTCTTTGATGTGCTTCATCAGTTTGATTAGCTTATAACAACAAAGGTAAGTGTACCAGTAGATAAGAATTAATCAAGACTCAGATCAGTTGTTGATGTTTTGTTAATTGATTTTCTTGGATGTGATTCATTATTTCATTATGAGATAATAACATGGTTAAGCACATAACGCTTTATTATTTCAATAATTGATTCATTAGAACAACACCTTATTATTTATTTCAAAAACATATTGGCCCAAGTTGTCTTTCAGAGTTATCCAACTTGTCTTTTTGCTTGGTTCGAGTGGTCTATCAATTGGTCCGATTGGTCTTTGTCGTTTCATCCCAAAACCATTTCACCGTAAAACCGTTTCACCCTGAACTGTATCAAGCCCGCCTATTTTTTGGATAGGACTGTTTCTTTCTTCCTGCATGTACATGTTTGTTAGAAAGGTCAAGTATTTTTATTTTTACATTATAGTTGAAACAATTGTATTGTATTAATACTTAACATGGATGAAGAAACAGCATTATGGAAAGGAATGACAGGACCCAGGATGGAGAGATGTCTTTTAGGGAAAGAAGAGATCAACCTACCCGAAATTTTCATGGAACAGGTAAAAACATACTGGAAACTATAGCTGCTATAAAAGATGGTCAATGGATTATGCCCATGGATTCAAAATTTATAGCAAAAATAAAACCTAACCGGTAATACTTAAAAGTACAAATGCTGCCATTAAATTTTCCAATGTTTTCAGTTTTTATAAATTGGCTATGTGATTGGTAATTTCACTTTTTCGGTCACTTTTGAATTTGATTCTACATACAATTTCTTGATTATCATATCACTGCGTTATATCAGTGAAGACAGTCCTCATACTTTTTACGATGCAATGTATTTTTGACTGCCAGGATTTGTGTCCTTTGAATATCCTATGATTTCAAAAATAGACTCCTAGTTCTATTTAGCAATAAATGACAGTTAACCATAATAGAATCATAGTTTTATGTAATGATAAATTACACTGATTAACCTTTTCATTGTTTACCATAATAGAATCATAGTTTTATGCAACGATTAATGATTAACCTTTTCATTGTTTACCGTAATAGAATCATAGTTTTATGCAACGATAAATGATAATGATTAACCTTTTCATTTTTAACCGTAATAGAATCATAGTTCTTTGCAATGATAAATAACAATAACTAACCTTTTATTTCAGCCTGATGTTTTTTTAGCTGTGTTAAGTCAAGAAACTTGGGATACAGTTCTAACAGCTAAACAAAAAACACATCTAAAGGTAATCTAAACTTTTCCTCCTTTGTTACATTGGTAAAGGTGCCTTCATTAAGGATGACTTAATATTAATCATTCATCATGAAACTTAGAACTTGGATATTGAATGTAAATTCATTTTCAAAGTTTCTCTTTTTTTTAAAAAATGCATCTTGCTGTAATACTAATTTTTGTGTTATTGTGTAGAAATTTTTACCAACTTTCCCAAATGATGATGAAGAAGAGAAAGAAAAAACCCTCAAGTGAGTACACTGTGGATTGTTATCAATTATCAATTATCATTACAAAATGTTCAGAATTGCAGTTGATTGAAAAGGAATTGATTTCTATCAAGTTCTGCCAATCTTAATGTGGTGTGAGCAGAATCATGATGTAATCAAATGTTTCATCTAGAGTGATAGGTTGAATCGGTATCTTGGGGGATTGGATGGCTGAATGGTTAGCGCGTGCACGCTGTATCATAAGGTCTGTCATTGAGTCAACTGGCGTGGTATCGATTCCTCGGTTGTATGTGACAAGGAGTAGGGGCGCCTGTCCAACCTCGTGGGTTTTCTCAGGGTCCTCCAGTTTCCTCCCACTGTTAAAGACACCTACATGCAAGCGAATTATTGGAATAAAATTGAACCGTGTGTTAGTCCCGAAATGACCTGGTTTGTGTCGAATGGACGTTTCAAGCCCAGGTTTTCTCTCTCTCTGAATCAGTATCATATTCAATTAGCTCCCGCAAGTCTTCTGTTTAATCAATTGACACCGATGGAGAATTGAGAGAATTCATTTCTGTAATGTTCAATCAAGTACCCTTGTAATGTCATCGCCTTTATGTTAGGGATTTTGATATTTTATTGGAAGATTTCAATACTTTTAGATATAAAAAAAGATACAGCGATTCATCTGACTTCTTTTCTTTCCAGAGGATTATTTGCCTTGGACAATTTTAAATTTGGAAATCCCTTGAAACAATTCCAAATTAAGATGAGAGGTAGGATAAATTTTATTTTTACATGAAAATTAGTGTAGGCTTTTTTTTTTTGTATAATTATATCATTTGCCATTTGCAAGCAGTAACTATTTACTAATTCAATGATAATTGATTATGATGTATATTATTTGCTGACTTATTTACTGTTAACATATTATTATTATTGAATTTGTCTGATCTTTTTTTTTTCTAAAAATATGACTTTGATTTCAGATGGTTATTTTTCCCCGGATATTGCTAAGTATGCAAGTCTATGTCGTCGAGTCAAATTTAGAGAATATAAATTTCAACAACAAAGATATTATTCAGATTTATTGAAAGATATTCTACTCTCTAGACAGGTAAATATCAATTTGTTGAAGGCAGAAATATTTTGATCCAATATTTCTCATTGCTTGTCCTAACACGAAAAGATTGCACCTTGCACAGCTTATTCGTTCATAAAATTTTATTACTCTATGTTAAACTAATCTGCACAAAATTGATTGACATTGGGTAAGAACACTGGGGATACTTGATTGAACTTTCTGGAATTGAATTATCTTAATCCTAGATATAGTGACAATAGAGTGAAAAGGGGGATTTTGGGCTGCAACGCATGCTTTAAGTGCATAAGAAAATATGGCAGCTGAAACATATTTGTTGTGTTTAATCGTGTCACAATGCTACTCACACCACCTCTGTTGTCAGGACTAAATTCTGCGCCACTCGATAGCAGTTCTGTTAATTCGGTATACTCTGGACTGACAGTCGAGTTAACTATTATCTCCCCTTGTGAAACACTGTTTCATCTAATGTTTCTGACAAAGATGTAAGAAAAGAAAGATGGGGAGCAGTCCGAACCAAATAAATTTATTCTAGCTCATTGAAGCTTGATAATACAAATATGGATATTATATCTTTTTAAGATTTTACAATGTTTTATGTAATATATTGGCATATCATTAGTATGAATAGGGGATATTGTTGAACAAAGCTAGTATATAAAAGGCAATTTTAACGTTTTTGAAGCTTGATATAGATGCATTTTATGTTTGTATGTATAACTGGCCAGTCGAGTGGAACCATGCAAATCTTTCTTCTGAAAATATTACCAGTAGACTAAGGGCAGTTTGAATAAAGTGATTCAATTTGTTCAAATTGTCTATTTCAAAATTGCAGAATGTATTTGAACAAGCCCGCCATTTACCCCCAGTTCAACCAATCAAATTCAACTATAAACCTCCCATACCACAACAAAATAAAACCATAGAACAGAGAGTTAAAAAGAAATATATCAGGTAAGATAGACCAACAATAAAAATAAACTATTCATAGTAAAGGAGATGAACGCCACAACCCTTCGGGTACCAAATCTTTGACTACAGTGTTCAGGTTTGACCGCGATGCTGGCTAGTTGTTGAATCCCTGAATAAAAGATTAGCATAGTGAAAGGTAAAATTAAAGTAGCTAATTCTCTAAGTTAATATCATCTAAAGTCTTCGTCATTAAAAACACAAATTGTTTGCCAATTTAAATCAACATTAATGTTATGTGTGATCTCCAATATTTAACACAAAATAAACATTTTACCATTGGTACACGAATCGTGTACCGTAATACGTTCTAGCACCATTTGGAACAAGGGACTCGAAGAATGAGGCTAGACATATTCCACAAGTCTTGTCAAACGGTGACGCTATATTCTTATCTGGAGAGCATGCGCAATGAATACTATCGATGTAGACTAAAACAACCAGATGCTAGAGGTTGTCATTCGATTGAGACTTTGAAATTAGAGTAAAAATGGAAACCATTGAATGTAAATCGGTTTACATGTGTATACATTCATTACATTATTATATGTGTTGCGACCCATATGTGTCAATTTCTAGGTCCCAAATATTAACGAATTAGCTCCTTTAACGCATCATGGAAATTCAAAATATGTCTTCAGTTTGAACACCGTATTATATCCTTAAGACTGACATCAGCAAATGTAAGACCATGACAGATGGTTTAATGTCTTGCAAGTTTTAATTTAAAACACAATGTTTTGATATTGATTGTTTTTAAGAGATTATGTGTTGAATATAACTTGAAATTATGAAAATTGTAGGTTATTAAAAGAAATGAGAGAAGAAATTGGAGTTATTGATACATCTTCAGATGAAGAAGAAGAAAGTATAAGTTCGTATAATATTTAAAAATTTGATTGAATTGATACTATATTGTCATGTATAATGTTGTCATCCATGACCTGTTGACCTTTTGTCTGCGCAATTGGTGTTGCTGTTGTATTTTTTGCCAAATTTTTCCATGTATTGTTGCAAAATTACTTGGACTGGCTGGCCAATTGTAAAGTGAGCATCCAGCTTGTTACCAAGGATTTATGAACAATGACCCATCAATATAATGTTTTATATATCGGAAAATATGATATAATATATTCACCTGTTTAATATTTCAGGTCCGGTACAGCGTAGCAGACGTCAGTTATTTAAATCACTAGGTCCAATACCTTCACCTGATCCAACTATACCTAGTGTTCTAGCTACATTTGCCAGTAAGCCAGTTCTTGTTAATGGTGATGCACCAGGTATGTTGATTTATTCTTCGTAAGATTGTGAGATAAAATAAACCATACTTGACAAAGTTCCTTCCACCTGCACTAACCTTGATGTCAATTACACTTTACACACAAAGGTTAGAATTGCCCCATGCCCTGAAAATTTGCTTCACACTCTTATCCTTCTCAGTAAGAAAATGATGTAATTGATTTTAAATATTATAATCAAAATAACCCTTTACGTAAACACTGGCCTACTTGAGTAAGATATATTTTACGATTGTAAACCGTCATTTTATAACAAATTTGTCGTCTGTGACAGATTCCACTGTTTATTAAACTCATAATATTATAACATCTATATCACAGCAATGGCTTGGCTGATTTATCTTAATTTGTTGCATACCGTCGAATTTGAATATCAAATCAAAAACCTACAAAACGCTAATACTTCTTTAATTTACTCTAAATATAACAGGAGAAACGCCACAACAAAAACGACAGCGTCCCTTCAGTCCTGTAGAAATAACAGATGAAAATTATAAACAGATGTTAAAAAGTCATAAACGCAAGAAAATAGAACAAGCTGTAAGTCTATTTGTTTTATTTTCTATATGAGACAGGATCTGGGTACTCATTATAGATATATTTACTTTGTACCTAATCTTATTACCAGACTTTAGAAACAATCTGAATATGTCTGTGATAAATAAATAATTAAATATTTATGAAACCATATAAGTTGACTGACTCAGTAAAATAATACAGAGAAGTTTCATATATTGCAAGAAATATACACATTAAAAAAAAAGACTGAAGTAGCTAATGGGTTGCCTACATTGAGCATACAAAGGAAATAGTTAAAAAATTTGGCTGTCTTTATTATGACCTCAAATATAACCTTACTGTACAACTTTTGTATAAAATATAAGATGCTAAATGTCTTATTTTCACTACATTTGATCTATACATATATTACGAGGGGATAAACAGGTGCTGCCCAGGTTGTGCCCGTAACTCTGAAACCAGAAGTGGTAGGTCAACACCACCTAGCATATGTTACTCCCCAAATTCAGCCTCGGGACCGCCCAATTGTAGCTGCCAACCCTGAACAGACAGACAGACAGACAGACAAACAAACCACAGTCACAAATATTAGTATAGATTAGATAGTTAGTGATTCATTAATTGTCTATTGAAGACTGTGTGGCTAATGAATATTGTAGATCACATCTTTCAGACTCACTGTTAAGATCTTTGGTTATAAGGATGTTTTTATGTAGATAGATTAGTATACCCAATAGATGGTTGTAATTATTGATATATAAATTTATATTATAGGAATTACCTGAATTAGATACAACAAACATAACATTACAAGATATCTTACAAAGATGTCAGGCTAATAAGAAAAATTCTAAATCTCCATCAGGTAGGTGAATGGTCATCTTAACAGGACAGCAGTTTTAGTGGACTTGTACGATAATACACATTATTATATTTTATAGTGTTTTATAGTATGTTTATGATTTTTATCATGAACAATAGAGCCCCTGAAAGTGTTTGTTTTTTCGGATGATTTTAATGCTAGAGGTGGTTAAAATTGGATCCATGTTAAATTATGGAAACAGACACTAGCCGAGACAACGTTTCCTCCCCATTTATTTACCTCTCACCTGAATAAACTTTTAAAATAACATGTTAGTCTCTAAGTTATACTGGAGTTACACCGGATGTTTTGATGTATGGAGCCACAATGGCCAAGTGGGTAACATGCTGGCTCACTAGCCTGGAGTTCACAGGTTCGAACCCGGTGTTGGCCAGGAAAGTTCCTCTGGATTTTTGGCTTGGTTTCCCCTTGTCAGTGGTGCAGGATGGAGAGCCTGACAAGGACAGCTGTCTAGTTGTTTGGATGTGAGGAAAAACTGAGGCTCCGTGTACGCATTGGCGTTCCCGTAAAAGATCCCTTGGCAGTTGGAATTTGATATAAGAATAGGCACACCACATGGCATTTGCCCATCTTCATTATCCAAGTCAGAGTAGAACAGTAGAACGTTAAACCCCATTTCATTTCATTTTATTTATTTGATTATAGATTACATCTTTTTCCATGTCTGTATTCAGCAGGTAATCATAACGGCCAAAATGGAGGTACTGTTAAAAAGAAAATAATAAAGATGAAAGATGAGAAGAAATTGAAGAAGAAAATAAAGAAGGAAACTAGTGATAAACCAACAGAAGAAGTCATTGATGCTGTATCTCCACCATTACATACTAGAACAGAAAATATCGAAGTATCTGATGAAATATTAAATCCACATGTTGATGCTGTTCCAGACTTTCCTCTACCAGAGTAAGTTTTTAATTAACCAGACTTTCCTCCACCACAGTAAGTTTCTTGATTAACCAGACTTTCCTCTACTAGAGTAAGTTTCTTGATTAACCAGACTTTCCTCTACCAGAGTAAGTTTCTTGATTAACCAGACTTTCCTCTACCAAAGTAAGTTTCTTAATTAACCAGATATCGTATGGAAACTAGTTTTAAATGGATTCCTTGGTTTGCACTTTAATAACCAAAACGGTTGACAACACAATTTATCGCTGTCATTGTTTATAAGTAAGTAAAACTGGTTTGGTATTGTAATTTTTGTAATTTTACTTCAGAATGTCCATTACATAATGGTGGAAACATTGTGTATTTTCCAATTAAAGAAGTTAGATCTTCTTTTGTTCAATTTTAACTTCTAAATGTTATTCATTAATATAGTGCTTATGTTTTATTCTATATATTGGTTCAAATTTTTCAGTAATTCGATGTCAAATACCAAGTTAGAAAATGGAAAAGCGGATAATTTCTTTGTTTTAATAAGAGACATTATGTGTGAATTTCCAGACATGAAATGTACACTGCCTAAGGTATTTTTTAATGTTTTCTAATTCTCAAATCTGAAAGTTAATGAAATATACAATTTGTTATATATATTGCTTAGCAATGTTGAAGGCGACATGAAAAATAACCAAATAAAACATTGGTCAATATAACTAGCCATGATGTTTCATGTTGAAAAGGAAAGGAATATAAAGATTGTTTGAAAATGTCTAACGTTGAGTTGTTCAGAAATGATTGCTATTTTTGCTTAACAGGAATACATTGCTCATTTAAGAAATGTCATTCTTCAGTTGTATGAGTAGCTTGATAATCAGGATGCTTGCTTACCACTTAAACTTCGACATATATAAAGTCATAGTGTTGAATTTACATGTGGACTAAATGTTTGTATTTCCTTGAACCATACTAGGATAAAGGTTTTGTAAGAGTCTTTGATCCTAAATTAACTAGTCTTATTCACTGTAATATATCTGGGACTATTCCTTTAAAGTCGTAATGTAAGTACAGTAGATACAGGAACAGTGTAATTGATTTATAGTTATTTTGAAATTAAATAGATAATGTCATTGATAATTGCAATTTTGGATTTTATTATTTGTATATTTTATTATTTGTATATTGTATAGTTATTATTTGTATATTGTATAGTTATTATTTGTATATTGTATAGTTATTATTTGTATATTTATTATTTGTTTATTGTATAATTATCATTTGTATATTGTATAGTTATTAATTGTATATTGTATAGTTATTAATTGTATATTGTATAATTGTATATTGTATAGTTATTATTTGTATATTGTATAGTTAGAGGAGAAGATGAGAGAATGGCAGGAATCTACATCAAGTTCACTAAATGCCTGGTTTAAACAACATACTAACTGGCCTGATTGTGTTTTATCAGCTCTTAAATTTCTATCTGGAGATGCATTAGGTATGGTGTTCCCTTATTTCTTAGATTCACACAAATAAAATTTTCTTTGCTGTTTTTCTGTGGATGACTGCGAGGAAGCATCTGAACTTTCTCACTTGTGAGAGATAATACCTGCAGCATGTAAGGTTGTGTGCCTAGTTATTAAGATAGGAAGGATAACTGAGATCCACTAATTTACACATTAGCATTGACATTTGAAAGTGTCTTTGTGGAATAACAGCATAATAAAGCAATTTTTTTCTCTTGTAGCTATTGTTTACTGAGTGACATGATAAACATAACTACGACAGCATGCTCATAAAACAAAGTTATCCAGACATTACTGCAGGTGGTTGTTAGCAAATTTCACGAAAACTAAACCATTGTATCTCTTTGAAAAATTATCACAGAGCTTCCGACACATGCACAGGATTAGGTTATAGGATTCTAAGAGAATTTCACCTAAGAATTGTCCAGTTTTATATATAGATTTCTTGGACAGAACTTTTAATTTGTACTGTAGTTATCTGATATATGACATTAATTCTAAATTTGAAGATAGACTATAGCGTGTTTAATGTATATTTTAAGAGTGTCAAATGTTTTTATTTACAGGCTATGGAGTAGATAATTTTATACCATATGTAGATTATAAAGAAAGACCACAACATTGGAAATGGATTGGTGTTGGTCGTGATTCCCCTGATAAATTGTTGCCGTTATATAATTACTGGCTACAGAATAAAGATGGTCATATGTTTGATGGTTTTGAAGCTAATCAGAGTACTCCTCCACCAGCTAGAAGGTTCGTTTTTGTCTCATCTAAATTACGGACTAGAATGTCCCTATGAGGATGCCGCTAGTCAGGTGTGGCATCTTGTATGTGACAAGAAGTAGGGTCGTCTGTCCAACAACATAGCTGTTCTCCGGGTCGTCCAGTTTCCTCCCACTTCTAAAGACCGCTATATGCTTTCAGGGCTAACACATGGTTCAATTTTCTTTAGCAGTGGGAGGAAACCAGAGAACCCAAAGAAAACCCATGAGGTTGGACATGCAACCCTACTCCTTGTCACGTACAAGCAGCAAATCGAAACCATGCCACTTGAGTCAATGATTTCACGTGTACGTGCTAACCATTCGCACCCCTCCCCATATAAAATAAACCTTGATTGTTAGATTTTGATGTCTCAGCATGTCAATCAATTCTATTTATATTTTACTGTGGGATGTTAATGTTAGAAAATGTTAAGAAAATTCAACTACTATGTGTACAATTCATGCTAATCCTTTTGACTTAACAATTTTGAGTGAAATTGTGAAAGCTGTCAGTAATTAGCTGATTGTTCGGATAGAGACAAGGGAGATAATAAATCTCCTAAAAAATAAATAATGAAAGTAATTATTGCATTAATATTGGTGATTCATATAGTAAAATAGAATATAAGATGTAAATGACTGATTAATTTCACATATATTTAATATAATTTGATATATTATAGTAAAACAGATTATGTAGTTAAAGCAACAACAGAAGAAGAAAAAGATAAATTTAGAGAACAGGTAATATTCTTTATGAAAGTAAATCTCAACAGTAACGTAATGATGATACTAATAGTCTGTCTTTAGAAATGATTTAATCTAATAAAACTCAAAAAATTTCATTCAAAAAACTATGTATTTTGTAATATTTCCATTTTATTTCTGTTAGGAGGTAAAGCAAGCTAGCCAATTATTTCGGGAAGTGAATATTGTCATCGGTGGATCATTATTGCTTCATTTGAGCGATTCCTCATCCCTTGCAAAATACAGTATTATGAATTGGCATCTCCAGAACAAATATTAGTCCAAAAATGGTTCAATTCTGTTCAAAGTTGAAAATTTGTCAATATTCAGCATCCACTAAACTCGATAGATAAGATATAGCCAACACAGGCCAGTGTAGTCCATGAGCCTCTTTTAAATCAGTATGAATCCAAGACTGGAGGTTATCAACCCTTGGTATTTTGATTTTGTTTTCTTAATTAAATCTTTGTTTATATGTGACAAGGAGTAGGGTCGCCTGTCCAGTTTGTATAGAGTAGACTTAAATCCTATCTTTCTTCTCTCTCTCTCTCTCTCTCTCTCTCTGTTAAATAATTTGAGTAAATTTTAGCATAGATTAAGCCGTGAAAAATTAAATATTGTCAGAAAAATGCAAATGACTATCAACAGCATTAGAACCCATTTTTCTTATTTTGCTTATATACATATAATTGCCTATCTCCTTGTAAGTTTCTATCCTGGAAGACATTTGAAGACACAATAAATGTAGCTACATATAAGTGTGGAACCCCATTAAAGTCGAGCTATGTGTACAATCTGTTGTTATTTCAGGAAGAACAACGTTTTTATGAACCTCACAAACCCTACACATATTCAGTACATGGTTACGAGTCTGTAGTTGGTCCTGTTAAAGGTGTATATAGTAAAGATAGTGCTATGACTAAAGCCAGAGAACATGCATTATTAATATCAGATCGTCCAGCTTATGTCACCATACTAACCATAGGTATGTCACAATCCTTATCATTCTAAGGCCATACAAAAAAAGAATTCTCGTTCTTAGACAATCCTTTCAGATAAATCGAATGCAGTTGGGACGTCTGTTTGTCTTCTGGTCAATAAATGTATGTCAAAAGTCTTTATTCTAAAATGTTTATTATTTAAAAACAATTATAAAAGTGGGTTTCTTGTTGGGAATTGTCATTGATCCCAGCTGACAGTTGTCCAGAACCTCATTTCTGACTGTCAATTTTCCATCCAGTGGTTACTTTACTTCTTCTGCAGATTGTTGGAAGGTCCGCCGAAAATAAATTCTAGCAAAAAATTAAGCTCCCAGCAAGTTAATAATTCATTTTCACTGCATCAAATTTTAACTCGCCATCATAATTTTTTTGGGATGGATGCCATGTCCCAGTGGCAGTAGATCTCTAATTATATTCCAACTTGATGCTCAGTATCCGGTTCCCTGAGTCTAGATTAAAATGAAACTTTATCTGCTCCCTGGTGATACATGTGTATGTAAGTTTGATGTTTTATTATTTCAGTACGAGATGCAGCTGCTAGATTACCCAATGGTGAAGGTACTAGAGCTGATATTTGTGAAATATTAAAAGATTCTCAGTTTCTAGCAACAGGAGTTACAGATGCACAGGTAAAATAATGGCAAGGAACAGCGTCTTAGCCGATCAAATGAGACAAATTAAAACAACTAGCTTCTGTGTACACATTGGCATGCATGTGAAGCATCCCATTTGGAATTCGATTTAGAATAAACAAGATTTCCTACATAGCACACTGTATGCTGAGCGCTAGTCTTCCATAGCTTGGTTGGGGCAGAAAAGTAGCACGATTAAACCCATTTCATATCATTTTGTTTTGTGAACAAAGCACATAGATTGTAACTTGATACCATATTTGCTTAAAACCTATATGGATGCATTAATTTATTTTGAATTTTCTTTCAACGTCCTAGGTATTAAACAATGTTTTAATTGATTAATTTCGTGAAAAATTTCTGTTCACTTGTATGTTAATTGCAATGAATTTATTTCACCACAGTATATATCACTTTACATTATATAGATTATACAATTAAACATTCTGTGTGATAAAATGTTAAAATGAAAGGTCAGAGAGCAAGAATCTACATTTGGCATCATGGGATGTATTATTTTGAATTTATTTTCAAAGATTTTTTAAAGATTGATGGCTCTATTCTCTGGAGCCTTAAAGTTGTCTAAATTGAATGGCAGTCAATTATGACTGCTTAATCCATTCTACACATTTTTTAAATTATTATTTTGCCATTTGGGAATCAGCCATTACTAATTACTTTCTCAGTGTCTTGTAGGATATGTTTCTCTATCTTTGTTACAAATGGAGCCCGAAATCATAGAAATACACGATTCGTGTACTGATTATAAAATGTTCATTATGTCTTAAATATTGGATATTAGGATATCACATTTTCACGGCAAGATAACAACATCAATATTGACTGAAATGGACCAATATTGAATTTTAATTTGAAGTGTTATGGAAAATATTGAGTTCGAGGTATAGCTCCTTTAACATTTTGTTTTATAGATAAATACTGTTGTTAGTGGAGCATTAGATAGATTACATTCAGAAAAAGATCCATGTGTTAAATACGATGTCAACAAGAAAATATGGATCTATTTACACAGAAATCGTTCAGAACAAGAATTTGGTAAACTTTATTGACTTATGTTTTTTTTTGATTTGTTTACATCTGTGTGTCTGCTATTGTTTAGAGTTCTCAGTTTTAAACAAACAATTGATAAACTGAAGAACTTGGATATTGTTGCCGGGAGAAACAAAGAATCAGATTGGTTGAATTATTTGAATTATGAGTAAAATGTGTATCTGTCTAAGTATCAAACACTTAATTAAAAGTGTAGTAATAATATAATATTAAAGGGACAGTGCATCTTTGTTTCTTGGTGATGTGTGTGTTGATTACTTGTTTTATTTCAGACCAGCATTCCAAATTCTTAATGAATTAGTCAATAGTACAATAATTGTTTGAATGTAAAAATAAGACTGGTGTTTTCTATACACAAGATTCTAAGGATTTGTAGTGTATGCAGATATGAGGATATGTCCAAATTATTAACTTATCTGATTCAATATTAAGTAGTTGCAAAAGTTACACTATCCCTTTAAATAAAATAAAATCAGTTTTATCAGTAGTATATAACTGGTATGTATTATTGTTTACAGAGAGAATACACCAAGCACAGCTAGCTGCAGCCAAAGCTAAGAAATCTCTTCAAAAACCAAAAGCTTCAAAAGCTGTAAGTTTTAATTGTCTTTTGAACATTGCTCTTTTCAGCAAGAATAGTGTGGATGTATTTATATATATACCTCTTTCACATTTGTTTTGATAAAAAATTGTACCATTATTATATTTGTGTCTTTGCTGGTGGCCTATTCACTATGAGGTTAACTTAACTTCTAAAATCCCAGTCATAACTATAGATTAAATTGTTCTTACTTACTGATACCACCTCTTTATAATTTGAAATTTCAAGAAACTGGGTACGTTTGTTATTGTATATTACAGAGCAAGGAATCTGCTAACAGTACCACTAGTCCTAGAGGTAATAACACAACTACACCAAGTACAACTACAGCTTCTGAAATAAATATTGAAGATCTGGTGGCACAAGCACATGCACAAGCTGTGTCAAGTTCCCAGTCACATCAAAGTCCAAAACGATCAACAACCATCGCAAATCAACTGAAATCACAAAAAAGTAGTCCTAGAGGTGGAACACAGAAGCAGACGTCGGTTAAACTCAACGTGGCAGCTCAGTTAGTATCAACAACATCAGGTCTAACAATAGTTACTGCTTCTCAAGGGTTACAGACTGCTGCACAAATACTTCAGTCTGCCACTCCTACCACTGGTATATCTCGTCCAGCAGTAGCAACGCCAAATAAAGAAATGATGTTTACTCATGCCCAGGCTCTGAAGATGTTACAAGAAGGTTCTTTAACAGCTGTGACCAATCCACAAACTTCCAAGCAAGAAATATTTTTACAAAGACAGGTTTCGGCACCCCCATCGTCACTTGCTGCTCAAGGAGTATCAGCCACAGCTAAGTTAATGGCTTTAAGCCATGGTTCCAGCGTAGGAACTACGACAGTCTCATCTCAACCATCATCAGCACCAGTCACAACAGAAAATCCAGTGATGGCACGGGTGGTACAACATATGTCTGGTGCTCAGATGGTATCAGTTGGTAACATATTAGCTGCGGGTCAGCCTAGAATTCCTGGAGCCCAAGTACCTCGAACAACTACCATTAAAATACAAGGTAAACTTTAATAGGATAGCCATTATTCACTATATATGGATGCTGATAATGTTCCCCTCTTTGTTTGAAATAGAGTAGTAATTAAAGTTAGACTTTGAGGTCCTGTGTTAGATCCCAGTGTTGGCCGAGAAAGTTTATCTGTTTTTTCTGATTGGGGTGCACATAAATCATCCCTTGACTATTGGAATTCAATAGATAAGAGTAGGCAAAATTTCCCTCATAGCCCAGTCGGAGCAGAACAGTAGGACATTAAACCCCATTTCATTTCATTTCTTTATTCCTAGGTGGCAGTATAGTACATCCTGTAGGAGGAGGAAAACCATTTCAATTAACCGGTACCCCAATTGGAAATAAAGGTCTGGTACAGATTGGGGGTAAAGGCCATCCATTAGGATTAATACAGACACCACAAGGAACTATTATATCGATACCACAGATGGTAACTAGTGGTATAATGACGTTCTCTCAACCTAAAAGTTTAGTGGCTGTTGGTATGTATTTATTTTTACCCAAATGGCTTATCATGTTATTTCTGCATAGCGCTGCCTGACTAACTAGGCCAACCTTCTGTTATTGTGATTTCTTTACTATGGTCGAACTAACTGAATCTGAATTTCATTTAGTCAGGACCATATTCTGAAATTACTGAACCATGCCATTGAGGTACAGTTGGAGTAGTCCAAGATGGTGCGTGTCAATGAAACGTAAATGTAGAATATTTCGAAAGAATCTGTTTTTGTTTAGTATATGATTTTAGGAAAGCTTGAATGAATTTTAATTGGTTGTTACTTCTATGAACAGATATTTTTTGTCTTGTATGTTATGTCTGAATCTATGGAAGTCTAAAAATTACGCATCATTTCAATATTTGTGCTATGCAAAAAGTTAAGTTAAATTACAAGGAACTTTGTTAATGGGCGTAGCCATCTTTGGACAGACGATGGTCCGGACATCCCTATTCTTGACCAACACACTAGTCGTCGGAAATAGAAACCAAATAGCCTATTTGGTTTCTATTTCCGACGACTAGTGTGTTGGTCAAGGAAGTGCCTCATGATTTTCAAGTCTGGTTTTCTCTGGTCATTGATGCCGGGTGTGACATGGAAAAGTGTTATTCAGATGGTACTGGAAATCATGTTAAACATTTCATTACATGTTTTGATTATTTTTTAGCGGGAAGTAAGCCTACCACAGCTGTATCTCTACCGACAACTGTAACATCTTCACAAGCCAGGCCCCCTGCTACCTCGACAGCTAATGTAGGTCAGACTCTACAAGTTGTTAATAGTCAACCTAAAGTTGTAACACCATCACAAGCTGGTATAGTAGTTACACAGTTAGCTCCTGGCAGTATCTCTTTACGACATGGTAGGTGTATAAATAAAATGTCTTAAACATGCATTATGCAAGAGCTAAATCTGCCTATCGCAGGTCTTTCTTTAGGCCTGAAATGTTATCTAAATTATTAATTAGACATTAATTAACTTATCCAGACCATAATCAACTCTCGATGTCAAGGCTAGCCTTCGATATCGACTGGATTAGAATCCTATATGCTGCAAATGCTCATTGATAATTAAATCAAAACAATGGATAATCAAAACTATGCTTTTTAACTACTAACTTTAGTAATGATGAACGAGGCTAGGCGGAAATTTACAAAGCTGATATCTCGGTTCATAGTGGACCAATTTGACTGAAATTTTCAACAAATTACCTTTACATTATCTAGTTTTTAACTATTATAGCGAGAACTGTCAGCTCTTTATCTAATCTCCCATAATCTATCTTTCATTGAAACAGGTTTTTTTAGATTCTTTTTTCAATCAAACTAATCTGATTAAAATACAGATGTATATTTTGTTTTGTTTTTCTATACTTTCAATGGCCTACACTACATGAAGATCTGACCAGTTGTACTGGAAGGTCACGTCAGGGGTCGTACGAGCGCCTTTTGACCCCATGATGTCAGACATTGATTAATTAATCGGTGTTGACGTTTCTAGTGGTTTACCCACAGTTCCGTGCATCGTACGCCAAGAAGTTGTCGTAAAAGATGGTTTCATTGGCTAATCCCTCACGCTATCCAGAACACATGTTTTATAACAACTCTTCCAGATCCTGGTGTAGTACAGACAAATAAAACAAAATTTTGAACTATAAAAAATGAAACGAAAATAGGATCTGTGCTTTAATCAAACGTTTGTCCTAATGAATATATCCATAGCAATATATCATATTTCTCACCATTTCTATGCAGTTATGGCTTAGTAAAGTCACATGACATCTGCCACTTTTCTTTAACTACATAAGCAAAATGTGAAAAATAAATAAAATATACATGTACCAGTAGTAACTTAGTGAAATGTGCAAAATGAATTAGATATACATATAATATATTAGTCTTATGTGAAACATAAATTAGATATATAATTTCACTGAAATGTGACAAATAAATTAGATATGCATATAATACATTAGTGATATGTGAAAAATAAATAAAATATACATGTACCAGTAATACATTAGTGAAATTTGAAAAATATCTTAAATATTCATATTGTCACTAAACACAGCACTTTCACTTTTTATACGCTCACATTTTTATGTAGATGTATATTGTTGTCGCCCATGTCCTCAATTTGTTTGTGGACAGTCTACAGGTCATGTATCCGACAGTAACTTCATGGATTGTGGACCCTGATTGTACAAAAAATCCATTTTTTTTTTTAGCTTGTTCTCTATCCATCTTTTGCAAAATGTGGGTGTATCTTGCATGGCAACCACTTGTTTAAAACATTCTTGTAATCTGACATTTGGTTGAAAAGGAAACAGACTTTTGTTAGGGTGCCCCAGAAATCCGAAAATTGGCTCTAATAAAAGATCTGCTAGTGTTCATCCTCAAATAATCAAGTAATGAAACATGACAGAGACCCAGTGATTGTTTTCCATTTAAAGTTGTGTTTTATATAAGGCAACACAAATAAAATAACTTGTTTCTCGGGCACCGCCCGCACGCAAAATTGGTTGCGCGTGCAGTCTATTTATTAGTCTTGATGAAAAAAAATAAATATGTAACGCCCGCCCGCACATCGACAAGCACGTCGTAAAAAAAATATCCCGCATGTACCTACATCCGCCATACATGTATATCTATTCAAATGTATTAAAACTGATTCAGATGAACATGCTGTCTTTTTTATCCGAACAATGGCGAAGTTTGGCAGATTTGCCTTTTTTATTGATATCGAAAGAACCTCCATTTTGTATCACGTGATATTAATTACCTCCCCTGATAAACTAGAATTTGATTCGTGTTAAAAGTCATTGGCGACAATATTTCAATCATTCGATCGTAATCGGCTCATTATTGCCGGCTTCAGTCGGTCCTTGTTTGGAAAATCCTATTGATAAGATAATGAACCGTAGAACAGGTTAATTAATTATAGCTAAGAATACGATACGATGACGATAGTCGTCATAATGCATACCTTAGAATCTGGGTCATTATTAGCACATTTACGGTAGTTTCGATAATCCGGAAAATAATAATTGGATTACCGATTTGATGGTTTTACTGACCAGTTGTTAGTTAGATTTAAATAGTCATTCAATATAAACACCGGATAGAACACCGAATATCCTGAGAAACACACCGAATATCCCAAGAAACAGTATTTCCGGCAATCTCCAATACCGATGACACGGTGTGACATGCATTGGTTGGAATTCGGTAAATAATTATAAATAAACCGGCGATACTAGATTTAGTTTTAAATACTGTTTACCATGATTATTATTTTTGATACACCTGGTGAAAGAGGCTTAGTTTTTAAAAATATTGTTGTCTTTATGGAGGGCTATTACATAGTCGTATGGAATTTTATTTTAAACCAATTTCAATTATGTGAATTAAATATGGAAAATTATTTTCCTTTCAGTCAGTGTTCAGTCTCAGTGTTTTAGTAGACTTGATTTTGGGTTTATGTTTTAAGTATGTACAATAAAGTTGAATATAACGGAAAGCAAAAACGTAAACAAGTAATGACTTTCTCATTTAAAAAAAAAAAAAAAGAAAGACCGCCCTCCCGCCCCAACAATTTTCAGCAATAGCCAAATTTTATTTTGCACCATCAATGAGTAAAAAAAAAAAAGAAAACGCCCTCCCTCCCTACAGTTTCAGCTGTCAGTTGCCCGAGAAACAAGACATTTATTTTGTGTGGCCTAATTATCAATATGTTTGGGGATATTTTTTGTAGTGGGGCACCTTACTGTTGTTCCCTTTGTTGATATTAATGATTATATTGTAGGTTTACATGGTATAGGCCAGAATAAAGTTTTACCTGGTCAAGGTGGTCTAGTACCTACACAGTTTATATTACAGCAATCACCTGGTGGTGGTATAAAAACATCTACTACAACAGATAATACATCAACTACACAAGGTATAATATCTGTATGTCACTGTTGTTTGTCTGTCTGTGTTTGACAGCTACACTGGGATTGCCCCGAGGCTGAAATTTGGGGTATACGGTCGGCTAAAACTGGCGAGTGACAAACCAGTGGCATTGCAATACCACTTCTGGAGAAATCTGATTAAAATTCCTTTTTACTTCATCAGGATCTAGAATTGTTGTTAAATTACCCGCATACTGCTTGATATGAGGGATAAACCAATTAAATGATTTGTTAGTCGAGTTCTTGTCGTTTGGCAAACGGAACTGTGGGTAGACATTAGTAGCGATAGAAAACAAAAGTTATATTTCCGAATAGCCACTTGAAAAATCGACACTGATTGGTTAATTGAATGACTGATTACTTCCTGAGTTATACTACTACCCGTGCAATTCTTGGTCAACCACTAGTTATTTATTACAAATAATGAACAGCTCATGCAGTGACTTACGGGATATGTGTATGTGTGCATATTGTAGATCAGGTTTCGTTAAATGGAGTTGCTTCCCTTAAAAAGTACCTTTTCAGGTAGCAAAACCTCCAGACCAGTCTGGGTGTTTGAGACTTTATTTCAACAAATTGTTTTAGAATTGGGAGTAATGCACACAAGCCATAAATACCAACCACTTGAATTGATGACAGACCTTATGACCATCTGATAACACTTGTATGTGACAAGACATCCTACTAACCATGTGTTATTTCTCCTGATTTCTTCATAACTAAACAGATTCTCTCACATGGTTAAAAATAAACTAAAGAGTTACCATGTGTTAGTCCCATAATGATTTGTTTATGTCTAGTCATTCAGATGGGACAAAAAAAACCCAAACAGATCCTGTATACACATTGGCGTGCACACAAAAGAACCCTGGACAGTAGTAATTGGAAATAAAAATAGGCTGTATCGCAGCTGTCTAAGCAAAGTTTCCCTCATCGCACACTGTATCCCATCTTTATTAGTCCAGTCGGTGCACAAAAGTAAGGCGTTAAACCTCATTTCATTTTAACATTATTTTTTGTATTTTTGTATATTACAGGTACACCTATTATAGTGAGTAACACGGCAGGTAAAGGAGGACAGAATCTACAAGTTGTTCGAACTGTCTTATCATCACAGGGTCAAATACGTCCTGGTCAAGCTACTATACTTATATCACAACCCACATTACAACAACCTGGTAGTAATGTCCTACCAGCTGGACAGATCATGCAAGCTAATACTAAAACACCTGGTCGAGGATCTCCTAAAGGAAAAGCTCAACCAGTTTATGCTCGTATTATTACGCCTCCTCCTGGAATAACTCTAAAAGCCATGGCACAAGGTCAAGCTGGAACAGCACTGGGGGTCAGCATGATTCAGACAATGGGAAAGATTATGACAAGTACAGCACCTCAAACTGTCACTTCAGTAGCTGTTTCACAAGCTCAATCAGCAACTGTTGTTCCTTCAGATGCTGCATCTCCTTCACGGACGGGTAGTGCTGCTGCCAGACAGGGACAATGATACATTTGTGAATATTTAAGTTTGCTTGTAAACATCCTATATGGCGTGATCTTCCTATGTGGACTGATCAATGTTGCTGTGTGGATATGTATATCCATTATGACTTTAGCTGTAGAGGAAAAAAGGGTGTAGATGTGTTTGACCTTTCTTCTTTACTGACACCAGCTGACAGATTTGAAACGTGTATCATGATGCGTCCATTAGTGGCCTTGATTACCGGATACATCACTGGATAACATGATGTGAACACTGGACACATGCTATGAACATGAAGCAGAAACAGATACCCAATATATTACTCTTGACGGAGACTAGTGATCAGTCAAAAACTGCTACACCCTATTCAATGGAAAATGTAAATTCAAGACATATCAGATGTTAATGAGTCTTTAAAATATTCATAGTCAATATGTGAGTGCTATTTCACGTTCCAAGCATGGTATTTACTAGCAACAATGTCTGCCGAGTCAGTGTCATGTGTACCATGATTAACAGTGTTCAGAGTTAATGTCAGAAGTACAATGAATAACAGTTTTCAGAATCATTGTCAGCAGTACAATGATGATGAACAGAGTCAATATCAGCAGTACAGAACATGTACTCACAGTTAAAGAGACACATTAGACTCGTTTGGGTAGACTGTGTTCATCATGTTAAGTACTGAATATGGGCAACTGGTTCATATGATATATTTCAATTCACAATTAGGGCATTCATGAGCAGTTACATGTGCCATTGGAGTGGATATTCATTATATGAGTCAACGAATTTGTAATATATTTGTCACCGGTGTAGCTGTATATAGAAACCTATGTGCTACAGTTTCTTTCTTTGTAAACTGTTTAAATCACAGATTTAAATCTGGATACAAAGAAATATCTATTCTGGTATTGTACATAAATTGTTTACAAACATAGTACTAATATATTATATATAACATGTACCTTTGAAAATATAAGTGCTCGGTACTATATAGATATGTCATCTGTTTTTGTTTTGTTATATCATCAGGGAATGGTTGCGAATATTTTATATACAATCTTTTTGGGGCCATGAAAACATCTGGATAATATGTTAAACAAAGTGAAACATCTAAAATAATAGCAACCCACCGATAATCAGATTTCCCCACCCCCACCCCCGAATATATGTTTTAGCCATACTTCATCACCATAGCAAGATCTTTAAAGTTACATTTTCATGTGGACGTATATTGTCGTCGCCCCTGTCCGTCAATCCACAATTTGTTTGTGGACACTCTACAGATCACAATTCTTATCCGATTTTGACAAAACTTGAAATATAGGTTTATCTCCAAAAGATCTGGGCTGCTTTCGATATTGGCATGTATCGGATCGAAACTTCATGGATTATGGCCCCTGTTTGTACGAAAAATCACGTTTTTAGCTTGTGAACACTGTAGAGGTCAGAAATTTTATCCGATTTGGTTTAAAACTTTAAATGTATGCTTATAACCCAAAGATCTCGGTTCCTTTCGATATTCGCGAATATCCGTCCGTCCACAATTGTTTGTGAACAGTCTACAGGTCACAATTTTTATCCAATTTCAACAAAACTTGAAATATAGGTTTATCACCCTAAGATCTCGGTTCCTTTCGATATTGGCCATGTATCGGACTGTAACTTCATGGATTATGGCCCCAGATTGTACGAAAAATCACGTTTTTAGCTTGTGAACACTGTAGAGGTCAGAATTTTTATCCGATTTGGTTTAAACTTGAAATGTATGCTTATAACCCAAAGATCTCGGTTCCTTTCGATATTCGCGCCTATCCGTCCGTCCACAATTGTTTGTGAACAGTCTACAGGTCACAATTTTTATCCAATTTTAACGAAACTTGAAATATAGGTTTATCACCCTAAGATCTCGGTTCCTTTCGATATTGGCATGTATCGGACTGTAACTTCATGGATTATGGCCCCTGATTGTACGAAAAATCACGTTTTAGCTTGTGAACACTGTAGAGGTCACAATTTTTATCTGATTTGGTTTAAACTTGAAATGTATGCTTATAACCCAAAGATCTCAGTTCCTTTCGATATTCACGCATATCAGAACATAACTTCCTGAATTATGGCCCCTGATTGTACGAAAAATCGCGTTTTTAGCTTGTGGACCCTATAGAGGTCATAATTTTTATCCGATTTAAAAAAACGTATTATTATATCACCGTTACACCCCAAGGACGACTGAGTTCGAATTTCGTGAAAATTAAACCAAAACTACTGACAGACAAAATGGCCGCCCTTCGTTCTCAAATAGCCTAAAAATATGGTATATCAAGGTTGTGGACCCTATAGACATCACAATTTTTACCCGATTTTGTTGAAACTTGAAATGTAAGTTTATAACCCAAAGATCCCGGTTCCTTTCGATATTTGCGCATATCGAATTGTAATTTCCTGAATTATGGCCCTTGATTGTAGGAAAAATCACTTTCTTTTTAGCTTGTTCTCTATCCATCTCTCGAAAATGTGGGCGTATCCTGCCTGGCAGCCGCTGGTTGTTTTGTTATATCATCAGGGATATTATGGTTGCGAATATTTAAAATACAATCTTTTTGGGGCTATGAAAATGTCCGGATAATATATTAAACAAAGTGAAACATCTAAAATAATAACAACCCACTGATAATCAGATTCTCCCCCCCAATACCTTTTAGCCATACTTCATCACCATAGCAAGATCTTTAAAATTACATTTTTTTCAAAGATGTGAAGTCAGTGGACATGTTTTCCAGCTCGGCAATGTATGCTGGTCTTTACCACTCTTCTTCAAAATTGACCAAAATTGCTTGGGACCCATCAGTCAATCTACATCCCCTAAGACTAGGAGTTACATGTAGGGTACCAAACAGCATTTAAGTGTCAATTTATGGCCAAGTTAAGAACAGATCATTCATAATGATCTGGTGTACTGAGATCCTCAATTCAGTGTAGTAGAAATGAAATTGGGTTTATAGTCCTAATTTTCAGACTCAACCAAGCTAATTCCATGGAGAGAACAATGAGGAAATTTTCTCTTGGATTGTCAAGGGTTCTTTAAAGTGCACGCCAACATATACACGGGACTGGGTACTTTCTCAGCTAAAACTGCCATTTAACCCGCCACCATACACACTGAGCCACTGCGGCTCCATAATTCACTGTAGATCATAAAAACGTAACAATGGTCTAAAGATGACTTTAACACAACAAACTAATTATGATTATCCTAAGTTAATTTAATCAGTAGAATAGAAAAATACAAATCAAAAAAATGTAGCTAAAATTTACATTATGCCACATGCTGCCAAGATAGATAACAATTTACCAACGGAACTACTCGTTCTATTTAACAATTAGTAATTTTAAATATACAAAATATATTATATAGTCTTTTAGTTGTCAATATTATTGGATTTATAAGATCTGAGGTTTATGTGCGGATACAGAGTTCTAATAAAGAAAAAAACACTCCAAAAAACTCTTTATTCTAAAATTATGGTAATATTGTACAAAATATAAAAAACATTGAATAAGAATCTATTATGGAAGGTGAAAATAATCCTGATAGCTTCTTGTTAAGAATAAATCATAGTTAATAAACTTATATGTACATGAACACAATATGAATAAAAATATTTATGCTGTAATGTACACATTTATTACCACAAAGAAATTAAGAGACCCAGACATGTGCACTAAGAGCAATTCTGAAAATGCATCATTTGTATAAAATATTGTTAAAATTTTAATATCTATTGTGTTAAAAAAAACCAACTGATTTTGCTACATTTTCTATGGAGTATATCAAAAAATTTTAATACATAGTATATTTATGTTTTAAAAAAGCATTTTGTATATGAAGGCCATAAATAATACTGCTGCATTTACAAGAGAAAATTTAAGATTAACACCTGAATTACAATAATTTTTATTACAATAACAAGCTTTAACTTCAATACCATTATAATGTGCCAGTTCACAAGGTTTGTCAGTCTGTTGTCTACAACCTCTATTAATCTCCACATATCTCACATCATTAGCTGTAAAACATAGAAAAATTACAAGTCTAAACATATCTAAAAACTGAGGAGCAGGGTCAGGTTAACGTCCAATTGACACAAACTAAATCATCTCGGGACTAACACACGGTTCAATTTTATTTCAATAATTTGCTTGCATATAAGGGTCTTTAGCAGTGGGAGGAAACCAGAGGACCCAGAGAAAACCCATTAGGTTGGACAGGCGACCCTACTCCTTGTCCCGTACAACCGGGGAATCGAAACCATGCCAGTTTACTCAATGAGTAATGACAGACCTTATGATACAACGCGCACGCGCTAACCATTCGGCTATCCAAACCCCCTCAAATGCAATCTGTATGGTAAATAGACAGATTTATTTGGCACAGTCTTATACAATATACTAAATAAACTCATAAAATTTGGGGGACCCTTAATCCGGAGGTGGCTGATTACAACTGTTATTCCTATTAACACTAATGTATGGAAATAATAGTGAATTATTTGGCTAATAACCATAAGTTAAAGGTCATGTTACTTTTTTTAGACAAGTCAGTCACTGACTAAAGGATAACTCATATCTAACTATGAACTTCATTATCAAGATGATATCTAACCAAAGGTTAAGTGGTCTTATCCTCTAAATGCAAAAAGAGAGAGACAGGGAAATGTGGTTTAACGTCTACTTGACACAAATTATGTCATTTTTGGACTAACACATGTTTCAATAATTCGCTGGCGTGTATGGGTCTTTAGCTGTGGGAGGACCCAGAGAAAACCCACACGGTTGGACAAGCGTAAATTCGAAAAAGGAATTATGTCAGCTTGGTAACATGTTTCAATAATTCTTTAGCGCATATGAGTCTTTAGCTGTGGGAGGACCCAGAGAAAACCCACATGGTTGGACAGGCGTAAATTCAAAAAGGAATATCATTATTGGCCTTTTGGTTCAATTGTGGCTTATGTCACCTTGTTTCAGACTGTATTAATCTATTAGTTTTAGACTGTATTAATCTATTAGTTTCAGACTGAATTGATCTATTTAGTTTCAGACTGTATTAATATATTAGTTTCAGACTGTATTGATCTATTCGTTTCAGACTGTATTAATATACATGTATTAGTTTCAGACTGTATTGATCTATTAGTTTCAGGCTGTACTGATCTATTAGTTTAAGACTGTATTGATCTATTAGTTTCAGACTGTATTAATATAATAGTTACAGACTGTATTGATCTATTAGTTTCAAACTGTATTGATCTATTAGTTTCAGACTGTACAGATCTATTAGTTTTAGACTGTATTGATAATTTAATAACTTACACCATCTGTCTCCTCTATATTTATAACATGTTCCCTGACATTCTCTAGCATCACTGTTTGGTATAGTAAATTCATCACCACATCGATCATCTCTTAGACTTGAACAGGAATAACATCGGATCGCAGTTCCTATAATAATAAAATATAGCAATAATATCTCTTTCCTATGGTGCACAACTGTATGAGCTGAAATTTATAGTGTAGTTCACAAATGCTTGAAAAACAAATTTTTGAATTAAAGTCAGAGGTTGAAATTAATTTCATCCAAATGTTTACGTCTACTCAAGACCCTATAAGAAATGATTTGAAATTTTAAAAAACAAATTTGTGGGTTTATTTAAGGATTTTGTTTTTTTCAGAATATGTGAATTAGACAATAGTCTGGGCATGAGAAAGTCCAAGATGAATCTTGCTGAAAAATTGCCAAAACAGTAAATGGTGGGATTCTGTTCAAAATTTGGCTATTAGTTGTGGTCCCCTTAGACTATCAAGTATCCCATTTTCATTTATAGAATAATCCTGCGTTTGATGTGTATAGCAATGAACAATGTTTATACTCTATTAGTTAAATTATACCCCTTTTATAGAGAAGCCACAGTGGCTCAGTGTGTAGGGCTATGGCTCACTAACTA